CCAACCCAAACCCCACCCCAACCCCAACCCAACCCCAACCCAACCCCAACCCAACCCAACCCCCAACCCCAACCCAACCCAAACCCCAACCCAACCCAAAACCCAAACCCAACCCCAACCCCAACCCCAACCCCAACCCAAACCCCAACCCCAACCCCAACCCCAACCCCAACCCCAACCCCAACCCCAACCCCAATTTTCTTAAAATTAAAATTGAAAGTTTATTTAAGTTTAATTTTTTTGAGAATTTTAATAATTTAATGAAGTTTTATTTTAATTTTAAATCATTAAAAACTACCTATTAAACATAACGATTAATGAATTTTAAAAAAATGACTTAAAAATTTTAATAAATATTTAAACTAACCAAGCTTTTATTTAAGATAAAATAAAATTATCTATAAAATAAAGGGGTTTAATGAGAAAGTTAATTTGGTAGTTTATAAAAGTGATATAAAAAATATGAAATAAACTAATTATTATTCAAATTAAATATAAATAGTAAAATAGTAAACTGAAATCCTAAGAGTAAATATTATAATTAAAGAAAAAGAACAGGAATAGATGATTTACGAAATAACATTTTCTATAAACTATGATGAAAATTTGCATATGAAATGAATGTTTATTAAAGGATGGATATTTTAGATAATTGCTTGTTTGAATAATATTTTAAAAACTATAATAAATAAAAGAATAGAATCAATGCATATTTTCATCAATAATAAGTTTGATTAAATGTATGAAGTAAATAAATATGTTGTTATTATTACAATTAATACTATTTCTTCTTCTAATGCCAATGAAGATGAAAATAGTTTTCCATTTTTTGAATGATAATAGAGTATTCAATTACATTAATTTTACAAAGATAGATAGATTGGAATAATAGTTCATATTTTGTAGAGTAAAATACTATAAAGGATTATTATTCTAGATTAAAAGTTAAGTTATTCGTAAATTTTTAAAACAATTTTATATTACAAAGGGTATTTATTTATTTATTTAAATATTTTTAGGATGATTTTATCTGAATAGTTAATTAGTTTATTTATTTATTTGCTCATTGATTTACCAAGTAAATAAAAAAAGTCATTTTAAAAGTATTTATCACAATTTATTAATTTTGCAGTTGCTTTTATTTACTCTGATAATCATTCTTGGTAGGCATTTTTATATAAACTCTTTATGTTATTAAATTTTTCAGGATCAGCCATGGCTAGTCCCATTACATGGCGATAAATTATATGGGATTTTGAATTTTTAATTTTATTTGAAGAAAATATATAAGATATAGCTTCTTTTTATAAGAATTAATGAGAAGCTATACGCATAAACTTGCTGATGCTACGGGTTCTTTCATTTGTATCATCTTGCCAAATTTTACGTACATCTTTAATAGCATTCATATTTTTCTTGAAATTTTTTGCTTCTTTTTTAATATCATCATATTCAAGATTTGCATCTATTTACTTTAATATTTTCTTCATTTCATCTATTCTATCTTTATCTATAATGTACCTTAAAAATGCCTTTGCATAGTTTTTAGGTATATTTTTTGTTTCATTTTTAGGCCTCTTTGGTTTTCCACTGTTGTTAGCTTCTTGCTCTCCATTACCATCACTATTTACATTATCATCTTCTTCATCATCGTTTTCTCTACTTTCATCATCAAGATTGTTATTTGTTACTAATCGGGTTTATTACTGCTGTTACTATACTTTTAACTATTACTGCTAAAGCAAATGATTTTATTTTAAAAATTATTGTTGTTGATGCTGAGTATTGAATTGATTCAACTAAGCACCTAAGAATGGTTAATTTTAAGCTAACTTAAGAGGATCTTAGATATTAGTCTATCCATTTAATCCATCTTAAAACTATAATAATTATTATCCTTATTTTGGTAACATCATTTGGGCGTATTAGTTAGGTCCTTACAGTAGATTGTATTGGTTTTACAAATTTTAATTTGATTAGCCATTTAAAGCAGGAGCCATTTAGTTACTATTGCCTAAATTTTATGGAGGTAGTAGATTTCCATTTTGGTAATTATTATTGTTTTATGAAGATGATGAATTTTTTTCGTCCATTCCTTTTTGCATAGCTTCTTCTTTTATTTTAAATTAAGATATCTATGCACTTTAGTTGCTTTAAACATGGTTAAATTATTAAGAATTTAAATCATGACTGCTTGTTGCTAGATTTGTAGTTTATGGTCTCAAACCTAAGGGGAATGCTGGATTAAACCCATTTGGTTAGTTAATTTAGGGAAGGTGCTAAAATAAGTGATGGGATTAGTGAACAGACAAACCTTAATTAGGTGGTTGGTGCTAGGGATAGTTTTAATTGTAAGCATTATAAGGAAGACCATTGAATCCTGGGTTGATATATTCATAACCAGGAGCTTAACCTTGAGCAGGATTAGGTTATTAAGGACCTCCTGGTTGAAAAGGAGATTATAAAAAGGCACTATATTACATATTTTCTAATTCTTAAGAGTAAGGATTTTAGATAGTAGCAGGAAGTAAATTTTATTAGTGCTACTATTCTAAATATTAATTATATTAAGATTATAAATGAGGATTTTAGCCATAATGAGGAGGGATAAAGCCTTTAGAAGCTTGCTAAGACCCAAACTGTTATGGCTAGGGTTAAGGGGGCTGAGAATAAGGATAGCCGTAAGGGGTCTATTAAGGAGGAGGAGCAGGAGGTTAATTTGGGTTTGGATATCCCAATCCGTTAGGTATTTAGCTTAAAAAGTTTTATTAAAATTGAGAGTGAAGTTGTTAGGGAGGTGGAGGAGGTGGTAATAATTACTATTAGGGATTTTAGCTATGGTGTAAGCTCATTTAATTCTGATTAGGTGTAACAACTTCAACTTTCTTAGTTGTTCTTTTTATTTCAGCAGTACTTGCATTTGATCCTTTTGTTTATTTGTATGAGAAGTGACCTGATTAATTATTAACAGCTGAATTGGTCGTTTAGTGGGGAGGAGTAACCATCTATGTAGGTATTTAAGGAGATATAGTTTGGCTGTTGTTATTATTTGCACTATTATTTAAAGGAGCAGTTATAGATGAATTGATATTGTTATGTGTGGAGTTCGTTCCATTAATTTAATTTATAGGTTATTATTCATTAGTGCTTGAGCAGTCTTCGCTTTTTACTTTATTGAGAATGTTGTTGTCATTTTAAATTATTTATTATTGCTGCTATTGAATCATAGATGATGATGGTTGCTATTGAATTTGTTAGTCTTCTTGCTAAAATTAATGCTATACTCTTTGAATTTATTCTTATTAAGGATTTATCAAGGAACTACCCAAATAATTTTAGTTCTATTTGAACTCATTCTTAGTGTAATAGTTTATATCATTGTATTAAATGCTCTAGGCAGGATTTCTATGAGAAATTCCATTATTAAGAGAGTGCATTAAAATACTGCTATCACCTAGCCCATTATTTATAGATGAGCGCAAGTTATTGTTGTTATTATTTAATGAATCTCTATAATCGCTTGCATCTAAGTTATTTTGATGATTTTATTATAAGAATTAAGAGTTATTGTTGTTTATTATATTAACTGCACCCATTTATTGCTAATCTATGTTTGTCATTGATTTTGGCTGAAGGAGGCTGCTGCTACTTAAGAGATTGTTGTTCTTTTCCTTCTTTATCATTTTAAAACCTTATTTGTTATTTTGTAGCGATTGAGATGATTAAATTGATTTTTGTTAATTCTACATTAGTTATTACTACCCTTAGGATATATTGCTCTAATCTAAAGGAGCTCCAACTCCTGCTATAATACTTGATCCCATCAGAGTCTTTCCTTTGGTAGGCAGATTGTTATTTCCATTTTACTGTTCTTTTATTATAGAGTTACTTGCACTAAAAACTAAATTGTTTGATGTATATTTATTGATCATAGTTTCAGCAGACCCATTAGCATCAGCTGCTTTATTCATATTTCCTTCGCCACTGTGAATAATTTGAATATTGATGTCATCCTAATATTCCTCACCTTAATTTTCAATCTACCCATTCCACTAATTGATACAAAATAAATATTTAAATTAATTAAAAGTAATAAATAGATTAAAAAAATATCTATAAATTCTTTAGTTCGAAGTTCTATGAAATATAAAATAGAATTAGTTTAAAAATTAAAAAGTATTTTGCTATTTAATTGGCTTCTTTTTTATAAAACAGGGAAAACTATTTGTATGATCAATAAGTTGGAATAAAGTTTAATCAAACAAAAAATTAGCTCTTTTAAAACTCCTAAAATGGAAAAAGATGATTTGCAAACTAGATTAAATGATGGATTTAACAATAATAATAAGAAAAGTCAGAAAATAACTAACGATAAAAATACCGTTTTTTTATTTTGAAAATAGTATTCTAAAATAAGGAAAAAATTTAAAAAGGATTGAGGTCAATAAAAACGGGATAATAGTGATTGAGGAGTATTCAATATTTATTAATTAATAGATTGATTAAAAATGAAAAATACTTGTAAAAATTAAGCTAATGTCTGAAGAGCATTCATAAAAAAATAAGTTTAGGATAAGACCTTAAGAAACAGAAAAAGCATTTTAAAAAGATGAGAAGTATAAATGAATATAATTATAAAAATAATTGAGGACTTTTAGAGCTTTAAGAAGAATAAAAAAAGTAAAATAATAGCTATTTAAATTAGATAAAAGAGCTCTTCTTTTGGAAAGGAGACTTAATTCCTCTATTTACTTGATTAATTTTAATGTGCGAAGAATATTTTATGTTATAAAAAGTAGGCAATTAATTTTTCCTAATCTATTAATTTTTTTCCAAAATAAAGAGGAAAAGAGCAAACAAATAAATATATTGCTCTACTTAAAAATATCAAACTTTATTACTGTTAGTTTAAAATAAATTATAATGATATTTAAGTTCTTTTCACTCTCTTCTAAAAGCTAATTACTGTTCGAAGTATTTCTTCTAGATAAAATTTATGTTCTTTACTATAAAATTCACGCAAAAAAAAATTTTGATGCTTCTTTTAATTTATATAATGAAATTTTTGATCTTAATCAATAAAATACATTTAAAAACTAAGTAAAAAATTTCAATTCATTGTGTATAGTAGCTAAATTTTTATTTGCTTACTTATTTTAGAATATTTTATACATCCTCCTTTGCTGAATATTTAAAATTTTTGCTTTTATATTAATTTCTTCAAAATGCACTTCTTTAAAAGCTTGAATTAATATTTTATATATTAATTACTTGGTCTTCTACATGGTCTTAATCGTGTTACGTCTAGTAGTGACCTGTTAGACACTTTATTGCTTTATAATTATCATCCTATTCTTCATCAGAGTAATCTGCGACTGTTTTTTGAACTTGCTGCATGAGCATATTCTATTTAATATCAATTAAATAATTTTAATTAAGCGCGAATCGTTGATTGATTATTCTCATCATAAAACAACTGAGGTAAAAAAATATGTTTTTTCATCTAAAAATAATGTGGTTGCTTGAAATGTTGTCCTCTTAAACAAAAGTTAATTGCTTACTTAGTTTATAGGCAAGTTTTTGGTATAAATCATGCTATGGCTATAATTACTCATCCCCATACCATGCGATGGATCGACAATGCTTTGTTAATATTACTATTGCTCTATATCATCCTATTTAAAAACATCGAATTCATCATCCAAAAATTCATGATTTTTGATTAAATTTTGATCAGCCATTTTTCTAATAAGAAAACTTCTTGCTTATACTTTGAAGTCTTTTAATCTATCTTGCTAATTATAATTATTTTCTATAGATTCAGTATTAGTTGATATTGCAGTTTCTTTTGTAAATGCCTCAAAATTATTTATTGAATTATTATTTCGCAAAAAATAATCCTTCACTATTTATTTGGATCTTTTTTTTCTTTTTCTTTAAATTAGTAATTAATTATCTAAGAAAAAATATAATGTGTTTCTTTGTCTTGCTTGTTAGCTTTAATGCGAAAATTAATAATTCAATCATTCATCCACACAAATTAATATATATTTTACACAAAGAATCAGTCAATTAATCAATCAATCAACCTGACTACTTACCTACCTACTTATCATCACATTATAGATAATCTTCGTATATTTTCATTCATAATGTAAATGTTTTGCCATTTTATTTTATTTTTTCCACTTCTATTAAATAACTAACTAACTAACTAATTTACTTTCTATCCTTTAATTTTTTAACTAGCACATTCGTTTCACCATAATATCACTTTTCTTTATTTAGTTTAAAAAACTAACTAACTAACAAAATAAATAAGAGTTGATATAAAAATTTCTGGGAGGGATATAAATCTTATCAAAAAGATACATGAGATAAATTATTTATGTTATAATATTAACCCTTTTCTTTATCGTTACCACAAAAAATTTCAATTTAATCTGAACCATATAACTACTTAATCCTTAATAATTCTTGAAAATTATATTTTGCTTTACCAAAAAGAAATGCAAATATTAATCTTTTAGAAGACAGATTTTCTTTGATTAAACAATTTTTACTAAGATTAATGGCAGCTATTAATTAGTTGTCAGAAAAAGTTTATGTCAATTAGCAAATAAATATAGTAATGTAATATAATTTTGGAATATATTTGTAAATATTTCAATAGGGTAATATTTAACATCTTTTAGACTTAAAAAATAAATATTATAAATTAAATTTTTTAATCTGTAAGATTAATTTATTTGCCGCTTTTGATTTTAGGACAAGTAAATTTTTTATTAAAGTTAACATAAATTTTAGATAGAACGAAATTAGATAAAATTATTAGCCGCTCATTATTTGCATAATTTTATGTTCGCTTTCATTAGGAAATTTATTATTTGATAAGATAAACTTCTTGAATTTACTAATTAAAGGGATTTTTCATGTTTGGAAAAGTCTTAAAATGTAAAATTAACAGTTAAACTCTAGATTTCTATTTTATTTTAAGCTAAGAATATAAATTAAAAAATTTTTAAAAAATAATTATTCTAAAATTATGCTAAAAAAAATTATATATTTTTTGACTTACTATTTTTAAAATACCATTTAAAAAAAAATAAATATTAATTTTTAAGCTTCATTCAATAAAAAATACTAACATTTTGATGCTTTTAGATAGAAAATGTTTATATTTTATTAAATTTATAACTAAAAATGTTTACGCTTAAAAAATTTCTAGAAGTTTTAAATAGGCTTTTCAAATCTAAAGAAAGCATGAATAAATATTTGTTACTTCCTATCTAATTAATTTATGATGCTTTTCCTAGAAAAAGCATCATTCACTCATTAATTTAATCACTTGTATTTTAATATATTTATAATTTCAGTAACTTTAAATTTTTTAATTAATTTAAGCAAAATAATAATTTAAACTAATATTTTAATTACGCAGGAAGATGAAAAAAATTTTGTATCAAAAGAAGATACATAGATATAATTTAAGTGTTAAAACTCTAAGCATTTAATTATTTATAATTATTAATTATTTTGAATATTTGCTGAATTAAACTTAGTAGGTATTTTATAATCTTTATAAGTGAGCAAAAATATTAATTCATAGATTAATTGTCGAATTTAAAATTAATTAAATTGTTCTATTGGCCACAGTAATAAGTCAGCTCAATATACTGAATGAGAATTCTTATTTTATAGTATAGATTAGAAACATTACTATTAAAATAGAAAACCTTAAAAAGTTGTACAATTTATATTTAATTAAATTAACATTTAATGAATTATCAAATTATAAATAAGAAATTTCAAAGTAATTCATTTTTAATTATTCACTAGAGATGCATATGCTAAATAAAATGCTAATTTTAGAGAATGAATTTAGTAATATCTACTAGTTTTATAATATATTAATCGAATCACAAAAAGTCTATTAATAAATATTAATTATTTTTTAATTTTTATCCTATTAAGATTAATTTAATAATCTTACAAACTAAAAATTTTAACAAATTAAAAATTGTTAATCTTATTTAAGCAAATTTACTTTCTATGAAATACAAATTGCATAAAAGTTAAACAAATAAAAAAAATTTTACAAAAAACATTTTGGTATTATTTCTAATATTGATCAATTCATTAAAATAATAAAATATAGCTAAATAAAAGAATAAAAATAAATAATAAAGATGATTAACTTTTTGTATTTATTTGTGTGAAATACTAATTAATATGAATTACTGTTTACTGCAAATAATATAAATAATTTTTTAAACTACCAAAATGTATAAGTAAAGAATGCTACTTACAAAGAATAAAGTTTTAAGAGATCTACATTTATGGTACTGTAAATTCTTTTTTATTTAGGTACTTATTAATTAAGGTTCAATTTTGCAAAATTTTGAAAAACTAGTAAGTTCCTAAAAATATTTTCTTTGATTTCTAATTTATTAATTTGATGAAATTATGGTATGTTTAGGATAATAAAATATCAAATAATAATGTTTATATTTAATTAATTAATTATTTATTTATTTATTTGTTTTTTAATTAAATTTTTGTTTTTAATTAAACAAATCAACTTTTTTATTTATTTTTTATTCAAACTCTTGAGGGATTGCATATATCCTCTGACTCTTCATAATATTATTGTTAATCATTAATCTCCCATGGTAGAATTTCATTCTTAAATTTAGGAGAAGAGTCATAATCTCGATTTTTAACTGTGTAAGTTATATCATTGGATTCATTAATTTTTATCCCTTTAGAACTTTTTACTTTCTTTTTACTTGTAAGATAATTATTATGACCTAATTCAGTTTTATCATGAACATATTTTGGGCGATAATTGACACTAAATATATTTTCATCAACTAAAGTCACCTCTGACTCATTTTGTTGATTTTATTTTTTTCTTGGCCCAGCAGATGTTGTTGATTTTTTTAAATAAATTTTTTCTGAGTAGTCATTATTATTATTTCTATTATCATCTATATTCCATTTTCTTATAAGCAGCATATTTTATCCAGCACTGCTCAAAGCATTCTAAACCAACTAAGATTATTAATCGCTTTTCGTGATTTATTACTATTGTCTTTTTATTTAACTTGCTTACTTTTACAAATTCAAAGCCATTTAAAGCTAATCTGCAGCTAAATTTGACATTATTTAGCTGTTATTTAAAATTTTAGAATCATTAATTAAGGTGTTTGATAATTTATTTTGTGGACTCAAATTTAAATTATAAGCTGAGCTCTTTTACTATTATAAATTAATTAATTTTTGTTTAATTTGCTCATTGTTTATTTATTCTTCAACTGTTATTTATTTTTATTTTCTATTTTGTCTACTCTTCATTTTTCTTTTAAACTGAATCTACTATTAAAGCTAGTAAGAAATAGCAAACTGCTAAACTGGGTTATTTGAATTGTCTTACAATTAAGGGATTTTTTCATTTGGAGGATAAAAACTCATTGTTGTTTGAGAATTTTACTTCATTTATTATTCAATATTTTGCTAGTTTAATTTCTGCATTTATTCATTGTATTACTTATTTCTAAGAGCTTTTCCCTATGGCTAGAAAAAATCTGTATCTGTGTTTTGAGTATTTCTATTAGTAAGGGATGTATTAGCTCTCATTACTGGAGAAGCATGATTACTGTTCGCATATTAGTTAAAATCACTGGCAATTGTAGTCGTCAGATTGTGACTAAAATTACTTAAGTTTTGGTTTTAGTTGTTCTGTATTTGATTCTTAGATTAAATGCTTTTCTATTTAAACATTTGCTATAATTTTATTCTTTTATCCTTAGAAGCAGCTTTTTTCTCATCTTTCTCCTTTATTTCATGCTATTTTATTATGGAATCTACAATCTAGTTGTAAGCATTTTTCTTTTTATTTGATATAAATTTTAAATTCTTTTTATTTATCTCAATGAAATCGCTATTTCTTTACTGATTCATACTACTACTTTTTATTTTACTCCTTTTCATGACCAAAGGAGATAGTTGATTTACCTAGAAAAAATCAATTTGGGTGAAATTTCTATTGTTATTTATTTCGCTAAATTTATTTTAATTTTCTGACACCTGAGTTTAAGTTATTGCTTTGTTATCTGGTAAGCCTACATTTTAAGCTAAAATATTATTATTATTGCTTCGAGTATTCGTTTTATACTATGTATTGTACATCTATGAATCAGATACTTGAATGGTATTAGTGTCATTTTTTTAATTAGGTGAATATATAGTTCTATTTAAGTACTCAGATATCAAAGTTTAATTATTTTTGCTGCTTGTATTATCATTTATGTTCAATTCATGCTTTGTATAACGAAATGGGCTTTAGCTGCTTTTTTTTAGATTTTATTTTATATTAGGAAGTTGATTAGATCCTTAGTTGTTGATATGGCTTTATGCTCCACTGATAAAAGGTTTTTTAACTTGATGCCTATTTTAGCTTTATAAGTGAAATTATTTTGATTCTTATTAAGGAAATTCTAACAATTTTCTTTTAGGCTATATATATTTTTCTCCACTGTAAAGATAAATATCTGATTGAGACATATTTTATTCTTTTTTATCTAAGTCTTCCTATTATCCAAACCTTATTTCATTATCAGATTTATTTAAAATTGAATTTCTATCTCGTTTTTTGTTATTTCCATCAACTCCCACAATCAGATGTCTTAAAATTTATTAGCTATTGACTTCATTTATGAACTAGTTATCTTATCCAACAATATTTACATTGCTACCTTTTTTATATAACATAAGCATTAATTTTTAAAATAACATTTTTACCCTTTAATTTAATCTAATTAGCAAATATTTCTCAATTTAACAAATTTAAATATACTTAAATGTAATAAAGTAGATCAAAAATTATGAATAATCTATCCTTATTATGAATTTATTTGTAAGAATATTAAAACTTTTTTAAATATTTTTGTGGTAATAAGCATATCTAACTAACTATTCTTATGATTGTTTTAATAGATTGATTGATTACCTTAATTTGTAAGAAGATTGCTAAAATTAGTCCTCATGATAATATTTTTTAACGTCTCCTCTTAATTATTTCCTGATTGAGTTTATTAAAAATTTTTATTACTATCAAATTCATTGTTTTTATTTTAGTATGCATTTTGAGGTGATTTCTAATAAGATTTCTACTCTTTATTTTTCTTTTTCTTATTCATTTCTATAAGACTAGATGTTCTTTCTGTAAAAAAATTTATTTTATTTAGATTTTCTGTATATCTATCATTTGTATCTAACTAAAGCTCTACTGTTTTGACTAATTCCTTTGGAGATGAAGCTTATCTACTACTATCATTTCTCTAAGAGTGGATTCTATTAGTATCTTAAAAATGGTTTTATTTTTTGTAATCTTATTAAAAAATATTTGGTGATGCTTCATTTATTTTTTTTGGAGAAGCTCCTTTTGAATCTAAATTCTTGCCAGTAGAAGTCTGACTTAATCTTCTCTATTTTTAAGGAGAAGAAGTAGTTTCTTCTTTGAGCTCTTGAGTTTTTTATGAATTCAAACCACTTCTTTAGCTTTCATGCAAATTCCATTTCTATAATATAATGTTGTTCTTTTTATTATTAATTATATTTTAAGTAGCTTTATCTACTTTAGAAGAAAATATCATGTCTTTGAGCAAAACTGAATTCTTTTAATAATTTGAATCATTGTTATTAATATTGAATTCAAAAAAATCAGATTCATCTGCTTTCTTTTTTATGGAATGTAATATACTGCTCATAATAAATAAATAAAAATTAAAAAATAGATTGCTCTGTTATGAATATTTATAAAATTAACAATATAATTGTATAAAAAAATTGTGGATTTAATTTAATAAGCTTATAATTCTAAATAATTGGTATTGATTGATACTCAAATTTACACTTTAATTATATTTAAACTGTTACTCGATTTTTAGAATATGCAAATCTATTTTAGCAAAACCCAACGCAGTAGAATTTACAAATAATATTGTAAATTTGCTTACATGTTTTATTTCTCAACAATAAATAACTTTTATTTAAAAAAAATAATTTAAAGCAGATCTGACTTTAAAAGCTATCAACAATAATAAATAACTAAATAGATCAAAGTACTTTTAAAGTACAAATAAAAAGATCAATCGTTGTCTCTGTGTAAATTTAACAAATTTTTATTTTATTTCATTTATTCAAACTATGTTAAATTTTAATTTTTTTTGAAATATTATTTAATCCTAATTTATTATCATAATGCATAAAATAAAATTTTAAAAAGTTAAACTAGTACAAGCAGAGAGATTTTTGATTTGTATTATCTTAGTTGTTACTTAATTAATGTATCTATCTATCAATTTATATTTTTTGCATATTTACAACAAAATTCTTTTTTATATTGATAGGTAATTTATTTTATGTTATATTTCTTTTGTAAATTGTATATATTTATACAATATATATCCATAACGTTCTATATCTAATACATAAAAATAAAATTTATACAAATTAAACTGATTTAAGAAAAGAAATAATATATTTTTCACTTAAAAAAGATAATGTCCAACTATGTTAAATTAGCTGTAGTATATTTTATAAAATTTATATTTATTTATAGAATTAAACATCCTTGTATGCTAAAAAACTGTATTCAAGCTAAACTCTTTAAAGAAGATATTTAATTTTATTTTGTGCTTTTTGCCATCTAATTTTTTAATATTAATTTAAAACAAAATAGTTTTTTTATTTTTAAAACAAATATTTGTTAAAGAATTGATAAATAATTTTTTTAATTAAATTCTAAATGCAATTTGTATAACAGGTATGTGTGACTTAAAATTAAAACTTAACGTATTCTAATTAATATTGTTGAGGATTTAATATCTTTTTTTTTTGATGATAGTAAATTGATAATTTGAAATAAACTATTTATATATATTATATATGTAATTAGGTTAGATATAATTTTTAAATTGAGTAAACATTTATTTATTTGTCTTATTAATTAAACCATTATTTATCTATTTATTGAATCCTATTATAAAGTTCATAAATTAAATGTTTTTTATTGAAAATTTCTTTCTACAAGCTATTTAGTTCAGACAAATATTCTTTAAAAAGAATTTTGTATCAAAGCAAAATATGTTTGTAAAATTAAGATATTTGAATAGAATTCTTTATATAATTCATTCACATTAGGAGAATCACAACTTAAATTAATATTAAAATTGAATGCTTAATGATTAAAGAGTAAGAATTATCTGAACATTAAGAATAGCATTTATAATAGTAATACAGATATTCATAGCTAGAAATTGTGTTAGAACAGTCATTGAAGCATGCAATATAGCTGACCATGGTTTAATTACTTTAATTTTAAATAGAGGTGTAGTTCGTATTAAAAGTTTAGCAATTTTTTGAGTTATTTGTACAAGTTGTATAACTATTCAAAAACTAATTACAATTAGTTGAATTATTTGCAGTCCAGCAAGCAATTTCGCCACAATTTTTCGTTAGACAAGAATTAAACTCTTAAACTGTCTAAGCTTATATTTAAATGATAATGATTAGAAGAATAAAAACTAAATTTATCATATTCTTAACTAATTTTGACATTTTAAATTTCCTATTTATTATTTTTATAAACCTATTTTTATAAGATATTAACAATTCTAACTAATTATTTTATAAGCTTGAAATTATTTATCAATCAATCAATAATACACCTAAATTTAAAACCAAGTTCTATTTATTTATCTATTTCTTGCAAGTAGCTATTACCAAGCAAAAGCTTTATTTTTCTTTAAATATATTTTTTAAGAATCATATGAAATCTACTAAATCAAAAAATATATATTTCTTTTAAAATTATTTCAAATAAATATATAAGGTGGCTTCATAAAATATTTTTAAGATAAAATAGTAAATTTTTAAGTAATGAATTAATTAATTATTTGGTATTGATAAGAAGAAATTATATTTTTTTATTTTCTAATAATAGCTAGTAAATTAAGAATTTTTTTAGTGCAATTAATTATAATTCCTTTAATTTAATTTAGAAGAAAAAAAATAGACTTAATTTCATAAAATTTGCATATCTTTTGTTAGAATTTTTAGTTAAAAAGATATCGCGCATTAGTTTTGAAATAGAAAAAGTGAAAAATCAATTTAATAGATTATAGTATTATAAAAAAGGCGACATATAAATGATTTAACAAATATTTTTAAAATGAATAAATATAATTATGATATGATTTATTTTAGAATATATATGTAGCTTTTTAATTTTTTAAATGATAGATAAATAGTTCACTTGCTTCATTTTTTTCTTTCTCTTTCTTTCTCCTTTTCTTCTTTTTGTCCTAATAATTGTAATACCTTTAAGAAAATTTTGATTATATCAATATAAATTATTAAGGATCCAAGTATGTAATTGTCAATATCAAGCTTTAAGGTTTTGTCTCCCATGATTATCTAAATATCATAGATCAAGTAGAAAGAATATATCAAAACTGTTGCGTACTAAATTAACATGACTAATAACTCGCTTCTGAAGAAAAAGTTCATGATACTTACAAGAAGTAAAGAACTTATGAACATGAAGAGAGAGCTGTTCATGATAGTAACATCTTTCTTAGTTGTGCAAGCATATAAAAATAGAAGTATAGTAGCTCCAGCAGTAAGGAATCCTGCTTAAAGTACTACTAACTTGCTATATTATAGGGTAAAGGCAGAAACGGTATAACCTTCGCAAACAGTAAAAAGACCTAAGGCAAAATAATTGATTGGAACTTTTTTAGTTAAAGCTGGTACGCAGTACATACCGATAGAAATTGCAACTGTTAAAACTGTTGATAATGTAAATAGCCAGACATTTTGAGCTTAGAATAATCTAAAACTGCGACTTTGTTAACTCATAAATATCATTAAAGCTGTGAAAGCAAGCTGTATAGATAATATAGAAAATACCTTTCTAACAAATCCTAATCTAACATTCTTTAGAATATTTCCATGCTACTAACTTTCTTAGTATTAATTTTCTTAACTGTAATTTGTCTAGCTAAATGAGTCCATTTCTATTTTTTAATTGGATTTTTTTGTTTTATTAGAATTTTTAATAATTATATTGTTTTAATTAATTAATTATAAATTTGTAAATAAATTTTCACAACCGAGAGAGTATTATTACAACTCAAAGCAATATAGATAGATATTAATCACTTATTCTATTACTATTATTAAGTCAATATTCATTCTAAACGTTAAACGTGTGCATTTTTAAGTGTTTTGAAAAATTAAGCAAAAAAAAAAGATCATTTTATAAAGATTTATTTTATTCTATTACTTGTATTTAGTTATTCAGGTTTCGGCTAAATGGCTAAGCTATTCATTATACATAGAAACAACCTATTGACATTTTTTAAGAATTATACTTTAACAAAAAAGCAAATTGTATTATCAATATTTTTATTAAAAATTTATTTCACATATTTTTGATTAGATTATTTTTATGAAATTCAAGCTAAAATATTTAAAATAAATTTATTTACAATAAAATGTGAATATTTAAAATAAATTTATATTACAATAAAATATAAATATTTAAAATAATCACAATAATTAATTTTAAATTTAAAAAAAATTATTTTTTTTATTAACTAATTTTATTACAGCAAAATCTTGATTTTTGAATTGAATTTTGTTTAAATTATAAAAATTATTAAGATATATAATTAATTGTTTTAAATTTTATGATTGAGTTTTAATTACAATAAAAGCTTTATTTTTTGTAGATTATGTAAATTTTAGATTAAAATAATTATTAACTTGTCAAACTAGGTGGGCACCCTTATAAACTGAGCACTTATTATAAATGAGTAAAAATGTTTATCTTAGTTTAAATTTTCATTATAAAATACATGTATAAACAAGACAAAATTTGTAATCATGTCACATATGTGACTAGTTTAGTTGGGCAGAATTGGATTCACTGTGTTAATTGATTTTATTAAAATAAATTCTTGATTTTTAGTAGATTTAATAAAATTTTTATATTATAAAAATATAAAATTTAACTATTTAATATTTTATTAAATAACTTTATTACCATTAAATCTTAATTTTAAAGTTTGAACTAAAATATTTGTTAATTTAATTTAATTATTTAATAATTAAAAATTATTAAACTAAATATTAATATTGTTGAATAAAAAATAAGTTTTTTTTATTTTAAAGCTTTTGTTGAAATATTTTAGAAAATTTATTTTTCTTGCTTATTTTTTGAAATTCGACCTATTTGAAAAACTAATTTTTGATATTCTATTTTGACTTGCTTGTATTTGGATTGCAATTGTTTTCTATCTGTAAAATTAAAATAAATAGAAGGTTAGATAGAAAAAATAGAAATCATAAAGAATAAAATATGATGTCATTTCATTTTTAATATAAAGGATTGTAAACGTCAATTCTTAACTTTATAAAAGAATATAAAGGTGAAACAAATTAATTTGACTTGATTGATACATGAGTATGCAAAAAGAATATTGATATTTCAATAACAACAATTTAATAAATTTCAAATATCCTAACAGTTATTCAATCAACATAATTTTAAAATTATTTGAATATTTAATTAGAATAATTTTCGTTCATTAATGTAAAATTAATTCTTTTAAAATTTCTTAGAAATAATTTGTGTATGAAAATTTAGCTTAATTTAAGATTTTTGAAAAATTTAATAAATTAAATCAATGAAGAATGTAAACAAACAATGAATTTAAATAGTACAAAAATAAAATTATAAAAGTATTTATGGATGTCATCATTTAAGACTGATTTGTTTACAGGTTAAATAAATAAAAAAATTAATCTAGATATTAATTTTTAAGGAGTAAATATTTGTGTACATTATAAATATAAAAGAAATTAGAAATGTAAGTTTTAATTTCAAAAAAATAAATCATTTATCTTGCTTACCGCAAGTAAATTTTTATTTATGATCAAAAATGATAAAAAACATAACAAGAAATTCATAAATATATATTTGCTAGCTCATAAATTTCTTTAAAGGATAAGATTAATATTGACATTTTGTATAGAAAGCTGGAAAAATATTAATATATTATAAAGTTCATACGAAAATGCCTATTTTATATAGGAAATACTGATTAGACAAATAAGCTATATTATATAAATTATTTTTTTATATAGAAGTAGTTATATTTATTATATAAGTAGGTCAAGAAAAACACAATACTTTATCATCTTAAAAGACTATCCTTAATGGTCATTTAATTTCTTTATGTTTGATACGAGTTTTTCAATTATTTCAGTCATACAATTAATAGTTTTGGTTGATTAATTAGAAAAGTTAATAAAGTAATAATATAAGCTTTCACTCATTCTTTCTTTAAAGTTGGCGCTAATTAAGCAATCAAGATTAAATTTACTTTAATACATTCAAATTTAAGTAACCCTTAAGTTGAAATATTTTGCTATTAAACGAGATGTAGCTAGCTATTGAGCAAATTTTTCTCTTATTAAATTGAATTAAGCTTCTTATTTTTAATCAATATTGTATAACTGAGTTTTCAGAATTTTAGAAACTGAATTTTTTCTTCAAGAAACGGCAATTTGTTTTTAATTTAGTGTATATATTTAAGTTCGAGGTGTTTTAAAGTTCGGAGGATTAAGTAAGTTAGAGAGACAATGGTTGATAAAAGAAAGTATATAGCCGATTTAATTATTTGTTTGTTTGTTAGTTTGCCTATCTTAACTTTCACTTTCTATTTTTTAGTCTTATATATGTCTTAAATTACTCAAAATGATGTTTTAAACTAGTTAACTGTATTTTTTAAGTATCTCTAGACGACAATTTTGAATAAATTTTTAAAGTACGATTTACTGTTTAATATAGTGGATTTGGTATAGTTTATATTATTTTACAGATCTATCTGTTCTATCTAAATAGTTTAGTATTTTTAATATATATTTGAATGAATGAAGTGTGTTTTTTAATTTATCAATTTATAATCCAATTCAATTAGTTTATGTGTGTGTTATAATAAAGATTGAGAATAGGGATATTATAATCATTTAAATTCTCAAATTTTATCTATTTCATTAATTTTTGGTATGTTATAAATCTCATTGCTATCAGCAACTAACCATTGGATTTTGTGAAATCACTCTATACTTGCATATTTTATTGATATTTTCTTCTTAATCATCTCCAGAATCTTCATTGACTTGCGAATAAAATTACTCGATGAATTACTTCTCTTGATAAGTAAATTTCTTTTACTTTGGTTTCTTGAACAATTGCAACTTTTATTTTACATTTTATAATTAATTTACGAAAGTTAATATGAGTTATTTTCTATGAATTCCTCAAAAATCTTATGAATCCCTAAAAACTTTATTTAGTTCTATTGAATTTGTTTGTTTTTTAAAGGTATTCATTCATTCATAAATTCATAAAATATCTAAATTAAATTAAAAATTAATTTACAGTTGCTGAATCATCTGAAAATGAAAGGGTTTCGGGTATTTCAATACGCATAATAAAATCCCCTGTTTTAGGAATAGAGAGAGCTTAGCATCTAGCCTCGAATATCTTTTTATAAAATAATTATTTTAGATCTTAAAGAATTTTTAAATTATTTTATAGAGTTTTACCTGTGAAGATTTGTGAAGAATGGAAATATTTTCTTAAGAAGAAGTATACTCTTACTGTAAAAAGGAGTATTTAATGCATTCTAAGGTTTATACTAAATTTTCCATATAGTACATATTAAGTATACATCTATTTTGAGAAAATAAAATTGTATTAATTAATTATAATATTAGCTCTTTACATATTTTTTAAATTGAGATAATACATAAAAATAAATGAAAAATTAATCTTTATTTGTAAATAGAGTATAAATTTTTAATTGTCCATACAATCCATTTAAAACAGCTAATTTTGTTAATGCTGAATTTATAAAATCAACTTTCTAAAAACTCTGACTGAAATAATTCACTCAAATAGATTTTGAATATTCTTTAAATAAGACTTTTTTGCAAGTGAGTGATTATGTTTTGTTTATGTAAAATTAATATAATTTTTAATGGCTTTATTATTTGTATTTAAATTGATAGTTTGCTTGGATAATAGAAAAAAAAATATTTTGGAAAGAGAAAGAGAAAGGAAATAGTTTGTTTTTAGATTTTATGGAAGATTTAGAGAAAGAGGGAAGACAGCTTTTGGAAGCAGCGATAAAATTTAATTGTTTTCCCTTGTTTAATAATAAAATTTTGTGGAAATAAAGGGGTTAATTAACATATTTATAATATTAAGTAATATTTATACAAATAATCAATGTATGCTTATTGGGTCTTGCGTAATTACTTAATCGTATATTACAGATTAGGTAAAAATAATTCAAAGTTTTCTCTGACCAATGTCTTGAGTCAAATATTCATTACAATATTAATTTATATTAATTATTGCAAAAATTAAAGGCTGAATTATAAAGGATTGTAAGTTACTAACATCTTAAAATAAGTGTAAAATTATAAATTCAGCTAAAATCAGCTACAAATCTAAAATTTATTTGTTTTTGACATATTATTAATTTTTTGGTTAGTAACCGTTTGATTGTATATTTAACATAAAAATTGATTTATTTTGGTTAAAATCTTACTCTGGATGTTATCTGGTTAAGGCTGTTTCCATCAAATATTCCTCCATAGTCCACCCAATCATATCTATAAGCGATTTAGTGATATGAACTGATTTCACAATATAACCCTTTCCCATAACATAATCTCTCTTTACATAAAACCCTCCAGAATTAGGGTGGTCTTATAAGTGCTTTCTCAGGCGCTACTCCACAAGCTTCTCTTCTGATTTATCATCTTCGACAACTTAAGGTTAATTATTAATATCTTCAAAACTATATTCTTCTTGCAACCTTTACTCAAATTCCCTCAAACTACTCTTAAACTCTTCTATTTTTTAACCTAAAAGTACCAATCTTTCATGCTATGAAACCTTCAGAGCGTCAACCATCTCTTTCCTAATAAAATGATATAAAAATATTAAAATCTGCTTAGGAAGGAGTAAATTTATTTTTAAAATTGCTTTTCAGTTATTTCAAATGTACTAATTTTCTTTGAAAATAAACAACTTTACAGGTAGGAAGCGAAAAACTGAAAAACTGTATTGAAGATAAGTAAAAAATAATCAAATAGTGTAAAGAAATCTTAATATTCATCGATTGATTAATTCTTACAAAAACGAGTAAAAATTATAATTATAAATAGTAATTCAGAAGCATCTGATTGATTAAGATAAATAAATTTCGTCATTTAAAAACGAATGACATATAATTTTGAATACTACTTTTCAACAATCAGATAAAATATTGATATCAATCAATAAATCGTCAGCTCTAAAAATTATATTGATTATCTAATCAAGAATTAATTTTAATTATGAGCTATATCTTCAATTAAGTTTCTACACTTTTTCTCTTTGTAAAGATTTTTGAAGGATTCATTTTAAATAAAATTAGTCATCTATGGAAATTATGTGGTGAATAAATCCTCGATTCTATAAATTTGCTTAACTTTACGAATATAAGTATGAAGTAAATAAATTTGTCCAATATTTCTGTTTATTTGTTTTATGAAAATACCTTGAGGTTGTTTGGCTGAAATTAAATCAATCCATTTTTTTTTAATATTTTAAAAACTGTAACCAAAATTTTTAATTTACTTTATGTCAAAAGGTTTGTGATATAATATTAATAATTTGACAATTGTTTGTATTCATTTATCCTCGAATAATTATATTATTTTTTACATATCTCTAAGGTTACAATCGACGAAAATTTAAATTGATGACTTAAAAAGAAGCCAGAAGTGTTATAAAATTAAGTTATTTTTTAACAACGAAGGTTTGTTTCATCCAAGAAAATTTCATAATTAAAAAAAGGCTTACCAGTTGACAGTAGGATATCTCATATAATCTTCAAAATATATATTAATTATACTACTGTCTGAGTTTAAAGTAACATACTCGACTCTCTTCATTTTGTTAAATTAATTAACACTGTATTTTCTTGTATCAATAACAAAGTTCTTGTTGATTAGAATATCCTAATTTTATATTATAATATGGTTAAATCTCCTTAACAATTTATAAAAACTTCAAAAATTTCAAAAAATTTTGCGCGAATAATTTGTTCATTTATGTATGATCAGAATAAACCATGCATATTTCTTGTAAATTTTTTTATATCCATTAGGAATAAAACATAATTTATTTATAAATATCATACATCACCAATATTAAACCATTCATCATATTAATTCTCCTTTGAGTTATTGAATTCAATAACAGTGGCAGTAAAAGCATGCTTTGTGCTCGAGTTTTCTTATTTTGGTTTAACCTTTTCTGGTAAAGGCCCATATTTAGCCTCATTTAAACATCTCAAAATCTTTCTTATCATTGTTAAAATTGTGAAATTGTTTGAGTTGTTAATTTTAATACTTTTATTAATTTCAAGTTGTTTCTTCTTTTCTTTCTTTCTTTATTTTTTTTATAAGATTTCTTTCCTTTCTTTTTTGATTTCTTTTTAATCAAAATACCTATTTTATAGGTAATTTCTTATATAGAACTATGCAGCCAAGCAAAAAACAAATGTAGATGAATCTGCCAAAAAAATCAAATATTTCCTATTTCTTTTTCTTAAACCAGTCTTTCTTTGCTTTGAATACAAAATCATTATTAAACAAATTTTTTTATATGTTGATGGATTAATTTATAATTCTGAAAATACAAGCAAAACAAACAAACAAACATTAAACAAACAAGCATATCTATCCTCTTACCCCCTTTAATCTTAAAAATTGTAAGTTTATTTTTAGAAATTTATATAATCTATTTAAATAATATTTAGTAAGGCATTATGTAAAGAGAAATAAATTTTTTGCGGAATATAATTAATTTATTTATTTTTAAGCTAATTAACATACAAAGAGAGGAAATATAGATAAGTTATTTTCATTTCAATATAAATTTAGATAATATTTACAAAATTTGTTAATATAGTTTATTCAGGATTAATATGACATTCTTTACGATTATTACCTATTTACACTTAATGTTTAAAGATTATTTTTTTAAAGAAAATTAATTTAGAATAATCGAAGTTTTTAATTTAAACGTGTATCATATTTCACTCCAAATTTTTTAATAGTTACATGCAAATCAAATCTTATTTAATACCATTAAAATCAATATCTATTTTGATAAGTTTGAGATATATGCTCATTATTCTAATTACTTCCACCGTTACTATTATAATTACTAAACACGTTGTTGTATTGCTAATTTTCATTATTCTGCTAGTAATAGCTTGGATTTCTCATATAATTTTAATTTGAGTTTGTATTAAAATTATTAGCATATCCCATATTATTCATAATTACTTCATCTTAATTTTTAAATGTTACAGGGTTGTGGCTTGGTGTTTAGTATTACGATCCATAATTATAGCTATCGTTACTCAAATCTTAATTAAAATTTTCAATATTAAAAGGCCTTATTATATTAGAATTGCTTTGTAGTTACTTGTTTACACCAAAGACATTATTTGAATTTTAACTATAGGTATTTGAGTTACCTGATTAGTATAATTTATTTCTTGGATCAGCTAAAAGTCTATTACTAGCATTAATATCTTCTTCAAACCATCTTTTCCTCTGCCCATTTTCCCATTCTCCTTTCCTTGGGATACCATCTCTATCATAAAAAATGCCAATTCCATGTTGTTAACCATTGACCCAAAAGCCTTCGTATTTTCTTCCGTCAGGCCAAATAAATACACCTTTGCCATGCTTTTTATCTTCTACATATTCCCCTTAATATTATTTCCTATCTGGCCATGTAAAGAAGCCCTTTCCATGCAGTCTACCGTCTTTAAATTCTCCTTCATATCTTTTACCATTATGATATGACATTATGCCATAACCATTTATTTATCCATCCTCAAAAGATCCCTCGTATTGTGTTTAATCAAACCAAACAAAAACTCCCTTTCCATGTTTTTTGCCTTTAAAATACTCACCCTTGTACTTGCTTCCATCTATCCACTCTTCTTCTCCCATTCCATGCTACTAATCATCTTTCCATTCCCCTTAATTAATAATTTAAAAATAAATAAAATAGCTTTCATGCTTAATTCTTACCTGTATAAGTAGAGATTTCTGTGTACTGAGTACCGTACCCATCAGCTTTATTACCTTTCCATTCACCTTCATAAATGTCACCATCTGAAGAAGTGAAACGACCTCTTCCTTGCCTCATTCCTTCGACAAAAAATCCTTCATATTTAGATCCATCAGGCCATGTTAGAATTCCTTTACCATGCATTTTATCAGCAAACCACTCACCTTTTTTGAAATATTTTAAGTTTATAAAAAGAATTTAACTGAAAAAAGAATATCTATATATCTATATATCTATCTAACCTTAACGAATATAATTTAATAAGCAGGCATAAGCGGATAAAATAATAAATTATATATACCTACATAAGTAGATCCGTTTGGCAGCCTTTAGGCTTGTCTAAACTCTTTATGCTTATTTTTCTCATCTGGAGGATCGAGTCCATAAATAAATGGCTAGAGTTGGGGTATTTTTTTTCTCGAAAGCCTTATAGATTCCCTATTTTATTATATATTTTCATTATTTATAATTTAGCTGGGAGAACTATTTTAATTAAATCCATTCTAATTAGCTGCATATGAATTATTTGATTGATTATTTTTTCCTAAATCCTACTAATTATTATAGATATTATAAGTTTCTTTCCCTTAATTTTAAGTGCCGTTGTTTAGAATTTGAGCAGTTTGAAAATCTTAATTTTTTGATGGTGAATTAGCTTGGGATTGATTTGCGTACACCTGTTTATTTTATGTCTATAAACCCTTATATTCATATCCACCAAATGTGTTATTATCTAGCTGAGTGTTAAAATTTCCATTAACTGCATTTTGTTTTTATTCTTCGCTGTAACAGACTCCCATTTATCAATAATAACAAAGCTAATACCGCTAATTTACTAACTAATTTATTTTATATAGATTAATTTCTTTATTTTAGAAAAATAAGTCATTGATTTTTTATAATAAATCTCAAAAATTAACTATTTCCTTGATTTTTTAATTGACAAAAAAATAAATAAATAAAAGAATAGATTAATTTTTAGAAAAGAAAATAGATAATTGAATGGATATATTTTTATATAATTAAAATTATTTCAACCATTAATTAAATTTTTTTATGCTTTTCTAAGAAAATTCATCAAAAAATACAAAAAAAATAACTAAGTAATAAAAACAATCTTTAAAATAATTTCTTTCTTTCTCCTAAATTTTTAAATTTGAAAAAAAATAAAACAAAAATTTATTGAATAAAATCAACTTTAATTTAAAATATATAAGTTTATAAAAATCATATAAAAATTCTACTTAGTAAAATTTTATGTACATATTTTGTTAGCTAAATAATAAGAATTTCAATTATTTATATAAATCAATTTTAAAAGTATTTATTTATTTATTGATGCATGTATAAGTATAAGATATTTTTTAATTAATTAAATTTTATAATTTTCATTTTAAATTTGTTAGGTTGTTTATTTAGTCTCACTCTTAAAGCATATCAATTTATAAATCAATTTTATGTTTTTAGTCTAGCATTTTGCTGATTGCTGTGAGCACGCTCATACGAATTTCTAAGTTTATTATCAATATCAAAAGAGTTAAATGCCCCAGAATCATAAGAATCTGTTTTTATTCTTCTCTTTCTATGAACTGAATCTTTTCTTTATTAGCTTGAAGAAGCAGAAGCTTATCCTACTTGTGAGCTTTAGGGGAATTAAATTTTTGTTTGCACTTAAGTTGAGTTAGGCATAGAAATCTTAGCAAAATTAGATTTGGTAGTTGAAGGAATGCTTTGAAAATTATTGGTGGGTGATTGTAGGGTTGAAAAATTAGAAGGGGATTTAACAGATATAAGATTGAATTTTTCGTTGTTAAATTGAATGTTATTTGAAACCATCTTTCTTTTATGGAGTTATCTGCTATTTACTTTTTGAGATTTTTATTCTAAAGCAGGCTATTAAAAAACAATATTATTTTAAATAACAGTAGAGGCTAGTTATTGGTTGATAGATGATTGAGTTAAAACTTACTATTATTTACTATTAGATTATTAAGTTAGACTAGCTGATAAGTTTTGCTAATATTACTAATTAGATGAAGAAATTGAACCTATATTTTAAAGTATATGTTATCCATTAAAACTTTATTGCAAAGATGAATTGAAGTTGCTATTATTTGGTATAAAATTATTTATTAAGGGTTAATTTTCTTAGATATACTAATTTGATGACACTAATTAATTTAAGTTAGAGTTTGTGTTAAAATTTTAATTGGCATTTTAAGAGTTTTTATTGCCTGCAGAATTGTTTCTCTTTTGTGAGTTTTTGAGAGAATAATTATTCATTTCTATTTACTTCAAAAAGTTCTCTTATGGAAGCAGAGAATTTTCAGTAGTTGAAATATTTGTGTGAGCTGCTGTCGTTGAAGAACCTCCACTAATAGTACTTGGTAGATATATTAAATTTGTATTGATTTAAATTTCTCCTTGCTTAAAACTGTTAAGCTTCTTTTCTCTTAATTATGCAGCAGCTTCTTTTTCTTAAGAATTTTACCTTCCTTGTTATTGATTTAGTAGAACTGAAAAAAGATAATTGTTATCTTGCTATTTGCTATTATTTAAAGATTAGTTATTTGAGTTCTAACCTTATACCTTTAGAGCATTGTGAGGTTCTGATGAATGGCGGATAGGCATTACATTTTCATTATTGAATTAGTTATTTTTAGCACCATTTTAATTTGCAAATTCAGTGGGATTTTACTGCTATGGTTTTAACAAACTATAATTAAAGGATTTTTAAAGAGATCCATTTCCAAAATTTGTGCTCCCAGTTAAATTATTTGAATTTGTGCTATTTTTTGTGCTTTAAGAAGTAGGAATTTATTAGCTAATATTAGACAAACCAAATTATTCAGGGAGAGATGGTCTGTGGTTTTCAAAAAAGTTTTGTTTCATCACTTTTTTAGCAGTTATTTTATCAGTCAAGTTTAGTGGATTTTGCTGTTAAGTATAGTTAATATTTTATTATTGATTTTACTGTTAAAAATAAGACAATGTCATATTCGGATTTTGCTGGATTTAATTTCCGTTTTGGGTGTTGTTATTGTTGTTATTGTTGTTATTGTTTGCTGCAGAAGGTTTCTTTGGCTCTGTTTACTTTCTATCATCTTAAAGTCGATTTTATTTTAAAAACTAATTGAAACTTTTTAAAAAGTTGTGTCCTTGCTATTTTTGTTAGTTTTAAGCTGAGGAATTGGTATTATTTTATGCATTAAGTTAATTCGAATTATTTGTTAATTGCTGATTATTCCTTTTTGCCTTAGCTTGGTTCAGCAATTACTATTAAATAATAAAAATTTACTAAAAGTTATTGTTTGTTTAACCACCTACATTATTTATTTATAAATTATTTTGCTACTGTTGGTGCTAAGGAGGAGAAGTATGAATATTTCTTCCTTAGCTTTTTGAAACTCCTTATTCACTGATAATTCCATGATTATTATTAGAATTCATTATGTTTTAAACCTTAATTTTATTATTGTTTTTATTATTAGAAGAGCTATTTGAAGGCTCAGAATAGCATATTTGATTAGACATATCAGAAATTAAATTATTTTGAGCTTGATTATTGTTGTTGCTACTGCTATTAAATTAAGATTTTTTTATGTTTGTAGAAGTTCCAAAGATGTTACTTTAATTTATATTATTTAAATTCTATGATCCTGCTTAGGTGGAAGATGAATGAATAGAGCTGCTTTAAGGTCTTTGCTTTTTAACAATTTCTTCTATTTTATCCAGTATTTATTGTTAATCTTTAATGGAATTACTATTTGCTGATGAGTTGCTAGGATTGCTTTACCCAGTAGATTACTTTTTATCTCTACTCAAAGAGCGAGTTTTATTTTCAAACAAATATTAAGCTTATTAGTACTTTTATTGATTAAGGTATTACTCCTCTGCTTTTAACAAGTTTTGTTATTTCAAATTCTACTAATTAAAATATTAAAGAGCATCGCTTTATGAAGAATTATTTATTCCAGGATGTACTTATTACACATGATGTGTTTTTATTTATTTATTTTATTGATTTTCTTAAAACTATTCTTACTATTTTTAAAGTGTTTCTGATTATTATCCTTTTTATGAAATAGACCCATTTAATGTAAGAGATTATTGTGTAGCACTCATAGTCTATGAATGAGTGCTTTCTTATGTTAACGGAGTAAGTATATTTGATCCCTCTTGCAATAAACTATCTCCTCCAGATATATTTTATTAATTGGAAATGATTACATTATTATTTGGTTGGGTTATATTATTTTATTGACTAAATTATTCTATTAATTACTGTTCATGTTAAAGCATTTGATCTTCTATGCTTTTAGGTATTTATACTTTTTTTGCTATATTTTAAAACTATATATCTTTTTCAAAGTGCTTTTACTTCTTTTCTATATTTTCAGTTCCTTGGGGTGACTCTTTAGATTTTCTATCAGAGCTATAAAGTTCTAAATTTTCTCCTGCATGAGGTTATGAATGATAAAAGATGTACAAATCTTAAGCATGGTTTTTTGGTACTATTTTAAAATTAAAAGAAAATGATGAATTTTATTTTAAATAGTTTAGTTTTTACTAGTTGTTCTTATTGCAGGAATAAAAAAATTATTTTTTAAGGCAATAGAAGATGAGGCTGTTATATTCACACCTTTTTGAGGTTTTAATAATTTTACTTGGTCAGGAAATTCTTCTTCTTCAGGCTTTTAAATTTAAAAAAATATTAAAAAATAAAAAAAGAAAGTATTTATTTATTATACGATAATTTGCTTATCAACTCCATGAAATCTAGTGTAAACATTAATGATTTGAGAAATCATAGGTGCATCTTAAGGAATTAAAGTATAAGCAATTTCTAAACTTTTACCAAGCCAGAATTCTCTTTTTAATTAAATTAGTTTTATTGAAAAATTATTTCTTTTAAAAAATTGTTTTACGAATCTGAAATTTTGTAACTGAGGTTGGGGTTTTGCAAAAAAGAGGACTCTTCAATAAATCTTGTTTCTGTTGAAATGCAATAAAAGCAAATAGCAGATTCAACTATCTTTCTTAAAGAGCTTTCTACTATAATTTCGTTAAATGTTGGAGTAAACTAAGATATGGTGGATAAAGAAACTGGTTTCATTTATAGTAAATTGAGTATATTTGATGTTAATAACCAATGATTTTCCTTTATTGTACTATTAATAAAGTGCATATCAAGCTAAGATGGCGAAAGAATAAAACTCAATCTCTTTTTGGGGTCAACCTCTTTCGATGAAATTAATTCCTCATATATTTATCTCATATACAAAGCTAATTTGACTTTTTTATCAAATTTTTCATTAAAGTTATCTCTCAGAGCTCCAAAATTGTTGGTAATGTAATGAAAAATAGGCAAGCATTTGAAAGCAAGATTTACTTCTTCCTAAGAGAAAATTGGAGCATCAGAAGATTCACTGAGTAAATTACCATAAATGCTTGAACATTATTTGAGACCTTTTGAAGATCCAGACATTGTATTATTACTTAAATGGGAATTTGAATAAGCAGAAGAAGAAGATAATTTTTTTTCTAAAGGATTTGTAGGAGTTAGCAAGCGACCTTTAGTGCTGCCAGAGCGCTGCTTCACTACAGGAGAAGCAATTTGATTATTATCACATGAAGATGAGGAGTTTCTTTGATTGCTTTGACTAGTTGTTTTATTTTAAGTTACATTATTATTTCCATATTCACTTCTTATTCTTCTGTGAGAGTTATTTAACGAATTATTATTTATTATTAGCTACTATTGCTGGGCTTAGCTTTAAACAGTAGAATTATTTGAGCTTCTATTGAGTTTTTCGAATTACAGCAATACTTTTTGAGATAGACTTAATGTAGATTCGGACGAAGGCTCAGTTAATGTTTAACTTTTTGCTACAGAAGATGAATTGACTGCAGAATTTTCTGTATGAAGAACAGCTTGATTAGCACTTAGCATGTTTCCTCGAATGAGAATGAAGTAACAAATACAAAGACAATCATATAATATATGAATCGCAATTTTTGAAGATTTTTTTGCATAATCTAAGGCATCTTCATGCTTTCCTATTTCACTAAACAAAATACACATTTATAAATTCAGAGATAATCTCAACTTTTTACGCTTGAGCTTATTTCCTAAATTAGAAAAATATGTTAAAACATCTTCAATACCCTGAGAAGTAAATCCATTTTAATTTATTTAACTTCCCTCTTTCAACGTTTTAGAAAATGATGAGATAAAAGCTGCTTCTGATATACAACCGCCAATTGTATTAGGAACAGGCAAACCGTTAGAATCTGTGAATTATTGATTGCTTTAGAAAGACTTACCAGCTGAAGCTGAATACTTCGATTCTGGATTTTTATTATTTTTATTGCTTTAAGTTAATGAAGCTGCTTTTTCAGCAATTTTTTTTTTCATTCTCATATCAGAATTTTCAAAACAAGAATAGGCTTCATCAAATAGCCCTGCTTTATAAAAACAAATTCCTAAATTTATTACAACGGCAAGCATGAGGTCAGTTGAAACTTTTCCTTCTTACTACATATACGTATCGATAAGAACTTCTGCATTACGAAACTGCTATATTGATTCTTTCAGGTTGTTCTATTCTAGGTACTTTAATCCTGTTTCTATGCATTGCTCAATATATTTAGGTATATCTGATTCGCTAATTGACTAAAAGTTGTTAGAATTACTATTACTGTTACTATTTTAGTTAGAGACTAAGTTTTAACTAAGCTTATAGTTGTTTCCACTTAACAAATTCGATTATTACTAATTACTTAATTTCTATGATTACTGAATTTACTACTGTGGTATTTTAGATTGCTACAATTTGTTTGTAAAAGTAATTTAAAATATTATTGGTTTTTGTAACAACTTCACTATCTCTTCTAAATTATTCCTATTTTAAGAGCTGCCTCCTCCTTTCCCTTAAGTCTAGTTTTATGTATTATCAAGAGAATTTTTCTAACTCTGCTAGCTATTTCCATCTTTATGATGATTTTCAAATTACTCTTTCCTTCTTGGACTTATCTTATTAATCAGTTCTGGCTCTTTTTCATTATCAATAATTTTATTTTGTTTTTTCAATGGTTTCTTGAGCATCTTAATTGTTCTTTATATTAATTTTTCAATTAAGGCTTTATAATAAGTTAAACTATTTTAAAATATTATCTTTAATTCTACAGAACCAAAAATACTTTGTGAGACTGCTAACTACTTACTTTGAGTTTCTTTAAACAAATTAGCTTTAAGCTGAAATCTATTTATTTATGGCTATTTATATAATGATACTACTTACTGCTATAAATTAATTCAATTTAATTGTTTCTACTCTACTATTTTATTAGAAAGTAATTTTTAATTGGTAAAAGAAGAAATTATATTTTTTTTCTTTTTCTTTATTTATTTAACAAATAAACCAAACCATTTATTTATTTATTCATTCTTTGATTATCCATTGATTAACAATTTTATCAAATTTTTTGACTAGAATAGTTTGTTAGGGTCTTTTCCCTATTAAATAAACAAACAACTAATTAATAAAAAAACACAGACAAAAAACTCTTAACAAATCAGATAAAAATAATATTACTTTATTTGATTTTTCATAATAAATATTTTTATGAAAATTCTCCAAGGTTAGTTGTTTCTTTAATTAACATTTAGCTTTTCAGTTTAAATTAATATTTAGGTTAAATGAAAAAATTTGATTTTAAAATCAAAAACTATTATTGCATTTCATTTTTAAAAATAAATAACTATTCTTATTATTTGTTTGATAAAAAAAATATTTTTTTAAAATAATTTTTAATTTTTTATTATTCAATTTATTTATTTGTTTTTCATAATCAATTCATAAAATATTTTATCAAAATAATACTTATTGATTTAATTTGAGTGAACATTATTTCATAAATAAATTTATTAAAATTTATTAATTAAAATATTTATTAAGCTGTAAAACAAAAAAGTATTTGAAGTGTAAGTAAGTAAAGCTAAATAAATAGGATAAAATACCATGCATTGCTATTAAAATTTATTTATTAAAAAAAAATACACAAATATTAACCATTCTATTAATTAAAAATTAATTACTGGATAATATCAAAATTGAAATATGTAAACAGGAAATTAGAGGTAAAAATTAAAAAATAGTCGTTGAATTATCTATTTATTTATTCATTCATATTACATTAAATGGTTATGAATGAAATTATTAAGAAGAAATGTTCAACGAATCATGATTATCCATTAATCTTTCAAACTTAAGCTTCTTTGTAATTAAAAAGCAAAAAATACTGAAATTGCGAACAAATAAATAAAAAATAAAGTAAGGAGAAAGAAATAAATAAATTAAGATAGTTGAAATTATCATTAAATTTTAATATAATAATTACCAAAATATTTAGAGCGCTTTTTTTAATAAAAATAGAATAAAACAAGCTTATTAGCTTTTTGAGTGGCAATAAGAATAGATTTTCCAGTAAATTAATGATTTCATATTAATTCATAGCATAATAAATCAGATATTTAGTTTATTCATTAGCGATTTAAATAATTTGATCTTTTTTGGAAGCCATCAATGAAATTTGCTTATTTATTATTTTGCAAAATTTAAAATTTATTTGATGAAAAGATGAGCTTAATAGGAAATTAATAAGGAATTATATTTTAAAAATATAGGATTTTATATAATTGAAGCAGAAACAGACTTATTATTGTATATAGCAAAGCTATTTCATAAATTAATTGAATGGGATAAATATTGAATAAGCAAAAATAGAAGTAGGCTGATGGACCTACAAAAAATATAGAAATAAAATCCAAACTTGAAGTTATTTAGGATTTAAAGCATTTAGACTAGACGAAAAATTTAATAGATGTCTTCCCTAAATACGAATAAGTATATAAATTCTTAGAAAAGAAAGAACACAGAATATATGGAGAAATATTCATATTGGCAGAAACCAACGATCCAAATATTCAAATAGCCGTTTAAGAAAGTTTTTTCTAAAACTAGTTTGAGTTTTAAATGGAAGTAGAAAATTTAAAAGAAATAGAAAGCTTCACTTAATAGCATTAAAATTTAATTTAACTTATTAAATACTTTGATTATAATTACAATTCTATGTGCACTTCTTTTCATAGGCTTATAACTGTAACAGAATATCTTTCAAGAGACCTTTCAACAGAATTATTCTTTAGGAAATTATTAATTGAAAAAACAACATCAAGCGCTACCCCTAAAAATGGGGAAAGTACAACTAAATCTAATTAAATGTAAGTAAGCTTGTCTTCAAAAAGCTAAAGAAGTCTTTCTGCAAACAGCGTTGCAGTTCAGAATTAATCTTAAGTGAAAAATAACAGCAACATGTTACATTCAAAAAGACTTTCAGAAATCTAAAGAAAAAGTGTACTCATTGTAACAAAAGTATTTTCCACTCATGAAAATGACAACATTATAGAAGATCAAGGAGAAGATGAAGGCAACTTTTATGAAAAAAGAGGAGCAATAGCAAAATAGATAAAAAATAGGAGCCACTTTTAATTTAATGCATCGGATAATGCTTACAGATTTTAGGAAAAAGAATTTACTTACATATTAAAATCCCTTATATCAGGATTGTGTTACCTATAAATGTAGAATAGAACTCATCAATGTCTTCGCTCATCATCCATTTTCATAGCTCGAGACGGTACTATCAAGCTCACAGACCCTCATTTGTTTAATCAATCTTCTCTCTACACATACATTTACAAAGGGCAGTAATAATATATAAATATATTTTTATCTTTAATAAAAAATTAGTTGTTCAATAATACTAAATTTAATCTTAAAAACACAATTTTCATAATAGACTTGAACATATTGTTACATTTAATTACAGTCAAAAATGTAATCAGAAATTCTCAAATATTTTATAGATATTTTTAATTTAAAAATAAAAATTATATTCTAAAAAAAATCAAATTAAATTAATTTAAAGAATTAATGAATATTAAAAAAATTACTTTTAAATATGATTTGATCAATTTTATTAAAAAAATATAAAAATTTTATTTTTAAAAAGTAAGATTTCTATTTTATGAAATAGTTCAATTGATATTTTAGTTTTTTTTTAATTCAGAATAAAAATAATTAATGAAATTAAGTAAAATATTTGTAAAATATTCTAGATCAGTCAGTGGAGCATATTTATCACCTTTGCTAGTTAGTAATGTAGAATATTCAGTAGTAAAGCCTGAGCATAACGAATACAAAAGCGATGTTTTCACATTGGCTGTGATAATGTTAGAAATAGCTTATTTAAATAAGTTAGATAACTACTTCGACTACACTGAATACTGTTTAGTTGATGTTGAAGGTTTGTAGATTCTAGCAGAAAATTTAAAAGATATATACTCACAATCTATAATATCTCTTTTACTTTAAATGCTTGATGAAAATGAAGATATCAGACCAGATTTTGTCTCCTTAGCTTAAAAGTTAGGAATATTTAATGCTAGTACTAATGCAGTTGTTTAGCTTTCCAAAAATGATTCATAGAGCGTAATTTATTCTAAATTAGCGTCATCCACATCTTCAAACCAAAAACCAATACCTTAAGCAACATCAATTATTATATAACCTTCAGATTAATCATTTACATCTTAATCACCTAGATTTTCTAAGACTAATGAATCAAATCAATAGCAATCGATATAGAATGCAACACCAAAAATAACATAAATCTCTGATGCTAAGTAAAAATAAAATAATTTTACTCAAATTTTAAACCCATACACTTAAGACACAGTTAGGAAGAGTAAAGAATTATAAATAACCGAAAAAAATTCTAAACTGTAAAACTAAGCTAATTCAAGATCACTAACTCCAAATAGAGAAAAAACTCCAAATAATGTTCCTTTGATACCAATAACGAATTCTTCATAAGATGCTTAAACTAGTTCTCCATAAATTGCAACAAAATCTGAAAAACATGAATCAATATGTAATGATATGTTAACTCCAAAGAGACCTTAACTAGCTGAGAATTTAGACAATAATTACAGATTTATGACTCCTTTACCTTAAGTAAGACTGTAAACTCCTGATAACACTACAATATAGAAACATATGCACTTACTGAATCAAACGCCTTTGACAAAAACTAAGCAATAACCATTTTTTAACAAAGGAGTTTCTCCAATAAAAACAGAAAGTACTGCATCAGACATTCAAAGAACCTTGAAAACTGAAAGCTCAATTGATCCATAAAGATATCATGCAAGATCTACTTCTCCAATTATGCATCATTAGTCTAGCCCTTCGAAATAACCAATTACACCGAAATCAGATTTCAATAAAATAATAAGTAGCCAATATACTCCTACATAAGTAAGAATGAGCATAAATCAATCTAATCATTCATCTTATCCTTTAAATACAAGTCCTTTTTATTAGTAAAGCTATTCTCCAATCAGTTCATACTAAACAGAAAAATCACCAATTAGTACAAACAATAACAACAACAACTAAAACTTATCTCCAATAAGCAACTATTCTACATAATAACAAAACAAAATCAAAGAAACATAAAAGTAAAATTCAAATTTTTTATTTTTAATTTTAATCAAATTTATAAAATATATTTAGCACTTTGACCAATTCTAAAGCTTAGAGCAGAAAAAATTCAAATTCAAACTAAATATAATCATAGAATTCATATCAACCTTTGAGTAAATAGCAGAGTACAGTTTCTCCCATCAATACAAAATAAGAAACAAAGCCAACATTATCAAGATAGTCTTTATCTGCAATTAATATTTAGCAAGTTGGTAATTTGAGTAATAATAGAAACAGTATAAGTGATTCATCTAAGGCATTTAATTTAGTAAACAGTTCAAGATCACCTTCTCCCATAACAAGTAAAAGTACTCAACAAATAAAAAAAATGATTAATTAAAGTGAAGAAAAACCCTCATCTGCAAGTATTTAAATACAATAACATATTCAGAATAAAAAAAATGAGTAAAAAAATAGCTAACAAAGTCTATAATTATCTAACAATTAATCAACAAATTCAAACAACTAAATTGCATTAAAAAAATTGTCTATTTCTAACCCTTAAAGTATATTACCAACAAAATATTAATCTTAGAGTTCAACAGTTGAAAAGGATATTATATCCTTTAGCAGATAACCTACTTTTGCTCCTTCTTAAATTGGGTAATAATAGAAACCTCCATCATTAAAATCTTCATTGCAATAAAATAAACAATCTCTATAAAATCTAAACGTCTTTACACCCCAAAGGTAAATTAATTTATAATTCATCAAGTAAATTTATTTGAAATGTTATTTAAAAAAGCTAAATTTCAAATGGTGTAAATGTTTAAGCATATCTCTCATCTTAATCTACTGTTAATAGATATAGCTATGGTAATATATAGATTATAAACTAGTTTGATAATAAATCTCCTGCTCTTACTAAATTATCCAACCTTTCTGCAGCTAACAATTTAAATGGTAATAACTAAACTTAACATGAACCTCAAAGCCAAAAAAATTATACAGGAGTTGCTTAAAAAAAAGGTTCTGTTTTAAGAATAAATTAAAACGTAAAATCTTAAAAGCATGGTAGTTTATAAATTAATGAATAACAAACATTTGGATAGTAATCCATTCAGAGTTCAGTTAACAATAATAGCTAAACAGACTCAATGACTGAATCTTCATAGTAGATGAAAAGCTCCTCTCGATAATCTCAAAAATCTCATAGATAAAGCTAATCAGGTATAATAAGCAATTAAACTAGTTTTTTGTTTAATTTATATTAATTTTTAACATAAAATTCATCAAAATATCAAACAAAACTAAATTTAAATTATTATAAAATAAAAATAGGGAACTAATTTTAGTACAGAAGTAAAACAGAAATAGGGAATGAATAAGATGTAATAACTTAAGATAATTAAAAATTCTACGATAACTTTTTTAAAAGCGATAAATCTCCAGTAATTTAATCAAATCTTTAGCTTTTAAATTTAAAGTAGCAACAATAAAAGCCTTAGTAAGAGACTATATACAAACCATACATCCCTAAAATGTGCATAAATACTAATAATGATTAATAAGCTTTCAGCTCTTAAAATTTCAATAATTCCAAGTAATAAAATGGGGGAAAACTAATTGAAGGGCTAGGAGATCTAAAACCTGCAAGCGAGTTATTTTCGAATAACAAGAACAAAGATTAACCAAAATCAAAAGCATAAATAGAAGAAAGTCAATAAAAATCTCTTAAATAGTCTGTATCTTCAAATTTAAGTTAATCTTCAGCAAATAAAATCCAAAAAAGAAATTCAAATCAAATTGATATTAATGCAAATGAGGTTTCTAACAAAAATATCAAAAATGAACTCACTATGAGTTAAATTAACAGGGAATTAGAAAAACATAGGAATTTTTCTAAAAAGCTTTAAGAAGAAATGGAAAGATAAAAGCAATAACAGTAAATATTATAATAGCAAATTGTTAATTCTTCATCAAAAATTACTGAAGATTAAAATAATTTAATACCTACATTAGAAAAATAGAAATCTATCAACACAATTATAGACTAGCACATATTTGACAATCAACTTAGATAAACTCCCTCTGATATTGTTTTTCCTTTTTCCAATCAAAATTATTCTTCAACAAATGATCAGCCCTTTAAATCATATAACCACACAGGCACTTTTGGGAAATAACCCTCAAGTGATAATTAAAATCAAGAATAAATTTAAAATGATATATTATAAAATGGATAAGCTGAAGACAAGGAAGAAGAAGAAAAACCTAAGAAGACTTCACCTCCTAAGGAGTTTGGTACAGATTACATTGATTAATTGATAGCTAAATTTAAATCTGAAATCACAAGTTAAATATAAACAAGCAATAACCAACCAAATAAATAATCATCTGATGCTGCAGAAATAACTCAACCAAACAATACAAACTTGTCAAAAAACACAAACTCTATTATTCCAAGCTATACTAGCTACTATGCTACAAAAACAGACCTAAATAATCAACCACAATCGTAAAATGAGTATTAAAATGTTTCTCCAAGCAATATAAATTAGAATGATTAGTAAAATAAAACTAATTTAAATATTGCATCGAACAACAACTTGACTGGTGAAAAATATGCAGATTAGCCAGCTAGTTCTGAAAGAATTATGAAGAGAGTAGAAAGTGACAGTATAGGAATAGGCTTTGCAGGATTTAATGCAAAAGCTTAAATTTAGCTTTAAAAGAAGGGAAGTCTAAATAATTTTTAAGATGAAAAAATAGCTTCTAACGATTTCCCCGTTGTAGGAAGTAGGGCAGATCTACCAAAAAGCCCAAACAGCTACATTAAATAAAACTTTACAGAAATTCACTCTATACCTCTTTCTCAGCTGTAGAAGGCTGAAGCTTTACAAGGACTAGATTGTTAAGAATTAAAGGGGTAACTTAGCTAGTAACTTAAAGCTAAAAAAAGATATTCAATAAATGAGAAATATCAAAATGAGAAGGAAAAAATAAATTTAGAAACTTAGCAAGATAGTAGTATTTCTTCGAATGTATAAGAGGCAAGTTCTGTTTATAAAGGAAATAGTAAATAAAATTATGAAAATATGGCTGGTTATAAAGATAGCATAGAGTAAATTTCATAAAATACTTCTGTCTCAAATAATAGTTAGTCAATTCAAATCGTACTTCCAAAGTAGACAAATTTATTTGGAGAAAAATAGCAAAATTAAACTTAAGTAAACAATGGTACAGATTCATATGGGAATTTTGTTAATAATTAAATTTTACACACTGATAAAAGTGGAAATGATTTGTAGAGAGCACTTAATGAAAAGAAATAAGAAGGAGATTAAAATAATATTTAGATGTAAATTTATAAACAAAACACATTTGGTACTAATGCACCTGCACTTATGGATGCAATAAAGAAAGGCAACTACGTTACAGAAGATTTAAGTTAACAATATTAGAGTGCATAGTTTAATAATTTTAATAGCTAGAACGGTATAAATCCTCCTTTCATTAGCTTTGCTTAAATAAGCTAGCAAAGTAATTTAAATAGCATTGAAAATATTATTAGTACTAACTATTAAAGCGAAATTAAATTTGATCATTTGAATGGTTATGGTGATGCTTAATATAAGCTAGCTAATAAATTTAATTAAAATATAGGAGAGTAATTGAAGAGTAATAACAAATAAACTTATGAAGAAGATAGAAGTGAAACAAATAACATTCTCATAATTAACAACAATGATAGTTAAAGAGAGGATTATGTAAACAATTAGTTCTGTCATTTGCAAAGAGAAGCTGTAATTGAATATAAAACACCTAAAACAAAGTAATCTTCAGAATAGGTTCTTACTCCAACTTCAGACGATGCAATTAAAAATTTCTTAGACAGGGTAGAAAAAAATAATGCTTATCAAATTCCCAATGATTTCTTATCAAACTATGTTTAAAATAATTAAATAAACATTAATAATACTTAAAATGAATAGAACATGTATGCAGTAATCTCTGAAGGGGAAAATATAAATTCTAAACTATTAGACATTAAAACACCACTTAACACTAACTAATACTTCAATAATGGAAACTTTAGTGGAGGTGGTAGTAGCAGCATTTACAAGTTAACAATAACACCACCTCAAAAAGATTAGCTCGAAACTCCTCCCACAAACACAAATATTCAGGTATATGAATTTGAGAATGAAAACGTTGCTGCTTTCTCAGATGAACATTAATTTTAATACTAAAATTAGCAATATTATAATAATGTGATGGATGGGTGTTAAAATATTAGCAACATTTAAAAAATAAACGAAGATGAGACATATAATTCGAAGAGAAGCTTTGACGCTTCTGCTGATTTACTAATGATGCGTAGTAACTAAGACATATAAGAAGGAATTGAAACCAGTAATTTTAATTACCAAGCTAATATGATGGCTAACCCAAATTTTTTGAACAGTCCTAAAAAGACTAATCGTAATTAAGTTTAAAGTAATAATTAAAACTAAAACCAGTACAATATTCAATAATCAGACAGAAACAACAACAGCAAAAATAATTAAATCAATTAATAGAATTATACCAGTAATTCTAATTTAAGTCCAAACAAAAACTATTTATTCACTCCTTCTCCCACTAGAAAAGATGATAGCGCACAATTCAATCAAACGTTTAGTGATATTCAGATGATATAGTTTTTGAAAAACAAAGAAAACGTTATAGAGACTTATGAAGATGGGTCATATTACGAGGGTGAAAAAATGAATGGAGTCCGTCATGGAAGAGGAAAATTCTTTTATGGAGATGGAGGCTCATTTTAAGGCGAATGGTAAAATGGACACATGAATGGGTATGGAGTGCTTTATTATCCTTCTTAAAATAAAGCTTATGAAGGAGAATGGGATGATGATAAATTTAATGGTAAAGGAATAATGTATAACGAAAGGCCAGCTGAATTTGTTGGAACATTTAATTATCATAATATGAATGAAATTAATGATTATTGGGTTAAATATGAAGGTGATTTCAAAGATGATTTTAAAAATGGAGTTGGAACTCTTTATCTTTCAAACGGCGAAAGATATATAGGACGGTTCAAAAATGATATGGTACATGGTCGTGGTACTTTTTATAAGAGTGATGGATCATTCATCACAGCAGAATGGTCATAAAACATTCTTCTTAACTACTAATGAAAAGCCAAAAAAATTTACTAACTATTCATATAAAATTACAGTGAAAAAATATATACTTTTTCCTAACCCATTCATCTATCCATCCATCCATATTATTAATAATTAAAATTATCCTAAACAGGTAGAGTTTTGATCTATTAATTTAACCTGTATGAATGAATATTTATCAAATTAGATATGAGAAAGAGATCAAATGGTAATATTAAATTGCATATGAGGTTTTTGTGTCTCGAAGACTTCTTTTTAATAAATGCAGCTAAAGAAAAAGTTAATTATTGTATATTATTTCACAATTATTAACCTTACAAATATTAGTGAAAGTATATTTTTGTATGAAGGTATACGCGTATGTATGTTTTTATTTGATTTATTTCATCGCTAGTTCATTTTCTCTTAGGCCGAATATTTTTTATTTATTAACTTTTGTGTATTTATTTATCTTCCCATCAAATTTACATTAATTTATTTTTAAAGAAACAGTGGTTAAAACCTATTCAAAAATAGGAGTTTTAGATAGTTGTCTTTTTTTCTCTAATAAGCAAAGAAATATATTTTTTATGCACTTTATTACTCGAGCACTCCTAAAACTAATAATAGCAAAAACACTTGTACATATCATATTTTATTAAATTACAAAGAAATTAATCAATTTTGCTTCTAAAAATAGTTTTTATCTTTGTTTTTTCACTATTTTAGGTTAAAAGTATAAATATTTTTGGATTATTTAATAGTAAGCTGCTTTTGTATATAGAGGATCTTTCGTCATAAAGATCTTTTGTGAAATACTAAAGAAGTATGGGTTAAAATATCATTTAAGCAATAGATAAACAACCTTTCTCCTGTTGATATCTAACTCAATTTAAAAACAATCATATATCAATGAGTACAAAAATAAAATTTCTATTAATGTAAACTTGAAGAGTAATAACATTTTGATTATTTATGACCCAAGAAATCATTTTTTTATCTGAAGTTTTTATTATTTCAGTATATATTTACTTTTTAAAAATCAAATTTGATTTTTATTTTTGTTTTGACTAATGAACCCCGAAGTTGATTTTAAAAAGATCTTTTATTTTTTGCTTGGTATTTCTTTCTCAAAAAACAATTTTTAAATTCAATTTAAATGATAGAACCCTATCATAGAATAAAAATAAAATTAGAGCATATTTGACTAAGGAAAAGCTCAAGTATTAATTTGAGAGATAAGAATTAGAAACAATGCTAACTTAAATGTGTTTTAAATGCTAGCTGAAATAATTTAAAAAGGGTTTATTAGTTCAAATAATATAAAACTCCAATTAAGATTCGATAGACGTGCCAGCTAAATAGATTAAATGTAATCTAATATTTATTAATTTATGAATAATACTCAAAAAAAAAAAAATGTTTATTAATAGAATATATTTATCCGTACTAAAATTTATATTAATGTGATTTTTGACTCATAACTTTACTTCTTTTTTTAATTTAATCATTCCTTTCATCAAAATTAAAATTTTGGATACTCTTTTTTGGCAAAAAAGATTTTTTTCTTGCTAAATATAGCCTTAGTTCGAAATATTACTTTTAATTTGGTTTATATTGTTAGAGTAATTTTATAAATTTATATTACTAACAATGTAGACAAGCTTAATGCATTTCTTTTATTCATATTTTGCATTTGATATATTGTCAATACCTTTTCTAATGTAGGGTGATGTTCTGCATACTCAAAGTCACTTAATTAGTTGAAAAGTATTTAGTTATAAAAATTTTTCAAAAATAATAAAAGTTTTTAAAAATGTAAAAGATACATTTATCTATTTTATTTTAATTGTGATAAAATATAATATTTACCTCATCTTAATGAAATTTACTTTCTTTCTTACCCATGTAAACATAGCATAATAATTTGATGTAAGACTTAAATATGCTTGGAAAAATACCAAATTAAATTTGAAAAACTGAAGATCCTAATTAAAAACTAGTACATCATGGTATATCTAAAGAAAGGCAAAAACAAAAAAACTAACAAACAAAGCAAATCAAATTTTTTTAACAGATAATTTGATGTGCTTGTACAAAATATTATGCTTATCTTTTTAAGCGCAATAGGACCGTATAAAAATTAATTGTGTCCATTCTTTGCCTAATTTATTAAAGTCTTTATATTCATATGAATTCTCCCCACAAAAAAAAAGAAGGATTTTTTTCCTCCTTATTTGCAATTTTTTACACATGCAAATCAACTGAACATAGAAAATCATTAAAGCAAGTAAATCGTGTGAATCCCTTTACTTGCTCTATAAATATACTTGCTTTGAGGTACTTTTGTGATTTCCTATTTTTAGCAGTTAAATATACTTTTAAATACTGAAGTTACTTATTAAAACTCAGAAATTAAACGTTTCACAAACTAAATATACTTATATATGATGAATATTAAAGGAGAAAGCCTATAAAATCTCATATTTATTGACTGATGAAACCAGTCTATATCATTTATTACTTTTTATATTTATTATTCATCTTAATTTCTATTTCTTCTTTGTAAATGATAGAAGAATAAGATAGATGGGAAATTAAATCAAAAAAGGTAAAAATTAAGAGAGAAAGAAAGAAAAATAGTTATTTCGTTATTATCTCATCAGAGTTTTACTTATATTAGATATTATTAAAAATGAAAGAATGAAGAGAGACTTGTAAGTAACCCCTTTTACCTAAGCACAATTTTTAGTGTTTAAAAATAGGAAACTTTATTAAATTTTATTTTTCAAAGCAATTGGCTTGCTTGGCACTGAATAATAAAAATCAGCACTTAACTCTTTTTAATTTATTCAAAATGATTATTTTTTAAAGACCTTTCATTTCCTATGGGAAAGAAAAAGAGCAAATTTAATTTTTATTTAATTACAAGTGTTCGAATTTATGATGGATGATATGTATTAATATGTTTAAATAGATACTTTGCTTCAAAATGTGATGAAACAAGTAAGTATTAGCTAAGGGTAGGTATTTTTTTAAAAATAAGCTGGAGTAAGGCTTAAATAATATCTTTTTGGTATTTGGTAAATTTTTAATTTAAAATATTAGTGCGGCATCTAATGCGAAATTACAAAGCATATTATTTAGTTATCTTTCGAATTAAATAAGAATCAGCAATTAATTCAGGGATATTTTTAAATTAGAAAATTTCGCGAAATCCGTTTTAGTTTCATTCGTGAGTAAATAAAATTTAAGTTTTTGAAATAGAAATAAATTCATCTGTCTGTATTAAATAGTTTCCTTGTATTAAGATACGCTTTAATTCAAATGTCTTAGGCATTTAAACCTTAAAATAAATTTTTTGCAAAAGTTTCTATTTTTAGAATTTAACAAATCTTTTATATTCTTTAATGATTATTTTTTTATCAAGCCGTTAGCTAATTAATTTAAAACTTGTTTGAATTGAGCTGACTCATATATTAAGTAATTGGTTAAAAAACTGAATAGCGGCTGAAGGGCGTATTTTATTTCAAATAGAATAGAATTTTTTAATTCTTGAATTTTCACTGACAATTTCATCTCTCAATTAATTAGTCATATCTAATAAATTAAATTTCAAATTCAACAAATAGTTTCATAATACTGCAAAAATTAATCAGCTTTTAAGTTGTCTATCTGCAAATGATAAAATAATAATATTTTTAAGGTTTAAGTGCGTTAATTAATTCTTATTTTAGTTTTTCACCATATGTTCAATTTGTTTGTATCACTCTCTTTAGGTGTATTGTAAAACATTCAAGATTACCTATAAAGTCAAAGAATTTATCCTTAGCACTATTTTTAGCCTTGTGAAAGAATAAAATAGTTTGTTCTGAATTATTTCTAATAGGAAAATATTCTCACAAGATAGATATAATTAGTAATGTTATTTTTTATGAATAAAGTATTTTATAAGCGAATTTCATAGTAGTAATCAGAATTAATCTTTTTTAATTGCTTAATTATAGAAAAAAAATAGCCATAATTTAAAAGAAAACAATTGAAAAAATTGCTTTTCCAAATAAAGATGGAAAGCTGGCTTTTGAAACAATTTGCGCTCGTCTAAAATCAATGTGTAAATTAATGAATTAGATATAATCAAGCTTATATTAGCATGAGCAATCTTAATAGGAAATTGGCAGAAAATTTTAGAGTAAAAAAACACTTAATTTTATTTACCCCACCCTAGATATACAAAGTAATGTAATGTAATGGGCTTAGTGTTTAATCAAATAAATTACGCTTTATTTTTAATGGATAGATTGAATGTATTAATCTACAGGAAAAAAAGTGAGTAAGACAGAAATGTTGCGACTCTTTCTTCTATAGTTTCTCTTTAATTTTCATAGGCAAAAGAGAGCCCCCAAGCATTTAATTTAGAAAAGAATTTACTATATCAATTAATTAGTTTTTTAATTAATGTGAGTCGTGTGTCAAAACAAATCAATTTTAAATTGACCTTTTTTACTTTTTTTGAATAGTAACTTAAGCATCGACTTTAATTTGATTGAGATGCAAAATTAAAAAAGCATTTAAAATTGCATTCAAAATAGAGATTGATACATTAATTAATTAAATAAATTTTGATCCGCCCTCTTTTTTTTCACCTAAATCTAATAGTACTAGGAAAGAAAGAAATTCACTCACTCATTCATTCATACATTCATTCTTTAATATATTTAGGCTATTAATTAAATCGATGAGCATCATCCCCCATTTTTCCTTCTATTTATGCTTTTAATTAAAAAATACAAGGATTTATAAAGAGCTTCTTTTAAAATTTTGTAAAAAAAAATGGCAAAAGAAAATCACTCCTCTTCAAAGCCATATTTTTCTCATGATAGTCTCAGTGAGGTTCTGACTGATTTATCAACTTTTTCATGGACTCCTGAGCCAGCTTAGGCAAGTGTAACAGCAAAAATAGATAGTGTAAAAGTCCAAATAAATTTGAATTTTTCTCCTCGAGAGGATTTGATTTAAATCGACTCTGATTTTCCCCTCTAAAAATCATAATTTTTATTAACTAAAAAAATTTCATAAAAAAGAAAAAAAACTAATAAAAATTCTGTCTCTTCTTCTCTGATTTTTTCCTTCAAAGGAACATTCACAACGGAACTATCTTTTTAAAATTAATTGATTAATCAAAGAACACCTCTCTGCTTCTGCTATATTCTGGTGAAAAATCATAAATCAAAAATACAAGCTCACTGAAAAAAAGAAACTAGGTCAATCTCCTCTGCTTCTACAACAAACCAAAAACACACTCTTGATTATAATACAAGCAAATCAACAAAAAACATCACCTACCATTTTTTCTTACAACCAACAACCAATCTAAGAAACTCCAACACCTATCATGTACTTCAACACTCCCTCTAACACCTATTACCAACAATCTGCCTACTACGCTCCCTAATAAGTGCTCTCATCATTCTAGGATGTACCTTAAGCTTTCCCTACTGTTGAAAGAAACTTCTATTCAATTGAAGACAACAACCACTCTCTTTAGTAGTTGCAGTAAGATGGTGAAGACCTTTTCTTTAATCAACAAGAGCTCCCTAATCACATTGAAGACAGCTATTTCGGTAGTCACATTTCATATGACCACATTCACGACTAAGATGATGAAGATTTCCATGGCTTTTTCCCTATTGAATTAAATAATTAAACTTCTTAACAATTAATTTGGAATCCTCCTGCTTAATAATAGCAAACTTCCCAAAACTATTAAAATGTTTACAATAACAACAACAGTTAAAAGGTGAATTCATCATCTTCAGTAGTTCCAAACGTTCCCTCCATTTAATTAGCAGTTTCTGCTTCTTAAAATTATTAATTTAATAATATTTAATTACAAAATAACATTTATTCATAATAGTAGTAGTAGTAATAAAAATAATATTAAAATTATTAGTAACAATAATAGCAATCACAATAAATCGGTAATGCTGGAGTCGCTTCTACTGTTCAAGTCTTTACAAACAGTTATAGCGGCAACAGCAATTAAGTTAGTTAATAATTTTAACATTCTTCTTCTTCATCTTCTACATTTTCATCTTAATCTTGTTCCACACTTTTTTCACAACAAAAATCGGTATAATATGTTGCACCTTCCCCGGTTAACTATTACAAATTATATGAAAATAATAATCTTGTAAATCAACAAAACCAGGTAAAAGGTAATAACGGTAATTCCAGGTAAAATGTTCAATAAACCTCTTCTTATATGACTTATTAATAAGGGTAATCAAAGTCTATGTTTTAGGCTAACAAGTATCAAACACAGTAGTAAACTTTATATGAAAATTAAAATTACTGTTAATAACAATAAATCCCTTTGTTCAATTAACAACTTTCTTCTGAAGAATGCTCATACGGTGATTAACATGCCAGTAGCATTCTTAATTTTACTGAAAATGGCTGTGATGAAACAACATCTGATATGCATTTCAATGATGATCATCACACCCTTCCCATTTATGGATATGCTAACTAACAATGCAATAATGTTGATAATTTAGACTTTTTCGGACATCCAAAGGAAGAAGAATAAGAATAGGTCATCTAAAACTATTAAGCTGAAATAAAATAAGAATAACCAATTCAACAATTTTAGCAAGTTAACTAAGATAACAAACTTTAACAAATGAGTAGCAATATTCCCTCTATTTCTTCATCTCATACTTTACCTATCTCTCCCTGTGAGGAATTAAAGCATTGTTCTGAAGATGAAGAGCATGACTTTTCTCATCATAGTGATTAACATGATGATGAAGACGAAGCTGAATTATCTACTAATAATAAGGTTTCTACTATGAATATATTACCTGAAAATCCTGAATTCTACTCATAATAAAGAAAAGAACAAGTTACCGAAGCTATGTAAAAATCAAATAAGAAGAATGTTGTCAGAAATTTAATGAGAGCTTTTAAATAATACTTCTTAAACCGTAAAACAAGTGATTAGATTGTAAAGCTCTTCTTCCCTAATCAGAATGCTAAAGATGTCTAATAAAAATTTAAGAGATACTTCAGCTAACGTAAATTCAATCACAACTCCATCAAGCAACTCGTTCAACACGACAAGTACGGTGTTGTATTCCATCAATTCCTCAAGGAACACTCTTAATCTTATCTCTAAAAATCTAGTGTAAAGATGTAAGAACTCCACTAAGTCTTTATCGATTTCCTCCTCCTCTGCTTTAAGGATATTGATCTCCTTGATAATTTGGAAACCTACTCCAAGATAAAGAACCCCTTTTAATGATTTTAATTATTAATTTATTTGGCTTTCTAAGCCTCCAACTATATAATTTTATAATGACAAAACAACATACAATATAACAAATAATGTTCATCCTTTTACTTGAAAATTATTTACAAACTAAACTAAACTCGCCATAAGTTATACTGGTGCATATAAGCTGCACAAACACTCTATATAAAACTTCTAACAGTCTCATTAATTTATTTGGAACACCTATGATTGTAGGTCGATCAACCTTTTAATAATAAATAAATAAAAAAAATAATAAATTATATTACAAATTCCACAATAAAAATAATCATCAAATAAAAATTAATAATAACCACTTTGATAAGCAATTTACTTCCACTTCCATTTTAATTTACTTATTATTAACTCAAATTCCCCCCTTCCCCCCTTCAGAAGTGTAAAAATCCAAATTATTTTTAATCTTTTTAAAATTACAAAAAAATTGGATTTTATTAGTGTAAAAACAAGTAAAATGCACTAATATTCATTAAGCATTTGAGTAATCAATAAAATAATAATAAAGTTTAAAGGTACTCTTTTTTCCCCTCATCGTCAAATTTGTAAATGAAAAACGATTGGGTAACATAGAGTAGAAGGTTATTCCTTCAATCTTTTTTTTTCAAATCCAGTAAGTAATTATTTTAATTGTTAGTGTAGTGTATTAGGTATTTGTGTAATTGATTGGCGTAAAGTGTAATTATTGTAAAGTGTAATGTAGGCTAGCAGCCTGGTAGTTTTTCTCTTTTTCCCACGTTCTTTTTCCCAAACTCAACTGTGACAATTATATGGATCATTTTTTTTATGTATGTTTAACTAACTTTTATGAACTCTTTTGAAGTATTTATGAATGAAAAAATTTATTTTATATGGTCTTTCATGTTTACATGACTCTATGAATAAATTTTGCTAAGAATTATTACTAAAGGAGGTAATGAAAATTGAGGCAATTTATGAATTAGAACTCGATGTTTCAGAGAGATACTATTCTGATCTATTTTGGATATCATTTAAAAATTTTTAATTTAAAAAATATTAATATTTTGATATATACTATCTAATTTTGTTAATTTAAAATGAAATTCTAGTTGTATAATTAGTTAATGGTTAGTTGGTTAGTTAGTTTAATACTAGAGTTGATAATTGATACCAATTTCAATTAATCAAACTTTAATTTTTTACATGTAAATTTAATGTAAATTAAACAAATAATTTATTTTGATTATGTTTTTAATTTTTAAAAATGTTTTTTGAATAGAAAGAATGAAATTTTAATTAAAATATTACAAATTTTAACAAAATTATTTAAAAATTATTGCCATCGTATGAAATTTTTTTGTGTATTCAAAGAAATTTCTGAGTTCATTAAATTAATTATATATTAAATGTACTCGAACTTTTAAAATATTCATTACTTACTTCATAAAAATGAGAACAAAAATACTTTATTAGTCAGATAATTTCAATAATAATGTCGTAATAAATATTTCAAACACATATTTTTTGCAAGAAAATTTTGAATTAAAAAACTAAAAAAATAATTTTGCTTCATCTTAGTAAAAAATTAAATAGATTTTATATGGTTCTATTATTATTAAAAATAGAATTGCTTTGCATTTATTTTTATTTTGTATTCGTAAGCCTTAATTCATAAAAGTACGAAAATAGCTATTTCAATTTATAAAAACAAAAAGAATTACAAAAAATACAAATAATTTAAATGCATTTCTGCTTGAATAGGCACACCATGAGGATTAAGGTTCAGAACAAATCTCATTTATTAAATCTGTTTCTTTAGGGCATCTATCTCTTAAATAATCGCAATACCAACCACATACAGCAAATCTATCTCCATTATTAGGGTCGCAAACAGGATAGTGATACGCACATACTACACTTCTCAAAATTCCTAAACAATCGTTAGTAGGATCTTTATTATTACTGCCTCCAGATGCAACCCATCTAGCATATACTCCTTAATATTTCATAAGTGCTAAGTAATCATAAGTATAATGAACATTTAAGGTTGTTGGGGATATCGACCAAGTTATTACATTTCCACAATAAGATTACATCCTAGGGTCTAACTGATTCATTTAATGTTGTGCAGGAGTATAACAGATATAACCAAAGACATTTGCAAGTAAGAAGAGAAATGACACTACCTTCTTTAAATTTTACTTAAACATTGAGCTAATTCCTAAAAAAATTGATAAACAAATCTCCTTTTTTAATAATTAAATCTAATTAACTTAAAAAAATTATAAGAATTAGATTTTACTCTCTACTTGCTTTTATAGTTAGTTATTTTGTTTGTTAAAAAGTTATTGAAAATCAATTACTGGAATAACCAACCTCATAGTTTGGTTATAAACTTTCAAAATAATATATTGATGGAACAATTCATTTGTTTAAATAGCTAATTTCTAAGAATAAAATCGAATAATTATAGTATTATATAAAGCTTATTTTACTATTTATTTTAAATACTTTTAATTTCAAATATCATTAATCAGATAATCAGATATAATCCACAATTCCAGTAAGAAATATGTAAAAATATAGATCAAAATGTATTACTAAATATCAATAATCGAGTAATTTTTTATTTTCTTTTCAGTTTTATTAACATATTAACATTATTTTTAAAATAAAATAAAATCATTAAATAGACTATGCAGTAGCTAATTAATGTAGTTATGAAATACAAAACATTTTTTTTTAAATCTTAGCTTGGAATTGTATTAGAAAACTTATTAATTTAAAATGCAGTAATTTTTGTTTTTATAATCAGCTTGAATTTATTAATAAATAAATTTACTAAAATTAATTTATAAGTTTAAAAAACAAATAAAGAATTTTAAATTTATAAAAAGTTAACTCCATAGATTTTTAATATTTTTTTTACAAAGTTTTTGAATAAAACTTGAGATCATATTTTACATTACACATAAGCAAATACAGCATGAAACTTCCATTTTTATGAAAAAATATTGTAAAATTTCAAGTAAAAGTAAAAAACAAATTATTTTTTTAAAGTTGATATTCATTAATATGAGTAGGTTCAAACTTATTCTCTAAGAATTGAATTGAGTATATATATATGTTTTCATATCAAGTACATATATTTTAAAAATTAAATTAACACAAAAAACTAAGTTAATAAATAATTTTAATATTTATTTTCTTTATATTTTTACTATAGGTTTAAAAAGCAAAATAATTCTATTATTTGACATAAATTTTTAAACTCAGTATTTTTTATTCACAAATAATGCTTTTCCTCAGTAAAAATAAATCAAAATATATTGCAAGCCTGATTTGATGCCTTTGCAGCAACTTTACTTAACTCTTCTTCATATTTCTATTGCTAATCTTGTTACAATTATGGGATTTTATAAGATTGATTTGAAATTTGTTCTAAATTATTTTCATCATATTGTTCATACTCATTTGGGTTGAATTTAACCAGATTTTATTCATTTTCTTTTTAAACAATTAATTTATTTTAATCTCTTTTTTTAATGTATTCTTCACTAACATTCGACATTACATTTTTTAGTTCGTTCCATGTTTTCTCATTTTCTTCTTTGGATGATTTTTCAATTATTTTTTTGAACATGGTATTGCTCTTAAAATGTACATAAAATCCGCTTCTAAGGATAGTATTTCCATTAACTTCGTCAACATAAAACACAACTCTAGGTTCTACGCACGTTATTATAGGAGCTCCTTATTATTTTAAAGTATTTTATCAATTTTTTATAAATTTATAAATAAATAAATAGATATGATATACCTTTCAATGAAAGAAGTCTAACTAAAGTAAAGCTCTAAGGTGATTACCAATAGATTGTCTCTTTCATTTAGCATTAAAGACTTTTTGGAAGAAATGCACTTGCATTAGGAATATTATGAGTAAATGAAATGTGTCTTTCAGAAGACTCTGGATATTCAAGTAGTTAGAGATAATTATTAGAGTATATTGAGTTAAAAATTTCAGGTGGAGGAAGCTAAATTTCTGAAACGGAAACATTTGTTCCATGTAAATACTCTAAAATAAAGAATTCTAGGAAGGAAGTAAACTTTCTCTACAATCTATCTGATACAAATATCTAATTTGAAAAAAAAATACCAAAAACTTCTCTTGCAGTAATATTTTTTAAAACTAACTCAGAAAAAGTTGCAGAATTAAAATCAGAATTGATTTTTCTTTTAATAGAATTAGATCTCTCATCAAATAGAGGTTTGTATATAGCAGCATTATCTTCAAACTCCTTAATAACACTTTTTCGTAATTCTAGAGGCTGAATGTCATTTTCAATATCCATTTAAATTTCATTGTTTCTTTTCTCTTCTTCAGCTTCTTACTTAATTTAAGAATGGTGCATTTATTAAAGCCTATTATTTGCCTATAATTAATCACTCTCCTTATATTAAATATCTTAATAGAGCTACTACTCTACTAAATTATTTGCTTTATTTATTTTAGAATTATTTTGTAAATTTTATTAAGAAATTTAGCATGGTTAAACTAGGTTATCTTATTGTTGTGAGCTTCTTATTCTTGATTGCGTCATTTATTGTTCAATTTATTAATGGTTATGGTTATTATTTTCTTGGTTAATTCTATTATTGTTGTTTAAGTTATTGTTAGCATTTTATAAATTTTAATCTTACTATTCTCTAATCTAATTTTATTATTAATCGCTTTCCATTTTTTGAATTGATAAAATAGCTTGCTACAGCCATTCTGCTTCATTGTCTATTTGATTAAGCTATTATTACCTAACGTATATGTCATTATTTTAAATTTACTAATAAGGCTTAGGAAGCATCTTTTGATACAATTCAAGATATTCACTAATAATATTAAATGCTTTATCTCTAGATAAAAAGCTTGTAAAGAAAAAGCTTTCGTCAACTGTTGTGAACTGAATTGAATTATCAAAGAGAAACTTTTTCTTCTTTTCTATCAATATAATTTGACCAAAAGGAATGGTAATTAGCGTATCTTGAAGCCCTACTATAGAATTTTTGTTAAATTATGAGTGAAAGCATATCATGGTATTATAAACATAAAGATTGCCTTATAATAGGATTTTATCTTGTAAGGCACAATTAAAATCATGAACACAAATATCATTTTCAGGAACACTAAATCTTAATTTTAGTTCTTAGTTAGGCTCTTTTTTCTTAAATGAGATGGTTTAAGCTAAACCCTTTATACCTCCTACTATTATGTCCATTATCTTATCTATTTGATTTTTTAGATTAGCTCTTTTGTTATCAAATAGGAGTTTCTGCTATAACAAATTTTTAAAAAAAATATTAATAAAAATTCTAAAAAAATCTGAAAAGAATTATACTAATATTATTAGAATATTAAAATAGAAGACAAAGATTATTAGTAATACTCAAATGATATGTCTAATCAATCAGCGTGATTATGTTAATAATAAAAATAATAGATTGCATTATTTTAATATTTGAAAATGAATGAAAATCAATCTTCTACATATTCTCATTATTTAATTTTACAATTATTTTTGGTTAGTTAATCAATAAGAATAAATAATTTTTAGTTGTTGTTAATTTTCTAACTATTTATAAATTACAGAAATACATTGTTAACGAATAATATTAATTTATTTATTTATGATCTGATAGAAATATTAAAAAGATAAATTAACACCATCAAAAATTAATAGTTCTATATTTGATATAAAAAAATATAGCAGATTTAGATATAAGATATAAAAGTAATGGTTTTCATATTTATTATTCAAGAAATATGTTATTGCTTTATAAAATCTATTGAATTAAATGCTTCATAAAAAACAATATACAACGACTATAAATTTTACATTGATTGTAAAAAAATTTGAAAACAAAATTTATCAATTTAAAAAAGAAAGAAGTTGATTAAATAATTAATTAGGTAATAATTAAAAAAAACATCTATTTAATTTCATTTACATATTTAAAGAGAGCTTAGTCTAAAATTTTGCAATTAAACTGTTAAATAGCAATAAATAAATTACTAGATAAATGAGCAGCTCATCTAGCTAACTGAAAGATTTTGATATTATTAAAACTTTAGGAGAGGGATCTTTTGCTAAAGTCTACAAGGTTGTTAGAAAATCAGATGGACAATCTTATGCTATGAAGAGATGCAAAATAGGATTAATGAAATAAAGAGATAAAGATAATGCTCTCAATGAAGTGCGCATATTAGCAAGTATCAAAAATCAATATGTAATTGCTTACAAAGAAGCAATCTACGATGAATAGTCTGAATGTCTTTTTGTTATTATGGAATATGCTGCTGGAGGTGATTTACACTAATAAGTGAAAAGTTGCATTAAATCAAAAACCTACCTTGATGAAAATTAAATATGGATTTGGACAATTTAAATGCTATATGGATTGAAAGCTCTCCATGATTTAAAAATTTTACACAGAGACTTAAAATGTGCTAATATATTTTTAGATAGTAGAAGAAATGCCAAGATTGGAGACTTGAATGTCTCTAAAATAACTTAGGCAAATTTGGCGAGAACTTAAGTTGGCACTCCTTACTATACTTCACCTGAAGTTTGGAAAGACTAAATGTATAACAACAAAAGTGATATCTGGAGTCTTGGATGTCTTATATATGAACTCTGTGCCCAAAAACCTCCTTTCCTTGCATCTGATATGCCTTCGCTTTTCAAGAAAATTGGCAAGGGAATTTATGAAAGAATTCCTTCAAGGTAAATTATTGAAAATAAATTATTTCAGTTGCCATAAATTTTTCTAAACTTTAATATTATGAATTCCATCAAAATATAATTTTCATAAATCTTCAACATTTAAATCAAAGTATTTAAAGTAGATTATCTTGTTTAATGCTTTAATATTTAAATTTTGAATCAATTTTTAATGCATTCATGTTCAGTTAAATGATAGCAGAGCTAACAATAATTAAATTTATATTTTACTATCAAATTATTTATTTGTCTATTTAAAAATTTAACATATTTGATTAATTATGTTAAATAAATTTTATTTTCCTAAAATATAGATATTCTAGTGAGTTGAGTAACCTTATAAGCTAATGTCTTAATATTAATTAGATCACAAGACCTGATTGCGATTAACTACTTAATCTACCTATTATAAAGAAAAAAATAGAAGATTTAAATATAAAATTAGAAACCTTTTCAAAAGAAGACTCTAATGCTCAAGCAATCAACTAAAAATTAAGTGTACTTGATTAAATAAAGTTTCCTGCTAATAAGAAAAATCTTTAAGAAAGGTTACCTAAACCTTCGTACAATACTAATAGCTAATAGGAGATAAAAAAATTTACTCCTAATAACTAAATAGGTACTTATCAAACACCAACTTCAGAAGAATTGAAAAATATGAGGAGAGTAAGATCTAATTCTGGAATACAATTGAAATCTTAAAACTCTTAGCCTCAGCAATATCAAAGATTTGATTTACTGCTTGAATAAGAAATTCAGAGAAGATTAAATAATCTAAATTCAAGAGAATACTTATCCTAGCAGTCATAACAAAATATCCCATCAAGCTCTAATTTGGATTTAAGAAAAAGAAAAATATCTGAAGACTTCCAAAATTACTAATACAGATAGCTCTTCTAGGATAATCATTACAATCTAAATTATATTAACAAACCGACATAATTCGAAAGAAAAAGAAGCGATAGACATTCATATTATGAAAGAAATAGAGACTAAGAGAATGATATCTAATACAGTAATAGAATTATTCCTCACAGAGATATTTATAGTGCTAAGAATCCTTTCAGTGGGGATTCTAAAAACGCAAATTAATATATCAAAAAACCTTACTCAATTAGAAATGACATTCCTCTTCCATATTCTTCTTTGAATTCTAATAAAGAAGCTTTATATTTTGGTGGAGCAAAAAGAGTATAAACAGAAGTTAGATCTCTTCTAAGTAAACAATATAGATGAGATTGCAAATCAACTTAATTAATTAATTAAATCTCAACATTTATATAAAATATTAAAAACTAAAAATATATCTTTATAAAAATATTTATTAATAATTTGATTTACATAGGTAAAATAAATATGTCTTTGTAATTATTATTGTCTTTGATTTTAGCAATTTATTTTTCACTTATTATTAATAAAGATAAATCTGCTAGAAAAAGCTGATTAGAATTTTTTAGTTTTTTGGTTGATAAATATTTAAAATGAGATCATATTAGTTAATAAAACATTTCTGAGCAAAAACTTATTTCATTTTTTATGAAATATTTTAAAATTTATTTGAAACAGCGTTTTATAAAAATCAATTTTTATATCAAAATAATTTACAAAAACAAATAAATTTAGAAAATTTTCATATTTAAATTTTTTTCTTAAGTTTATTTAATTTTTTATTTAAATTCTATCAATTTTATCAATTTGACATAATTAATCAATGTTAAATCTCCCTGAATTTTAAATAGACTTTTATCTCTAGCCAAGAAATTAAAATGGATATTTGTTAGATTTATTCTATAAATTTTAAGTAAAACGATTAATTTTTGAATAAAAAATCTAGGTTAAAGATTTATTTTTTTAGTTTCAAATTAGAATATGCTGTTGAAGCCTATTTTGCACTTTAATTCACTTAAATTTTTATTTTAGTTGAAAAATACTTTTCCATATTAAATAAAATTTTCTACAAGTAAAATTTTGTATTAAATTTTCAACTTTTAATAATATTTCTTTGATTGAAAATTATTATTCACTTTAATAAATATGGCCCTAAGTATTAAAATAATTTTTTTGAATATTCACAAATCAAAGAAGTTTGTTTTTAGACATTATTATTTTCCTGATTTTAAATGATAGAAATATATTGCTTAATTTAAAAATCAAATTTTAATTTGTAGAAAAATGATTTCGATTAATCTTTTTAAAGACACTTTAAGAAAATGTATTTTTCACCTATAAATTAAGTTTAAATATATGTAGAATAAATCTTAAATTGTCCTATCATAAAATAAATTTGCCAAATAAAATCCAGCTATACTTATAATTTTATTGAAGATAAAATTAATTTCAAATAAAGAAATAAAATAAATTTTATTAAAGGCTAAAAAATTTTTTTAAAATAAAAGTTATTTTTTTAGAAAATAAAATTTAAAATATTTATTTTTTAAATTATAATTTATAAAACCAAATTTCGTTTCAATATTGGAATGCAATAATAAATAAATCTTAAATGCATATTAAACTTTTAAAAAAATCATTAAATAATTACATAAAACCTATTATAAAAATATCTAAACCTAAGACAAAGCTAAATAAAAAATTGAATACTAATTTGAGTCATCAAAATAAAAATATTATTGTTAGGTTGATATCTATTACTTTTTCAGTCAAAGAATGGAACATAATTCCACATTTACATAGTAGAAGGATCGATGGTTCTTTGATTCTTATTAAGGGTTTCTAAATCTTTGAAATCTTCTTCAGAAAGTTTTACATGAATGGAATCAAAATTTTGTTTCAATCTAGCAGGTTTATCAGTTTTAGGGATTACTGAAAGTCCTTAGTTCAATAAGAATCCTAATAGTACTTAGGAAATAGAAGCATTGTGCTTTTTAGCAATCTTTTGAAGAATAGGATTTGACTCAACATCGTTGTATTTTGCTAAGGGTGCATAGGCAGTGACATGAATACCATAATTTTAGCAAAATTTAATCAGGTTTTTTTGCTGTATAAAAACACTGACTTCAACCTAGTTTGAAACTGGCTTTATTTTTGCATAGCTAAGAAGATCGACAAGAGCCATAACATTAAAGTTTGATACACCAATAGACTTAACTAAGCCTAATCTATTTGCTTCTTCAAGCTAAGCCCATGCTACATGAACAGGTAAGTGATGGAATTCTCCCTTTTCATTTGGGAAACCTAAAGGGAAATGCAGATAATATAAATCTATGTAGTCAAGTTACAAATCTTAAAGTGATTTTTTAACAGATTCAAGAATGTTGGTTCCTTAGTTAGGAAAAACCTTGCTTACAATAAAGAGATCTTTTCTACTATACTTTCCCTCCTAAAAAATATTTTAAAGAGCTTATCCTATTATAGCTTCATTTTAGTAAATGACTGCAGTATCAATATGGCGATATCCTGCATCTAATGCAGCTCTAAGTAAGTTAGTCATTTCGTCTTTACTATTTAGTAAAAAAGTTCCTAATCCAATTAATGGCATGATTTAACCATTGCTGAGTTTAGTAGAGTGTACTGATTTATTCATTTTAGATTTGTTAGGTTTTAATGTATTAGTTTTGTTTTGGATTAATTAAATCATTACAATAAAAAATTTTCATTTTTAATTAATAAAAAAAGAACAAATCCAGAAATTAAAGCTTGTAACAGCTGATAAAGTATGATATTTTCCAAATAATTTATAAGAAATAATTACTCACTTAATTTATTTTAATAAATTACTTTTCAAATTAAGGAGATCATATTTGTATTTTCCCTAATTCAAGTTTTTTACTTTTGGTCAAGTATAATTCTTATATATTTTATATCTTTAAATAGATTTATTTACCCTCTCTTTTTTTAAATATTTAACTTTTATCCATTTTTAATAAACATAATTCCTACAGAATCAAATTAAAATCGTAAGAAAAAAAATTGTTATTATGATAAATTTAAAAATTTTGATAATTAATTATTCTGAGTATTATAATCATAAATATATTAAATTCAAATTATTTGTAAGATTTACTACAATTTTAGTTAAAAATAAAGTAAAAAAAATAGATTTTAATTTTGGTTTAAAATTCACAAACTACCTACAGTTTAAAAATGTAATTAAATATACAATAAAATATTTTTTAATAATAAACTAAATAAAAATGAGAAAAATTATTCTAAAATGTCAAATTTTATCTTTTTATTTATTAATTTTTAGGTTTAGTTGCATGAAAGAAATTTTTTTTAATGATATAAAAATACTTTGAATAAAATTTTAAATTAGAATTTTGATTGTAAATATCTTAAATACTTAATTATTTTTAAAAATTAATAAAAGTTTGATTGTTTTAAATTAAAAAATATATAATAAGAAGATTAATATATAAATAATTAACTAATTATTAGGTTAAATGTGTTTATAAATTATTTTTAGTGGAGTTAAACAATTGCTTTTTATTATTAAAGTATTGAATATTAATTAAGAGAAAACCATTTTTTTTCCCCTAAGAAGTATTTATGAAGAAATAAATTCTATTTTAAAATAAATTAAAAATTTTTTAAAAATTAAATGAAATTAAAAATATTCCTATAGAGTTAAATAAATAACAGTAAATTTTATAATTATTTAATATTTATTTATTATAAATTTAATTTGGTTGATCAATAATTCAAATAAATCCTAAAGCAACAGCACTATCGTCCCATAACTATTTAGCTAACTCTTTATTTTCTGATAATTCTGAAGGAGTATTTAACTCACAATCGCTATAATATCCACCTTCTTTAAGTCTCTCATGCTTTTCTAAAGCACAGTAGAGTATAGTTTAAGCTCCTTAAAAGGTATCTTTGGTAAAGAGCCAGTATATAGGATATATAAGGTAAAATATAAGTTTATAAAACTTACTATCATCAAGAATTTCATCGATTAAATTACTTCTAACTGTACCAGGATGAACTGCAACTACCTTAGCACCTACTTTTTCTAATTTTCTTTATAGCTCTTTAGTGAATAACAAATTACAAAGTTTGGTTCTGTAATAAGAAAAATAGCTTTATTATAAAAAATAATATTTTTGATTTATCTTTTGTTGGCAATTCAATTCAAATCAAAGCATAAAATATTTTCTAAAAATTGAAATAAATAAATATAAAATTGGATAATTCAAGTTTTTTGTTTTTACGGGTCAAAATAATCTTCATCAGAGAGTTTTCCTATATCTATTTCGTCAATTTTAGAATGAGATGAAGAAGAAACATTGATAACTCTACATCTAGGATTTCTTCTAATCAAATCAAGCAGTTAATATGTGAGAGCAAAATGTCCCAAATGATTAACTGCATAATTCATTTCGTAACCATCTTCACTTATATCATATCTATTCTTCATAGTACCTTTTATTTAAATTAGTGCTCAAGTATACATTTATTTACACATACTTAGTAAATATCCTGTATAAATTTATTTAATTCATTATTTACCTGCATTATTGATAATGATATCAACCTAGCTAAACCTCCTCTTAAATAGTAAGCAAAACTAATTTACAGAATCCAATTTACTTAAATCGCAAGGAATATATTCTAGTTTTTCATTTTCAGTTTCTTTTTTTATTTCTTCAATAATTTCAAGAGTTTTTTGAGCATCTCTACATGCAAATATAATAGTTCCTCCCATCGCTGCTAAACATCTTGCTATTTCTAATCCTATTCCTCCTGAAGCTCCTGTAATAATTACGATTTTATTTGAAATATCTTTCTTCAAAGTGCATATTCCTCCATTAAAATACTGTTTAATGAAGTACAACACAATAGAACCGCTTACAAAAAGTAAAAGATTTATCCAAAATCCCATATTTCTACTAAATTTCTTTGTAAAAAATTAATCTAATATTTTTAAATAGTAATAAATTTATGATTTATTTAAGAATTATTCAAATTAATTTAATTTATAAAACGATATAATAGAAGAATATTCTTATTTTAAATGACATGAAATCTCTCACTTATAATTATCAATTTTCAAATTATACTTTTTTCAACAAAGGATTAAAACAAATTTTTTTATAAAAAATATATTTAAAAAAAATAATTGTTTTTTAAAATGAGTAAATTTTATAGAAATTTATTTGTTTACTCAATCACTGTAAAATAAAATGTTTTTAATGATCATACAAAGCGGTTTTTTAATCAAAGATTTTTAACCATTTAAAAATAAAACTAGAGTAAAAAGTTAACATTTTGATTTGAGGTTCTGAGAAAAATAAAGCTAAAATCAAATATCTTAAATGATTTTGCAATGTTTTTTTAAAAAAAATAAAGATATTTCCCTCTGAATTATTTTTAAAATAAAATTTTTTGATGACTCAATAGTTTTAACTTCCTTTTCATTCATTTTTATAAAATTAAACTGATATATAAATAATGATTAGTTGATTTTATATAAATACTTTTTTTCCTACTTTACAATAAAAATGGAGAATGTTAAAATATTAGATTCATTAAAACATAATTTAAAGATTGTATATAAGTAAGGTTTTTTATATAAATTGATTATAAAAGTCAGTCAGTATCTTTGAATTATAATTAATTGAATTATTATTTGTATTAGTTCTTAGTTTATTATTAATTTTAAAATATTTTTATTATATTAATTTAGAATAATCAATTATTCAAAAGCTATTATGGGATTAAGCTAGTGCTATCATAATATTTCGAAATAATAGCATCAAGAGCTGCTTTCATAATTGGTTTGGTTACAAAATCTACCATACCATGAGTATAAGCTTTCTTTTTGTCCTCTTCACCGTTGTAAGCACTGCATGCAATAATAGTTGGCTTTATTTGTTCTAAAATTTCATTATTATTATAGAAGAATTTTATTTCCCGAGCTACTTCGTAACCACTTTTTTAAGGCATGTTTATATCCATAAAAATTATGCGATATGTTTTACAACATTTAGAGTTTAGCTTGCTTTAAATCTTTTCCATAACCTAAGGAAAGTTAATTGCTGTATCAGATATTATACCATAAAATTATTTTAGCAGTTAACTTAGAGAAAATAGATTAAATTCTTAATCATCTACTATTAAAATTTAAGGGCAATTGCATCCGAATTATATTATGTTATTTTGAATGCATTCTAAACTTCGTTTTATAACTTAAGAATCTTTTTCCTCATAATATGAATTAAATCCAGCAGGTGACTCATATTTTTAATGATCAAGCAAGTGCATATCCTAGAAATCTTTAGATTTTATTGTTTCTAAAAGACTAACTTTTTTTTCACCTACACTCATTACATTTACAAACGACATCTAACCATACTAAGAATGATTTCTTGATGGCGATTATGGATTTCCAATGGTTGAATTATTGTTATTGTAGAAGTAATGATGTGCTTGTTTTGGTTTCTATTAAAAATCTTTTGGAGATTACTGCTCTTGAGCTACTGAGCTGTATGAATTAATGATATTCTTTCTTTAGCTCAATGATATTTATGTAAGTGAGATAGATCTCATTTTTAAATTCTGGTCTGCTGCATTAATTTATAGAGAATTATCACTGCTAAAACTCATTCCATCATTTTATCCATCTTTACATGCTGTATTTAAATTTGTTAAAGTTTTAGCATGGTTATTATGGTTATAGTTTATTTGCTAAATATTGTTATTATTATTTTAGCATCCATTAATGATTGAATTACTGATACTATTAGTTATTTAATTACTATTTGAAGTTTAAGATTATAATCTTGTCTAGCGTATACTACCTTTGATATTAGCTTGATTGCTATTTAAAGAAATATTTGAGTGTCTACGTTTTGTTTGAAAATGTTATAATAAATCTTTATCCTTATTTATTTGGGTTACTTATGGTCTTATTATTGAGAAATTAGCAAATAATCTTTCGTTTGAAACATCTTCGTTTTCATAAATATCTTCTTCCTTGTTTGAAATAGGAGGATTTTAGTTTTAAACAACAAATGAAAAGTTAGAACCATGATTCTTCTCACTTTATACTTATATTCCTTGGTTATCTTAAGGTCCTAAAGCCCTTGCTATACTATTACTTAAAGCCAAGCCTACACCACAGCCTTAGAGATTAAGCTTTGAATTATTACCTAAATCTATTTTGTTAAATATTTTAAATATCTCATTTATATTTTCTTAATTTATTCCTATTCCTGTGTCTTTGACTCCAATAGTTACTTCTTATATTCCCTTTTATAAAATTAATAGAAATGTTAAAATAATTATTATAAAGAATCAATAATTAATTAAATACCTTGTGAGCAGATGCATAAACAATAATATGTCCAGCAATTGTAAATTTCAATGCATTACTTAAAAAATTTAGAATCACCTGCCTAATTCTATTGGGGTCAGATTTAATTATTTTTGGTGTTTATGGATCAAAATAGCATGCAATAGTTAAGTTTTTCATTTTAGCTTAAATTTGAACCAGCGAAACACACTCTTTGAGAAGATTTTATAGATCAAATTCAACATAACCAAACTTAAAACTTCCATTTTCCAGCTGAACAAAGTCAAGAATATCATTAATCATATTCAAGAGGAGTTTATTTGAATTAAGAGCAGGCTGTATGTAATTTAATAGCTAACTTTGGTGATTTTATTCAGATTATGCAATGTTTTGCAGAACTTCCATCATAGATATTGAGCAATTCAAAGGAGTTCTTAGTTCATGAGAAAGTGACCCAAATAGTTGCATCTTTTATTTGATTAAATCCTCAACTTTTTTAATCATAAAATCTTACCACATCTTTTCCATTACAATCATAGCAACTTTCTACTATTCTCCAGAAGATCCTACAATAACTTGATGAATTATAATTTTAAGAATATACTACTCACCCAAATATTCGATTTGCATAGTAGAAACATTACCTTCCTGTTGGATGTATCCAAGTTATTGCTTTTATTTAAGTAACTCATCAAAATCTTTTGCATCATCACCTTACTTTTTTTTACAAGTATTATTGCTAGAGAGTGCTGCTGCGCTTGGCACATTGTTTTGGCAAGGTATTTATTTGGCATTTATTTGATCTTGAAAGGGGTTCTACTCTTCTTACTAAGCTTACTCGGTGTCACTTTGGAGCTGTTAATTAATTTTAACTGTAGGCTATTTTTCTCTATTAACATCAAGCTATTTAGCTAAGCTGTTACTAATGAGTTCATTATTTATAGTTTAAATGGATTCCTGTTGCTATTTAGCTTATATTTAATTTAAAGAGTGAGATGCCATAGTTGATTAATTATATGATAAACCTTTGCCATAAGTTGTGCTTTAAACCTGGTGTCCAATACTTGCTGCTTATGGTGAATTGATAATATCAGGCTCTACTGAATTGCTTGTGTAGTACATTTATTGATTAATTATTTTTTTTTATGATTTTATTTTTGCACTTGAGACTTATTGATTCTAAAGGCACGGAGTATGGTTATTTTACTGCTGCTAATCTTACCATCCAAGCATGATATTGAGAATGTTTAATACACTTTCTTCTCTTTGCTAAGCTTCTGTCTTATTGTCACTAGCATTGTCATTTGTATATTTCATATAACTCATCTGTCTTAAATTGTTCCTCATGATGCCACTTCCTCTTTTTTTCTAACTTGTAGACTCCACTCCGCTTTTTGGACTATTCATTTTACTATATTCAGGCCTTTAGAACTGCAATTCATTCAGTTAAAGTTCGGGATTTATAATTGATTAAGTTTATCCCAATTCATCTTCTTCTATAATCTATTTGTCCGTATCTCCTAAACTGTCTTACTATTGTTGCTAGTATAACTATGGCTAATGATTTTGCTGCAAGTGTTTAGTAGGAATGTTTGTATATGATGTTCTTCCCATATATAATTAAGATTACTTTTAATAATTATTAATACAATAACTGGTAAATTTATAGAAAAAATGTAACTTACAGACTACTATGCCTGATGGACCAAAGCATTATCATCTGTTATCCATCTATCATTTAACTCTTTGTTGCTAGATAGGTTTTAAGAAGATTTTTTCACAATTTTTTTACTTGGATTGTTTTAAGAGTGCTATGCATGTGAAGTAATAATTGGCTAAACAGGTATTATTTATTATTTGTCAGTATTTTATAAATTATAATTAATTAAGTTGTTTCTTTCAGTTCCAATTTCTATCATAGTTTCATTTACACTGTTTTAAGGACTCTTCATAATGTTCATTATTTATTGTTACTCTTTAAAGCTTCCGTGTTATTAGGAGTAAGAAATGGTTCTGTAATTTGGATTATTAACATGTACTATTGAGTTATTATTACTATAGCTTTGTCCATTCATATTTTATGCGTTCATGCTAATCCTTCTTATTCTAGAGTTGTCTTCTTCTTCATCAATCATATATCTACTGCTTCTCTCTTCTTCAACTAACCCTGAAGGTATAGCTGAATTGTCTCTTATAGACTAATTATTCATTTAAAACCCGTTTTGAGACTTTTAATTTAGTTATGGAGGAGTGAAACGGTTGTTGCTGACATCAATTTCCTTCTTTTATTTTTTATCGCTATTATTATATCCTAATATTTATCAAGAAAATAATTTAAGATATTTCTTAAAAGGAGAGATGAAATTTAGTCTTTCAATAATTTAGAAATTAAAACTAAAAAAATAAATTTATTTTAGTAAGTTTTTTTCATTCAAATTTGTAAAAGCTAAATTTTTACCATTAAAGATACTGTTATAATTTGCATTTATGCTCGAAGTATAATCTGTTTATCCATTTAAATACTATTAATCATCTTCACTTTCGATTTCTTCTTCTGCAGCAGCATTGAACTATGTAGATTTTTAAGCATTAGTATTCAAATTAAGTAGAATTTTTAATGCTTTTTATTCATCCTAACAATTAAGCATTTAAAGCATTTAAGTACTGGCATAGAGCAGATTTTTTCCACTACTTATTATTGCTACTCCAACAGGAATTAAACTAAATAGTTAAGAGTAAAAGCCACTCATTTTAAGATCATTTATTCTCTAGTTAAATGTTCCTTATCGCCTCAGTGGATAGCTTGTGTTATTCATAAAACTTGTACCAGATTGGTTTTTATCTATCATAACAGCTTTAGATGCTTAATAATCATTTATTTATTAAGGGTTAAATTATTAAGATTTATTCTGAATTGAGTTTTATTAAGCCAATTAAATGCTTTAGCTTATTTTATGCTTAGGAGTGTAATTTAAAGGAATTTCGTTTTCTCTTTTGTGTTGTGATTATAATTTAATAAATCTGGTAGCTAAATCGTTTTCCAAATCACTTTTTGGATCACCTTGTTCAACTGTAAGGCGAAGAGCTTCAAATAAAATTTGATGTTTTGAGTATTTCTTAAAAAAGGAGTATACCCGAACTTTAAAAATGTCAGTGGCCTATAAAGTAACTTGATGGAACAATATTATCAAGCTGATCACAATGGTATCAGGTTTGAAGCCACAGCAAATCCAATATTTCACTATAAAATAGGAATACCCTGATAAAAAATAAATTATTTACATAAAAGGAATTTTTAGTCTTGATATAAATAGTTTAAATGAAAACAGAGTGAGTACTCCAGTCCAAAATGCAGGACAATATTCTTATTCATTACTTCTCTAGGATTTCTGAATAGAGTCAAGGAAATACTCATAGATATATATCACAGCTGGAGTAGAGAATACTATTATCAATAAATCTCTCACTAATAAATAATATCCAGACTTTTTGTGATTATTTTCTTTTAAATCCACAGAATTTCGTTCTTTCTACTAAATTTTACAGCTAGATCTGCTATTTTAGTTTCTTTAAGGTTGCTTGTTTATGAAAGATGCTTGTTGAAAAATCGACTTAGTTTCTTACTAATTTTAGTTCTAAATTTACTAAGAAATCCTTAAATTTTATGGAATTGAAGAATTCATCTGCTATAGCTGCCTATTATGGTTTGGCGACTTTTATGAAAAGCAAGATGATTTTTATTGATGCAATATTAAATTTTTTTTCTTTCTTCTCAAATAAAACAAAATCAAAAACCAAAAGAAACTCAATGAAATGAGGTAGATTCCTCCTATAAGCTTTGGAATATCAATCTAATCGCTTGTAGCCTCTATTATAAATACTATACCTTAAGCAGTTAGCATTATAAATAAAAAATAAACTTAAAACTTTCTAGCCCTTAATCCCACACTTTTTAATATGCTCTACCAATTCTATCTAAATTTTTAATCATAATTCTTTCTCCTGTCGAGGCTATTTTCAATATTACTCTTGTCTTGGTATTCATTACCTTTCATTTACTTGAGGTCCCTTTTTATTAAAAAAATTCTATAGTTTAGTCAACTTTATTTGCAGTAGCAATCGCTTTAATAAAAGCAATTTTGTTCTGTTTACTTTGAATACACTATCCTCCTTTCTTGGTTATATGTATTTATATATACAAATATAAATAGGAGAATTACTTACTTAAATTGTTTGCTATATTTATTAATTATTTGTAATAGAAGATTATATTTTTCATTATTTTTCATTCGAATTCTTAAAAATTGTATTAACACTTAGAAAAGATTGTTTATATTAACATGTATGTTTTACCTAATTATTTAATTTAATTTTTAACCATTTAGTTAAATTCGTATTTTTTTGATACAGTTCTAGTTTTTACTATTTTAAAATATATATTTTAAAGGTTAGCAAATATAAAATTACCATATCATTTTCAATCTGCAATTGACTCTTTGAGAAATGTTACCTTCTTTCTGAATCTTTTTGAATCAATCTTTTTTTTTTTTAATCTTATATTTATACTACAAAGATTAATTAATTACACATATTTGCTTGTGTTTAAAGCATCATAAATTGCTCTTTATTTTTTCTTTGCTACGATGGAAAGTCAAATATATTTCATAAATTCAGTAGAAACTGTGATCTTTTGCCTAAAACATTTTAATAATTTGAAATGAGAGATTTAAAAGATTGTTAATATCTATTATAAAAATATTATTGTTTTTTTATGTTTTACTCTATTGAGTATTTGTAGATTTTTATAAATTTTCTTTTAAATTCTAACTAACTTTATATTTTTTTGAGGCAAAATATTTATTTTAAGGAAATTCAATTATTTATATGTTATTTTAGAAAAGCTAGAAAAATTAATTTTTATAGGTTTTTTTTATTCTTTTCTAATAAAATCGCTGAAATTTTATAGTCTTAAAAGTAGAAGGAATATTATCTTAAGGCTTGTAGTTTATTACTAAATATTTTTAATTAACTTAACTAATTTAAAACCTTATTCTTCATTTTTTTTAATTTGTTGGTAATAAATAAATCTTAAGTAATTAATATTTTTTTTATTTCAATTGAATTTTTTTATTTTGATTCAACGTTTTGACAAACTAAAAAATAATTTTATAAAAATTTATTATTTTAAGTCTTTGTGATTAAAATCATTTTTTTTAAAATCCTTGGTTTTATATAGAAAGAAATATATAGAAAATTACAATTTATTAAATCAGATTTTGTTATGTGTTGGGAATCATAAATAATTTTTTTATTAAAATTTGAGGATTTATGAATTAATTCATAAATTCAACTTTAAATTTCTAAAAAAATTTTGAAAACTTTTAGTTTAAAAATGGACTACAAAAATAAAAGCTACTTCTAAGTACCTGGTGAAGCAGATAGGAAAAATGCAATTGGATCATTAGCAGGAGTTCCTATTAAAATAAAAAAAGCAATTTAGGCAATTTAAAATGAATTTCAAAAAATAGACGCACCTTAATAGGGAGATTGGCTTTGGGACCATGAAGAACTTGGATAGCCTTATGAATAATATGTATCGACTTTTGAAAAGAGAATTTTTAATAAGGAAAACTCCAATACAATTTATATCCAACCGCTTGAATAAAATATGGGATTTAACAAAGATTTAAAAAAATTTTGTAAGGCTTTTTTTAAAGGTAATTATATTTATTATGAATTTGATAAATTATTAATTCTACTAAAATGTTTAATCGATCTTTTGTACCTTATCATTTTAATTTTTATAAAAACAGACTGCAGAGTGAAAGTTAGATAGCCAATAATCATACAGGATATCCCGGCTGTATAGAGAAGAATAAATGAATATACATAAAAGCTGTAACTAAACACAAAGGATATTTTAAATTACTTAAAGACAAGACTACCAAAAGATGCAGTCTGTATGATTGGTATAACAAATACAGATCTATACCCAAAAGATGAATGGAATTTTGTATTTGGTCAGGCTTCGCTTATTCATGGAGTAGGCGTATTTTCATTTGCTAGGTATTTATATAAAAGCAATGATATTCTATCAAACACTTTAGAAGATTAAGATACAATCATTTATAGGGCTTGTAAAATTATGGTTCATGAGATATCACACATGTTTGGATTAAGACATTGTATATATTTTAAGTGTGTAATGAACGGGTGCAATCACTAAGAGGAAAGTTATAAATCTCCTTTAGAGTTATGTGTAATTTGCTTAAGAAAACTTCAAAATAATATTGGTTTCTCAATCATAGAGAGATATGAAGATTTAATTGAGTTTTCTTAAGACAGACCATATTTTTCAGAAATCGATGTGCCTATCTATGAGAAATTGAAAAATTTAATAAAGACTGCCTACGGTCCACATTACTAAAAATGATATATTACATTAAATGATACTAATTATTCCTTTAAAGTAGAATTTCCAATTACAAATTAAATAGTTTTATTAATATTAATAATAAAATAATAATAATAAGTAATAATATAAATATCCAATTTAAATAACTAATAAGTAAATCATATATAATAACTTACTTCAATATAAATTCAAAATTTGTAATTTTTAACTTATTTATGTATAGATAGATTAAGATAAATAATTAATGTTTATGTAATTTTATTAGAAAAATATTTTTTTTTTATACAATTTTCAATTCTTTTGAATTCTTATCAAAAATCTCTATTAATCTTTAAAGCGTATAGATCATACATAAACTATAATACAGATGTACCTACGTACATATAATTCTTGCAAGTTTTGCGTTAAGGAAAAAAAAAAATTTGATTTTGATTCGAGGAGAAAAATTTGATTATATTAGTTTTTCTTATAAAATTGATAAGTAAAATTTTAAAAATAATATTAAGAGTAAGTAATTTAATAGAGTAAAAATGGATTATAATTATGACAGCGATTCAGATTACGTGACTGATGAATCTAGCTCTCTTTCAGAGGAAGATTATAAGATTTATAAATAAGTAGAAGTGGACTAGATTAAAAAAAAGCATTAAAACGAAATTGTTATTCTAATAAGTAATGATAAAAAAAATCAAGATTTAAGATATCATGCTGAAAAGATAAGAGATGTAGTTTTCAAAATAATAGACGAGTGATTTTGCAATTAATTGCTAACATAATTTAATACATTTATTTTTATAATTAACAGCAACGTTAGTGATGAATACTATTGTAAACTCATTTCTTCATTTAAGAATATCAGATCTATTAAATTTGAGTAGCATTTTTATTATTGAATAATTTTAATAAAACAATTTAAAATAAATATCTTTAGGCGTGATTTATAATTTTTGACTTGCACCAAATCAATATAGCTAGCTTATAATATGCTTAGATGTATTAATTTGTCCTAAATACAGGAAATAAATTTAAGCCTACCTATCAAAGAAAAGTATACTGAATAATTTAGTACAGAATAATAGTAGAATGTAGTTTGGGATGGAGATGATGACATTATGTAGGAAGAAGGAGATAAAAACAAAAAGAAGTCTAATTCTAAAAAAAACAAAGAGTAAATAACTCATTAAAAGCTTTTAGATTTGAATACTCAAATTAAAAAATAAAATGATGTATTTAATTACTTATATTTAATATTTCATAGGTAATAGCTGATTGAAAAAGAAAAAATGGTCAGGGCAAATAAATATGAATTATTTTAAAATATATTGAAACTAATACAAAGTTCATGTTTTTAACTAAAAGAGTTAACTTTAATTATGAATTCATGGTATAGTGATGACTCAGCAACAAATAATTTTCAGAATGTTTTTGATTTGCTAGAGGCTATTCTCAAAAATAATGCTAATTCTATTTAAGCTTTTCATCTAAATGCCTTTTAGTGGGGTTTCTATAATAGAAACTTCACATCAAATAACTTCGATCAGATAGTTGAAGCTCTAATGAAAATAAATCCATAAAATTTTTAGGAACTAACTTTAGATTTTGGTAGATGGGGATGTGAAGAATATAAAAACTATAAAATATTTAAGGATTAAAGTGTGATCTAATTATCTTAGGCCCTTTCTAATTTTAAAAATTTAACTTACTTATAACTGAATTTTAGAAGGTAAATCTTAAAAAACAAACATTTTTTTATTTGAAAAATAGTTTTAATTCAAAATTAAATAATAAACAAGAAGAGTTAATTTTATATTTTCCAAGATATTTTTTAATTAAAATTAATCTATAACATTTTTAATGCTTGTATTTGTCCATAAAGCTTTTTATTTCATAAAAATATCATCTGATGTTTATAAAAACATGGTAGTATTTATTTAATAGTCATTAAATAGTAGCTAGAGTTGGCATGAATAGTTATAGTTAATATTTTAAAGTTTTTAGTAATAGGAATAATAACTTTTATTGCATTTTGATTAGATATCTAGATCAGATTAATTTAATTTATTATTTGTTTTATAAAAGTTGGGCATATGATAATGAATCTATTACTGACTTATCTATCCTTTCTCTCTTTAACTCAATTCAATGCTTATAAAAGTTAATAGTCTTAAATATTGAGGTTTCAAGGTAAAATATTTTACACAATATCAAAATAAAGATATCTATAAATTTATAGGTGGAAATATCAGAATAAATGTATCACAATATAGAGTATTAAGCAAATTGGAGCAACATTATTATGTTTAAAGAAGTTAAAACTGTTGGCACTTTCACTCAAGACGTAAATTTTTATAAAATGAAATAAAATAAATAGAAAGTTAAAAGGCTATTACAAAAATATTTTTTTTAATAAATAAGATGGTAAATAAGTACAAAAAGTGAATTAATTGCTCTTTTATAGGTCCATTAGTCAACTTTATTCATTCCATCTCTCAGGAGAGAACCAAAAATAATCGTAAATTTTTTATTTTAGGTAAATAAAATAATAATATATATATTAAAATAGATTGAAGACTACTATTACCACTGTTTGGCATCATAACTTATAAAAATTAAGGATCTTTAAACCAAAAAAATAATAGACAATAAAAAATTATTGTATTCATTTAAAGCAATTCAGGAATAGTACTCTCAATAATTTCGTTAAGAAATCATATGGCATATTACATCTTTATGTTCTAACTTTGATTATTAACTCTTAGAAAAACAAATAAAAGAATGTATGTCTATTGAAAATGTAGATTTTAATAGGAGCTGGTTTTGATTTGTCTATACTCAAGTTAGGTGTTTCCCTTTTAAATCAATTGTAAGTATGCAACAAGAAAAATGAATAAACTTTGTATTTATATAAAGATTCATTAAAAATATTATCTGTATCTTTATATTCATATGTTTAGTTTAAGTAGTTACAAACATATTTTACAAATATTTGTAAAAATTACTAGCAATTAATAACTAATTTTTAAGATTACTTAAATTAAATAAAATTAGTGAGTGATTCATCAAAAATCTTTGATTGAAAAGTAAGTGATTAAATTTATTTGTTTTAATTACACTTAATTTATTTGATAAATAAATTGTATCCTTTTAGCATTTTTGATGAAATCTGAAGAATAAAATTAAAATTAAAATATTAAATCAAAAAATCAGAAAATCAGAAAATTTAAAATGCCTACAAGAAAAGAATAAAATGTATTTTGATAGTATTTTATGAAATTTTTATAGTTTTTAAATTATTCCTTTTCAATTTTTGAAAATAAAAGGAAAGGAATTTAATTGAGACATGTAACAATTAATTTATTTTCTCTAAAATAAAAATTTTTAGTATTTTAAAAAAGTTATGATTTATTTTAAAAGATATTTTCTTCTTGGTTAAGTAATCTTTCAGATTTTAAAACTATATAATACAAGTTATGATATTCTTTTATTATTCATGTTCTGAATAAATGAATCCAGAATCAGTTCATCATCTTAAGCAAATATTTTTCTTATTTATCAAAATAAATCTAGATTTAATTTCCAAGATCTATTTTTAGAGTATTTGTAATAGCAAATAATTTATACGAATTTAAAATTCTTTTAAATTATAAAAATGTTCTACTTAAAAAATTCAATTTTGAATAAAATAAACCAACCACTGATTTATTATATTTAGAAGCAGGTCATATATTATCCAAAGATAAATAATCTAATCAGGTACAGTACTATTTTTTAACCAATAACTAAATAATAAAATAGATTGTTGTATTTCAAGCATAAGCATCATCAAATTTTAATATTTGCAATAACTAAAAAATTATTTAAAAGTTAAGAATCAATTTAAAAATTTAATAATAGTTAAATAAATTAAAAAAAAATAATTAAGAAAAAATTAAAAAGAAAATGAGAAAATTAATATTCTTGGCTGTTATTGCTGTTTGTTTGAGTATTGCTTATGCTTAAAGTAATAACGATCATATAGAAGGTGGTTATTAATAAGTTGAATACAATTAAGAGACTCATGGAGAAGCCTACTAAGCTGCCTTACATTACTTGAGTTCTAAGGAAATCGAAACTTCTATCAATCCTAAACTTGTTGCTGTATACCAAAAGATTGTCAGTGGTGCTATGTACAAATTCCATATTATGTTTAATGACTAAGGGTGGATTGTTGAAGTTTGGAGCTAACCTTGGTTAAATAACTTATAAGTTGTTTCTTTCAAGAGAATTCCTAAAAATTGAATTTAACAAAATAAATTTAATCATTTAAAATAATGATGAAAAACTATATTAAAATTTGTTATAAAATACTTTCATTCTAAAAATAATTCATTCATATTTTTTATATAGTATAATAATTTACTTGGCTTTTGAATTATTTCAATTTTTTTTTCATTTAATAATTGAGGAATTAATTATTTTTTGTACAATAGAACACAAAAATAAACAAATAAAAAAAAAATATTATAATCGATTCAAAGTTGTTACTTTTAAATATTGATATTTAATGTAAATTTTTCAATAAAATAATATTTATGATTTAATAGCCCAAAATAGATCAAAAAGTTAAACAAATTTAGAATTAAAAAATCTACTATTATATTTATTTAAAGCAATTCAGGAATATTAAGAAATCATATGGCATATTACAACATTATGTTCTAACTTTTATTATTAACTCTTATAAAAACAAATAAAAGAATGTACGTCTATTGAAAATGTAGATTTTAATAGGTGCTGGTTTTGATTTGTCTATACTCAAAAACAGTGTTTCCCTTTTAAACAATTGTAAGTATGCAACAAGAAAAATGATTAAATGTATTTTTATAAAGATTCATTAAAAATATTATCTGTATCTTTATATTCATATATTAAGTTTAAGTACTTACAAACTTATTTTACATTTCTTTGCAAAATTACTAGCAATTAATAACTAATTTTTAAGATTTCTTAAATTAAATAAAATTAGTGAGTGATTCATCAAAAATCTTTGATTGAAAAGTAAATGATTTAATTTATTTGTTTTAATTACACTTAATTTATTTGATAAATAAATTGTATCCTTTTAGCATTTTTGATGAAACTAGAAGACTAAAATTAAAATATTAAATCAAAAAATCAGAAAATGTAAAATGCCAACAAGAAAAGAATAAAATGTATTTTGATAATCTTTTATAAAATTTTAATAGTTTTTAAATTATTCCTATACAATTTTTGAAAATAAAAGGAAAGGAATTAAATTGAGATATGTAACAATTAATTTATTTTCTCTAAAATAAAAATTTTTAGTATTTTAAAAAAGTTATGATTTATTTTAAAAGATATTTTCTTCTAGGTTAAGTAATCTTTCTTATTTTAAAAACTCTAGAATAGAAGTTATGATATTCTTTTATTATTCATGTTCTAAATAAATGAATCCAGAATCAGTTCATCATCTTAAGCAAATATTTTTCTTTTTTATCAAAATAAATCTAGATTTAATTTCCAAAATCTATTTATAGAGTATTTGTAATAGCAAATAATTTATACGAATTTAAACTTCCTTTAAATTATAAAAATGTTCTACCTAAAAATTTTATGTACAATTTTGATTAAAATAAACCAGACACTGATTTATTATATTTAGAAACGAGTCATATATTATCCAAAGATAAATCATCTAATCAGGCACAATACTATTTTTACCAATAACAATATAATAAAATAGATTGTTGTATTTTAAGCATAAGTGACATCAAATTTTAATATTTGCAATAACTAAAAAATAATTAAAAAGTTAGGAATCAATTTAGAAATTAATAATAATTAAATCAAAAAAAAAAATTAATTAAGAAAAAATTAAAACGAAAATGAGAAAATTAATATTCTTGGCTGTTATTGCTGTTTGTTTGAGTATTGCTTATGCTTAAAGTCATAACGATCATAGAGAAGGTGGTTATTAATAAGTTGAATACAATGAAGAGACTCATGGAGAAGCCTACTAAGCTGCCTTACATTACTTGAGTTCTAAGGAAATCGAAACTTCTAACATCACTCCTAAAATTGCTGCTGTATACCAAAAGATTGTCAGTGGTGTTATGTACAAATTCCATATTATGTTTAATGACTAAGGCTGGATTGTTGAAGTTTGGAGCTAACCTTGGTTAAATAACTTATAAGTTGTTTCTTTCAAGAGAATTCATAAAAATTGAATTTAACTAAATAGATTAAATCATTTAAAATAATGATGAAAAACTATATTAAAATTTGTTATAAATATTTTCATTCTAAAAATAATTCATTCATATTTTTATATAGTATAATAACTTACTTGACTTTTGAATTATTTCAAACCTTTATTTGTTTAATAATTGAGGAATTAATTATTTTTGTAATATAGAACACATAAATAAACAAATAAAAAAAACATTATTATGGATTCAAATTAATAGCTTTAAAATATTGATTTGTTTAAAATAATATTTATGATTTAATAGCCCAATATAGATCCAAAAATTAAACAAATTTAGAATTAAAAAATCTATTCAGTCAATAACATCAAATCTCAAAAGATTTTGAATTTCTAAAAATTCATTATTTTAAATTTATAATAAGAAATTTCACCATTTATTCAGCTGATTTTTTTATTTAAACAAGATAAAAACCTTTTGTTGGAAAAAACATCAAACAAATGAATCAATGAATGAAGGAAGTATTTAAATTATCTAACAAAATAGCAACTAGATACTTAGAAAATTTTCTATAAAATTCATACTAATTAAGTTAGAAATGAAAAGATTGCAAATTTGAATATAATGTGATACAAATGTCATAATTTAATTATGTATTTTACTAGAAAAATTTAAGATTTTTAAATAATAAACATTGAGATATAATCTATGACTAAAATTCATCTATATTCTGAAGAAATAAATACACTCTTTCTAATTTTAGATGCTAAATTTCAATTTTTTTATACCGTATTTATACAGAAAAAATATATAAATTTATCAATATTTATTTTTATTTAGTTGCATGTTTTATATTGATTATCATGCCAAAGCTCTACAAAGAGGGCAACTCCTTTTATATGTGAGAACTTCTTTAATACATGAATCATGATATTTATGTTAGCAAGGTAAAACAATTTACTTTTTATATTTTTAATAGTTATCAAGGCAAATAGAACAAATTTCTTCAATTTAAGATTTTGAACGCACTTCATTAGAATCATAGCTTACCTCTTCAGTAGCTGCACTTATAAAAGAAGGATTTTAAATTTAAAATACAAAATCTTTAGCTTGTTTTCTTTTGGTGTTAAGATAATGAATATTGAAGCCAGCAAAAAAGACATTAAAAATAAAGAAAATGTAATAAGAAGGTCCTACTCTTGAAAGTACATTTTAAGCTATAGGTATACTAATAACTCTATTATCAATTAATTATACTGTAACAAGTAAAGCTATTGCGATATTCATCAGCACTAATGCAAAAAAAATAGAAGAAAATATATATGTTATAGCCTAGGACAGTTTTAGATATTTGACTCGTTTAGAGTTATCCAATTACTTTAAACTATAGTAGTAGAAAATTAAGTAGATGAATTCTAAAACCATAGTTGCAGCAACACATAAAAATACGTAAAGCTCTAAAAGTGTAAATACTACTAAAAATGACACTCCTAAACCAAATAGAGCAATACTCAATCTAAGATTTTTTCTGTATGTTTAACGTGACCTCATTATTTTATTAATATATTTTATTTCTGGAAAGTTTATGTGTCTTTAAGAGAGTGATTGACTTCGTTTATTCTATGAATAAAGGAATAAAGACGATTAATTATTTTTAATTAAATTGAATCAAGTTTTTATGCTCTATAAATGTATTTAAATTTATGATTTGTTATACTGTATCTTATTTAATCTAGAAGACATTTCAAATTTATGGTCATTAATAAATATATTATCCCAAATGACAGCATTCACTTAACATTTAACATCATAATCTATTAATTTCACTCTATTTCATCTTTAATACAGATTTATTGAATCTTGCCTATTTGAAATTTATTTACACTATATTTGTATCATGATAAATTTTAATTATCTTTTCATCTCTTAAATCAAATATGATAAATCTGTATGTGTGTAAACAGTCTAAGTATTATAATTATTATTTTTTGTTTATTTACTAAATTATATTATTATTTTTTGTATTTTTCAATTATTTTTTTCTAAAAGTGTATTTTTTATTTAAAATTCCATTTTAAAAATTTAATTTTTCAACTTTTTAGTAGAGATTAAAAGCACTAATAAAGTATTTTAAAATTATTTATAAATTTATTTATAAAAAAAAATAAAATTTGAAAAAGAACAATCTTAACATTTATTTATTTATTTATTTTATTGAACTAATTTTTAAATGATTTGCCATTTAAATAAATTAAATTATGATAAAATTTCATATTTTTATATTTTTGAAAATAAAATTTAAGGATGATTATTTGCTTTTAATTTTTAAAAATATTAATAAAAAAATACAATATTTTTAAATAAATTTTAATTTGAATTATTTGAAAATTAATATTTACTGAAGACTTTAAATAAGCTTATTTGAATATTTGATTTTTTTTTAATTTTGAATTAAAAATATTTTAAATTATGCTTTAAAAATATTTCAAATTTTATGATTATTTATAAATAAGAGCTTTTATGTGTTGGTGTTTTAATTTAACATTCATCATTTTTGCAGTAAATTTAATATACAATTTTTTTAATCTTTTTTATCTATGAGCAATTGAAGGGGTAAATTGAATTTAACCCATTTACCTTTTATATTGAAAATAAATTTTATTATAATAAGATATTTTTAAATTATTTAAATAATATGAACATTAATTTTTTTGAGGACTAAATGAAAAAGACATTAATTTAAATATCAGATATTTTTATACAATAGTAAAGTTTTTGCGGTTGATTTAAAATTAATAGTTTTACTGAATTTAATTAATTTACAATAAAACAATTTGCCTTAAATTTGATAAGCAATTTTATAATTTCGCAGTCTTGAAAATTAGAAAATATTGATTTTCTAATTATAAGGTGGCTATTTTCATTCTTTAATGATAAAATTTATGGTTATTAATTTACAATAAAAAACATTAATTATTTTTCAAAATTATATTTATCCTAAAAATCATTAACACTTTTTAACTAATATTTTATGATTTTTATATGAGGTCAATAATCATTTTTAATTTTACATTAGTTTCTTTAAATTTCATTTCAAAAACAAATTTACAATTTAAAATTCTATCTTTTCTATGCTCTGAAAGTAAGTTTTTTACAAGAAAGTTAGTCAGCTAGTAAGCTATACATTTAGCCAGTCATTCAGTAAAAATTGTTAAAATTTAATCTCAAAAATATAATTTCTAAACATTACCAATCTATTAAGGTTAACCCAAATATGTTTGAGATTACACTTTTTATTATTGCTTGCTGAAAGTAATTAAAAATTTTTAAAAATTTACCATAATTTTTTCAAGGAAGTGATTTGAAGATTTTGGTTATAAGGTAAGAAATAATAAATAAATAATTTATTTATTTACTTTAACCAGAATGAAACTCTATTTATCGATCAAAAGGGAAAAATTAGTAATTTATCTTCTTCATCGGCAAAACTTAATTTACAATTGATATCTTGGAAATTATTAAAGGTTTGAAAATTTTGATTGACTGATTGAATAATAAATTAGGCTAACACAAATAAAAGAGAAAGGTATGTAGGCAGATTGATAGGTAAATAGGCAGAAAGTATAGAGAATATTAATATAAAGATTTGTTTACAAAAAAATAATAAAAAGCATAAAGGCAAAAATTAAGTTTATAGATAGTCATTGTTTATCAACAACAGCTATTAAAAAAATTATAAAGCAATTAAACAAAAACAATTAAATAGAATAAAATTAAGGTTATATATTCTCTAAAAGCAATAAAATGGGTTGTGGTAATTCTCACTCTATCCTAGAGCCTAAGGGCAGAAAAATTATAATGATGGGAGCAATAGGAAGTGGCAAGACAAGTATTTTATACCAGCTCACTAAGAAAATGCAAGTTCCAGCTATTCCCACAGTAGGTCATAATGCAGAATACTTACAAATTAATAAAGAAAAGTTTGTTCTTTATGATGTAGGCGCTCGTAATAATGATTTCAATTAAATACAGCATCTGCTTGAATCAGCAATAGCATTGGTTTTTATGATCGATGCCTCCAACTCCAACGTTTAAGTTTTCAGAGAAAGTATTGATTTATTTCATTAATGCGTCAAGTGTCCTTACTTTTAAGGAATCCCTGTAGCCATCTGCCTTAACAAATAAGATATGGCAGAAAATATATATATAGATGAGGATGTAATTATGAAGAACTATCCATTAGATTAGATTCAAGGAGGCAATTATAAAATTTTTAAAATGAGTTATAAAAATAAGACTGGAATAGACGAACCATTTGACTGGATTTAAGGATAAAAATTGAAACCATCTAATGTTAAAAAGGCCCCTCGTTCTCCTAAAAGAGGTTAAGGAAACTAATATGGCTTCCCACTATCAACAGAGCAACCATAATCTAATGGAAGTAAGGCTTTGCCTGAGACCTAAGATATTTGAGCAGTTTCTTATATTAACATCATAAATTTTACATAACATAATGAAAATTTCTTTAATAAAAGCAAGTAAACTATATAAAATTCGAATACTGCAGAAAAATAAATATACAGTTCTGCTTCTTAATTATCTCAAATTCAATATATCTCTTTTAGACATTGTCACGCTTTTTAGTAGGTTTTTTTGATATAGTTAATATTTTAGACCTACCCTTACAGGGTGATTGCAGATCTATACAGAAAATAGCTCGAGCATAAAGAGTCATTAAGTTATTATTTAGTTAAGCGTTATTTTATTTTGTATTTATTATCAACTTTACAAAGAAAAAAATAAAAATTGACTTTAAGTTATCTTAAAAATTGCTCACTTGAATTAAAAAAACAACAATAGAATAAGCAATTTTTCATAGCAAATAAATAAAAATAAACCCTAAATAAAAAAACTATAAAAAAATTTACTGACTCTGAATTATCCTATTCTGCTATCTAAATACTTAAACATTTTGAAACAAAGTTATCTATCTTAATTAAGACAGAAATTACTAACAAATATTTAAAAAAAAAAAAAAACTTTTTGACTAAAAAAAGCGTAAATAATACTAAAAAAAAAAGAGAGAAAAACAAATATACTTATTTATACTATAATTAAGAAGCCAGTATACTTATATTTTTAAAAGTTTAAATCAAATTAATAATTAATAACTTAATCTATTCTAATTAGAAACCTTTATAAATTAATAACAAACAGTTTGTCTATTTCTACTATTAACAATAATTAAAATAAAAAGAAACTATAATAATTATAATTTATCTTAACTATTACATTACAAACGCATATATAAGTACATATATATTTAAGTACAGGTATCAAAAATATTAATCAATAAACTATTAAATGAATTAATAAGTAAGTGAATTAACGAATGAATAAGAGAAAGAAAGTAGACAAGATACCTTATAGTTAGGAAAGAATTTAGCTTAAGAGCCATGTTAAAAAAATAGATATAGACTATTCCGACGAAATTTAATAACTTTAACTATAAATAAAAATAATTATTTAAATTTTTAAGATTTAAAAATAAATAAAATATTATGTATAATTTATATATTTATCCACTTAAATTTACTTATTCTCCATATTTCTCAAAGTATTTTTAAGCATTTATTTACTATTAAGTTTTTAGTTATTATTGATGAATCAATCTAACCCAGACTCTACTGAAATGATTTATCTATTAAAAATAATTATAAAAGAAATAACAAATAGAATTTTATTAATAACATTTGAATATTTATTTTACAATTTACTTTTTACAACTCAAAATTAACTGTATTCAAGAATATTAACTTATATAGTCATTTTAAATATGTTCCACTCCTTACTCAATACTTTTTTCTAAATTTAAAATTTACAATCACTCAATATAATAAAGATTCTTACAAATGTCAGGAAAATAATATTTTTTCAATCATAATAAAAAGATTTTTAATTTGTAGCATAGGCATGCAGAAATGTTAAATTTATAATATATCTATCAATATTTTGATTATATCACAGAAAATAATAAGTAGAAATAAATAGTTACTCAGCAGATACATAGATTGAATTTATGATTATAAAGTTAAAATTTAAAAATATGATTGCTCTAAATAAATATGTGATTTTCTTATTAAGATGAACTTATCCAGCTTTACCAGTTCTGATTTTTATGTTTTTTCTTCTTCTGAAAGTATTTATTATTAAATCAAAAATTTTTGAAATGAATAAAATAAAAATGTAAAACTTTATTTTTTTTGCTATAAACGATACTCAAAATGGAAATCCACATTAATTAAATTAATTAATTACAAAAAATCTAAATACAAAATGAAATTTTAAAGTTAATACAGATATTTTAAGTATTCTTTATTAGCCAATCAAATCAACTAAATTCCATTTCCGAACAAAATTTTAGTTTAGTATATGCTTATTTATTTATTAACTAAATCAATATAATTTAAAATTCTCCAACTTGACTGCTTTAAGAGAATAGTCCCATAACTTATTAGCCAACTCTTTATCTTATGATACTGGGGATTATTTATAGAGTTAATTATCTTTGTAATAACCTCCATTAACTAATTTATTAAAGTCTTCATAGCAGCATGTCAAAGTAGTTTAAGCACCATAATATTCACTCTTAAAGCATAGTAAAGAAATGGGGTAAAGCAACAAACCTATTAATCTGCCAAAAGGAAGTTAGCTAAAATTATGTTAGTATATTCCTGATTTAATCACTCCAGGATGCAAGCTAACTACCTTAGTATCAGTGCCCTTTAGTTTATCTACTAATTCAGTTGCAAATAAGCAATTAGCTAATTTGGACTAAGGATAAAGCTCTAATTCTTAACTATTTTTATCAAAAGTATTTTATTAATAAATAATATATTTTTACAAGTATTTGAATTGATATAATGCTAAAAACTAATAAATCAATTTTTGGATATTTTATATTTTTATTTATCAATTAAATAGTTTAATAAATTACATTAAACTATTAGTAGGCTGATTTAAAGAGTCAAAATCTATAGTTTTTGAACGAGTGTGAGCACGAGAAGAAACTATAACTATCCTAGATTAAGGAGTATTAACTATTTTTTAGAGTAGAAGATTTGTTAATAAGAAATGACCCAAATGATTAATGCCAAAGTTAGACTCAAATCCTTCTTTTGTTTTTGAAAATCTTGTATTGTATACTCCTGCATTATTAATTAAAATATCTAATCTGTGGTTTTCACAATTAAATTTTTCTGCAAAGTTGCGGATACTTTACAAGTCATTTAAATCTAATTAAACAAATTCAACTTTTGAATTTCCCGATTTTTTAACTATTTCTTTTACTACATCTAGAGTATCATAGCTTCTGCTTGCGATGACAACTCTTGCTCCTCTTTTTGCTAAATCCAAAGCTGTTTCTTTTCCTATTCCCCTGTTACCTCCTGTAATCAACACAGTTTGACCTTACAAATCTCTATGAACTGTGCATTTACCTCCATTAAAGTAACTTTTTGTTAAATACAAAGAGGCGCCAACCCCTAATAAGATTTTTGCAAATCTTGCCTAGTTTTACATTTGCATTTTTACTTGTTATAAAAATTTTTAGTTGCGATTGATTATTGTTTTAATTAATAAGTATCTTTCGAGTAAAATTAATATCTAATAAATTAAATTACTTTCTATCAAAAAAAAGAATCTTTTAAAATTTCATGTAAAACAATAAAATAATCTTTAAAATATATTCAGCAATTAAAAGAAAAAAATAATAGAATTATTTTAGTTTACTTTATGAAAAATTAGTATTATTTATCTTTTTAACAATGATCTACTAAAATTTTGTCTGTAACAGCTTAGTAAAATATGATAATATAAAGTATTGATTATAAAAAATATTTATGGGTGATTTGTTTGAAAATTTTTTGAATTAAATTCTATATTTAGTAATTTAAATATTATTTTACATTTTTAATTTAAAATAATCTGAGCAAAACATTTTAGATTAAAGAAATATTATCATATGAGTAGTTAATATTAACAAACTTAAATCAAAGTAATTTAAACTCAAGCACAGAAGATATAGAGAGTATTAAAAGGTAAATAAAACTAAATCAGAATACTAAGATTAAATATTAACACTTTTACTTTTTAAATATAAATAAATTATTAACTAATTTATAATTCTTGATAAAATTAGTTATTAAACGATATTTTTATAAAGATTTTAACACTATTTCTATTAGGAAAATAGTAATAATTTGCAGATAAATCGTAATGTCATATTATTGAATCTAAATAGATATTTCAGAAAATAAGAGATGATCTTGGTTATATATTTGACACATTTTTTATGCTTTACTGAGATCCAAAATTTACTAAAGTTGAATTATTTCTTGTTGAATACATACTTCTCCTTTGACCTTACCTATTGATTAATACATTTTTAAAAAATAAATAAATTAATTTTTAAATTTACTCAGGATTCATTTATTTCTAGCCGTGCAAGTTGAGTTGATGAGTCGAAGAAGAAGCAGTAGAGTTGAAATTCAAAGCACTTTTTATCATTTAATTTTGCTGAGGTTTTACAGATTAGTAATATTGCTGTTCTTTATTTGTATATTTTTGGTTTTGTTTTGGTGGTGAGTTTAAAGTTTCGTTAACATCAGAATATTCACCTTAATTTAAAATTTTGATTTCATTATTATTACTAATTGTATAAGGTTTATTATAGTAATTCGAAGAATATTAATTTCCAAATGGTTAAAAGCTAGACTAGGGTAATTAAATGTTGTTTTAAGATTGTTATTTTGAACTAGGTAGAAGTTCCTAATCATTTAACATAAATTAAACATCTTTGATTGATCTACTTATTTTCTTCTTTTTCTTTTCAACATTCATGTTTAAGATGATGTTGTTTTGTATTTATTAGGCGAAATTTATCTTACTGAATTTGCTTTGGGTTTTCTTTTGAATTTCGTCTTCATTCTAAAACAGTTAATTTTCTTTAATCTTATCTTAAACCTCATTTAATCTTTTTATTTTCAATTTAAAAATATTTTAAATTATTTAATAAAATAAATTCTAACTAAATAAAACAAGCATCTTGCTTAAAAATTATTTATTTGTGAATTCAAATTTATTATTATTCTTTTTTATAATTAATTTTTCTTAAAATATAAAAGTAAATTTTAAAAATTTTACTGGTTGAAGTTCTTCTTCTTCTCATTAAAATCATCTGAATATTTCTCGTATTTAGACTGAATGTTAATAATTTAGTTAAAGAGATCATTTTTAATACCTTGCACATACGCCTTTAAGTAATTAAATTAGTCTTCTACTTCTGTATTTCCATTTTTATTCAAACCAGACCAACAGCTTTCAAGCATAGAGTAATATTTTTCTAGATCTGTTGAGTGCTACTTCATAATTTTCAGAATTTAAGCTTGGTACCTTATGTCTACTTTACGAAGTTTAAATTCATAAATTAACACACTAAGCAGTTTTTGGTCTTATGATCTGATATGCTCATTTTTAATTTCAATTTATTCTTAAATTTTATCCATGACTTCATCCTTATCCTTAACTAAATTGACCAGCTACTCATTATCTTTGGTCAGATAATTTATGGCTTCTGTGCAGTGCTTTTCCATAAATGATAACTTATTTTACAGCTCTTCTTTACGTTTTGTAAGTTATTCAAGCAAAAATTAATATTCATTTTCTTTCTTTCCAAACTATAATTTCTCTAATTCTAAACTATGCAAAATCATTTATTTTTCATCTTTTTAGTCAGAATTAGTTATTTGCTCTTATTTCAATGTGATAAATTTCTGGTTCATATTCACAAAAAATTTTACGTAGTCTTGTAGAACATAGCATATTTCTGCTGGATGCTACTCTTACCAAGTTTTTTCCATCTATTCTTTAGTAGGAAAAATGAGATTGATTTCTTCAGTTAACCCATTTTATATTACCTAAGATCTCATATATTCAATTAAATTCATTACAAAAGACATCACATATCTGTAATCATCTTTCAATAAATCAATCGTTTCCTATTCAAATTTGACTTAATTTTCCCTATTCTTTTGTTTAGCTATTACTTCAATAGGTCTTTAATTTTCAACAACCTTTTAGTGAGAATTAGATTACTATCTCTTCATAGAAAGTTGATTTATCTACTGAGATTAAAGATTAGGTTATACTTGCTTATGACCAGATAGCTATTCTTAAATTTTCAATATGATGGACTTTTACTTTTAAGAGTTAGAAGTTCTATTTATGACCATAGATTGTTGCTAACTCCTAGGGCCAGATATGGTCTACGCCCTTTATTGATAAAGTGAGTTATTTATTTATTTGTTGCTCTAAGGACTTAGCAAAGCATTATTACTAATATTATGAGTAGATGGATTCGATGAACTATTATTATTGTTATTCATTTCAAAATATTATTTCTTAAATTCCTATTTAGGACACTTTTTACAGTATGTATTCTATCTTTAGCTTGTTTAATCTTTGCAGTTCTTCAAAAAAATTGCAAGTTTATTTTTCTTTTAATCTAGTTTAAAGTATATTAATCTATTTAGTCCTTCTAATTTTCACTAAATTTTAATGATTATCTATCAAATAAATATTTATATTAATAACTTTTATGTTCTTTTAAAACATCATAAATCTTAAATTGAGGGATTAGATTGAAAGGAATTTTTAATAAAAAAAATAGAAAATCTATATCCATTTGTTTTTCTAAAGACAATTAAATTTTATGCATGATTCAGTGAGGTTTGTGAGTACTATGCTTAAAATCCTATTTATATATGATATAGTAAAATTTTGAATTTGATCCAAATTACATTTTAGAAATACCTCTTGAAGTAGCTATTATATCAGTTCATTCTTATTATTATATTTTAAAATTACACGTTATTTTACTAGCAAGCAATCATTAAATTATTGTTACATAAGTTATTTCAGCTTTTTGTTAAATCTAATATGGAATTTTACATATTTAAATAAACAAATAATAATTATTCTTTATAAAAAACAATATTCCTTTGAAAACTAAAATGATTAAATTATATTAATCAATAAATAATATAATATGATTCATCTTAAATTTATAATCATATATAAAAAAATAAATTTTGCTCTTCTATTTTTAAATATAATTATGTTAATTTAAATGATTAAAAAAATATGGTTTTAGTTAAATCTATTAATTTTCATAAACTTTAGAAAGAAATTTAAATTTATTATCTTATTTATTTTAAAATAATTGCTTTTGGGGTTTTTATAAAAAAATCCCTGACATAGAATAGAATAGAAATACTCGCACATATAAATGCACTCAGAATACATCTTAAGATTTAAATTTAATTATTAATATATGTATTTATATTATGTTTTAAGTGAAATGTTATAACAATTTTTGAATTTGAATGGTTGTTCTTTATTTGTTTTATTCAAAATCTCTGACATTTTAGTATATTTTAGGTATTATCTAAAAAATTTAAAGGACAAAATAGTGTTATTTGAATTCTATAAATTTTTTATAAAATTAAGAATAGATTAATAATTTTATTTTTTTATTTATTAAAGTTAAAAATATTTATTTAAATAGAAATATAAACAAAATCTTTTGAATTAAATTTATAATTTATATTTATCTCTTAAAAGAATACTTAAAATAAAAGTTATTCTAATTACTTAATCATTTTATATGTGAATTTATTAAAAATATACTTAAGATAAATATAGTATATTTTAAATATTTTATTTTAACTTATTTTTTTTTAATTTAAATTTAATCTAATTTTTATATTAAATAAATACGTCTAAATTTTTTATTAAACCATAAAAAGGTACTTAATAATTTAAACTTATCAATTTACTAAAATTAAAACAAAATACATTTGATACACCTTAGAAAATATTATAAATTTTATTTATCCTAAAAAAAAAATAAATAGTGAATTTTATTTATATAAAAAAAATTATCAATTTTATAAAAACAAAAAAAGAAAATTTTTCAAAAAGTTAGTGGAATTAATAATTAATTAAAAAAATACAGAATATTAATAATTTATTTTAAATTTGGAGATAAACAGCATTTATTTTATTATAACTTATTCATAAAAATAAAATGTATAAGCAATTTATTTTTATAGCTTTGATATAAATTACTAAAATAATAAAATGTTAAAAATTATTCAATAAATTTATTTTAATTTATTAATTTTTAATTTTCTGAATAACTTTATTTAAAGTAAATAACTAAATCATAGCAGATTACTTAAAATATTGGTAAAAAATATTTGATTTATTAGTAAATAAATACTTATTCATTTTTTAAAGGTTTTAATCGAAAGTTAATATAATTCAATAGTTTTATCAGATATCAAAAATTAATTTAATACACAAAGCATAAATAATAAATTGTTATTTTTGAAAATATAAATTAATATTTGCAACGATAAGTTGATTTTGAATGGATGGTAAAAGAAGAATAAGATATGTATGGAAAAAAAATTCTTTGATTTGATAATAAAGTAAAATTTATTTGCATAAATTGAATAAAAAATTAATATAAATTTTGAAAAATCAATCTTTCGCCATAAAATAAATAAGTATTATAATATTCAAAGAAAATCAAAAAAATTGGTTGATTAATTGATTGATTGATTATCTTTAACTAAATCTAAAAAAATCAAGAGATAATAAATTAAAATTTGAATTAAGTTGTTTTGAAGTATATTTTTCATCATTCATCATAACAGAAAGATAAATAGGAAATATAGAGTCAAACTTATCAACTTAAGACAAACAAACCTTTACAACATAAAGAAAATAATATTAATAGGATTAGTAGGCTTGATAAATATTTAAATTAGCATTGATGAATAATACTAGCTTAAACAACATTAACAACGCTAGCTTTAATAAAGGAAATGATGAATTCGAATAAAGTTATATGAATGCAACATCTGGTGCAGGAACAGGATTCAGATATAGAGGAGTTTACTCTGAAATTATAAATCCAGCAAATTCAAACACATATATCGTAATTATTGCTCTATTTTAGCTATAAAAGCCCATTTTTCGCTTCTATTTCATTTATTTCTATCTAATTTATCATTTCTTTTTTCTATGAAATAGGATAAAAGTATGTAAGGGCCAGATGTTTCTTACATTTACTAAACACAATAAAAATAAAGAATTCCAAGAGCATTTAATTTAGGTAGCAGAAGCGGAAGTCGTCCAAGACCTCCTTTGAGCAATAAAGAAAATGGTGAAAAATTAAATTAGACAAACGTTTCGATAAAAAGCGCTAACACATCATTTAATTCTATGAATAAGTTAAAATTCAAACCTTTAACTAAAGTTTTCCACCCATCAAATAAATTAGAAGAAGGAAAAATTCACGAAGATCTTACAATAGATCCTAAAATTTTGGAGCCATACGTTCCAATTCCTGGAAGAGTTCCTAGAAAAGTAGCTATTGATAGAAAAAAAAAAGAATATGCTTCCTTCAATATTGAAGATCTGCTAGTTCATGAAGTAATTTGAGGCATAAATTAAAATAAAATTTTTATTTTGGCATAAATATTTGAATTATTTTAATAAAAGGATATTAAAAAGATGAGCAAAAAGGAAATTTTTAACATTTTATAAATAGGATATTGATTTTAATCAAAAAAAAGGAAGTTATGACTGGTTAAAGTTAGAGTAGTTTGATGATTCAACTTTTGATGACTATGAACCAATCGAATGGATCAATAAAAAAGTTGATGAGGATGGAAATCCTCGTATTATTACTGCTAAAGGTTTATATAAAGACTAAGCAGGATTTTATTCTTGGAAACCATGCACAGTTGAATCTTACTCTAAAGAAAAAGATCAGTTTGAAGTTAAGTGGATGAATAGCAATTAATCAGATTTCTTACATCGTATATATTTCTGCATAGATGCAGAAGATCCTAGAAAGTTTGCTTAAAGAATTGCAAATGCTTTCAGATAAATCGTTTATGCAGACTCTATTATTAGGTAACTTAAAAATTTATCAATTTTCATTTTTGAAATATTCATAATAATGGTAGGTATAATTTCTATATTGATAATATGCCTTTACAAGATTTGAGCGAACTTGATAATGAGCAGAAAAAAAGATTAGAGGCTCTTGCAAAGACAAAGAAGTAAGAGAATATGGATACTACACCACTTCTTATTGAAGTCAATAATGATTATTGTAGGACTATGAATAAAATTATATTTAACAAATATATGGAAGAAGTTCTTCCTGCTGAAGATGATCTTTACCCTAAAAATCTCTAACTTCCTCCTGAAGAGGAAAAGCCTTCAGCTCCTTATTTAGGTAAGATATATTTATTTACATTATCTTAAGTTAAATTTATACTTTGGTAATACTAGGAATCATGCCATTGGAAAGACATAAAGGGGCTAAGCTAATTTGGATAGAGAGTTATGGTTTACCTTAAGTAGAAGAACCAAAAGAATTCACAGAAACTTTCAAAGATTTTTGTTTTTCATCACTATTTATTAAAGAAGAAGTAAAGAAATTTTAATAGGCATTTATTTAGTATTAAAAAATAAATTAGGTTATTAAAGCATTGCAGGAAATAAGAGTAGAATGCAATAAAGTTTTAGAAATGAGTGTGTTTAATGTTAATGTAGAAGGTCCTCTTGTTTTAGAAGAATTTAAGCACATTTAAGAATCATCAACAAGCCAAATATTGTATCACTTGAAAGGCTAGTGGATATAAGATTTAATTAAAATTATTAAGACAAATTTTGAAAAAGTAGGAAAAGGCTGGTTTAATATGAAAGAAACCAATCCAAACACCTACAATTTTGGTAAACTCAAAAGATTCTTAACTGTTGTTCGTCTTATGATGCAAGTAATTTAATTTATTCTTTCAAAGTTATTTTAAAATAAACATTACCTTTTTAAATAGGATACAGTTTTGACAGTTGTCAAAAGGTGCTTTTAATAAATGGAAACATATTTACTAAATTTTATACCAGAATAAGTTGTTATTAAGAATGTCACAGATATAAAAAACTAATATATATAAGATAAGAATGCTCAAGATCTTGCAAAAGACTCATAAGCATTAAAATAAAAGCCTATTTAACCTCTATTTACAATTGATTTGATTAAAACTATGAATGATGAGGACTTCTTATATTCTGTATAGCCTATGAATTATGTTAAGATGATCATAAATTTATTTGAGAAAGGTTAGTGAAAATAATTTATTGTTATCAAAATTTTAATTATTTTTTAACATTTTATATAGCTTTAGAAGAAATTGGCAAAATTCCAGATTTAGAACCAAAAATTCTACCCGAATTACATGCCTCAGCTCAAAAAGAAGCTCATATTAAAGCTCCTATGAAACCAAGAGAAAGGCCAACAACTCCAGATCCAAATATGAGACCTAAAAAATACCCTGATGAGAATAAATGGATTTGGGAAATGATTGAAAACATTCGACTGAAATTTATTGAAGGAATTAAGCCATTAAATGATTACTTAGAATAATTTAGAGAGTTCAAAGATGTGCTTTAACTAAATCCAGATGATTTTGCTAGAAATATCGAAATGATGGAAAATCCTTGGGAGGTTGAGCAATTACAAGATGAAATTTTTAAAATTTAAGAAAAAGAAGAAAGATTAAAAATGAGTTTACCTGAAAAGATTCATGTCTCCTATTTTGAAATTTAAACAAAAGAGATTCTAGCTTATCTTTGTGAGAAGTACTACTTCTTAAGAAAAAATTTAATAGATATGATAGCCAAGCGTGCAAAGAGCCATACTCAATTTATTTTTAATTAATTTTAAATGCACTAAACAAAAATAAAAGAAACACCTAAAAATATTGAGCAGCTGACAGAGCTTAGGGAATACATGAAAAATTTGCCAATCGAAATAGAAAAACTTAAAGTAGAATAAAAAAGATGCTTCGAAATTTACAAAATCCTAGAAGATTTTAACTACAGGTAATTGATTAATTTAATAATTTATCAACTTTATTGATAATTTAAAGTTAATACTTTTTTTATTGAATTAGATTCTCTAAAGAGGATATGGATAGAAAATGGAATACTTTTGGATCTCCAAAAGATACATTTGAACTTATTGAAAAGAGAGCCAAAGAACTTGAAAAGGATTAAGTTAAATTCTAAGATGAAATGAAAGTTTAATAAGAAGATTTTAAAGATGTGATTGATAACCTTGAAAGAACTATCAGCAATTTCGACTAATATTCTGATATTAAAAACCATGAAGAAGTTTGTAATATAGCAAAAGATATTAATAAGTGTTTGGCTGAATTTGCTGAAGACGCTCGTCGTTATAATACACGTGAAGCTCTTTTTGGTTAGGAACTTACTAATTATGATAAAATTTATAATATGCAGAGAGAGTTCACTCCTTATTCTAATTTGTGGATCACAGCTCATAATTGGTTTAAGAATAAAGATTTGTGGATGACTGAAGAGTGGAATAAATTAGATGCAGTCTATGCAGAAAAATTTGTTGAAGATTCAATTAAATTACTAACAGGAGTAATTAGGTTCCTAAAAGATAGAGGCATTGATGCTGTTCTTAAAATAGCATAAACAGTAAAAAGTTAGATTGATGAATTCAAACCTAAAGTACCTCTTATGGTCGCTCTTCGTAAAAATGGTATGATGGAGAGACATTGGAAGTAAGTATCCGAGAAAGCAGGAAAGGAAATTAAACCAACAATTGAAGGATTCAATTTTACTAAAGTATTAGAACTCGGTCTTTTAGAACATGCTGAAGCTTGTGTTGAGATAGGTGAAAGAGCTTATAAAGTAATTAAATTTTCTTTAAAATATTAAAAATACTATTTATCAATTATATTAAAAAGGAATATAACATTCAACTTGGTTTAGAAGAAATGAAAAAAATATGGGAAGATATTTAGTTCTAGATAATTACTTACAAGACAAGCTATATTATCAGAGGTTATGATGAAATTTAACTTACTTTGGATGAGCATATCATGAACACTCAAGCAATGTAATTTTCTCCTTTTAAAAAACCATTTGAAGAGGAAATTATTAATTGGAATAACTCATTAAAAACTATATCTGATGTTCTGGAAGAGTGGGCTAAGTGTTAGGGATAATGGATGTATTTGTAGCCAATTTTTGATAGTTAAGATATTGCAAAGCAACTTCCTTCCGAAACAAAAAAATTCAGAACAGTTGACTCGACTTGGAAACACACAATGAATTAAGCTAAGATTTTATTAAACGTTAAAAGTGTTTGTCTCTAAGAAAATTTGTTAGAAAGACTCAGAGAAGCTAATAAAAATTTGGAAATAATTCAAAAGGAATTAAATAACTATTTAGAGAAAAAGAGAGAGAAGTTTGCTCGTTTCTATTTCTTATCAAATGATGATCTTTTAGAAATCCTTTCTCAAACTAAGGAACCAACTGCAGTTTAACCCCATCTTAAAAAGGTGTTTGAAAATATCAATGAAATAGAATTTGATGCAAACAAACGTATTCATTCTATGTACTCAGCAGAAAAAGAAAAGGTGCAATTTGTAAAGCTAGTAGACCCAAACCATAAAAATGTAGAAGATTGGATGGGTGAAGTCGAAAATATGATGTGTTTATCTGTTAGATAAGCTTTGATAAATTCAGTTAAGGACTATCACACTAAAAAACGTGATTAGTGGGTTCTCTGTCATCCAGGTAAATAATTGTGAAAATTTTTTGAGTTCTATAAAATTTTTTAAATCTTTTCGATTAGGTTAATGTATATTAAATGGTTCTCAAATTGTTTGGACTCAAGATGTTGAAAAAGCATTCGAAAATGGGGTAGAAGGAGTTAAGGAGTATTGGGATATTTTAGAGTAGTATCTTCATGACTTGGTTACTCTTGTCAGGCAAAAGCTTACCAAACAGCAAAAAGTTACCTTAAATGCACTTATTGTCCTTGACGTGCATGCTAAGGATGTTGTTGAAAAGCTATGGAGAGGAAATGTTAAGAATTCAGGTGAATTTGAATGGATTTCATAGTTGAGATATTATTGGGAAGAAGATTAATGCAGAGTAAAGTGTGTTTAAACTAATTTCCCTTACGGATATGAGTATCTAGGAAATACTTTACGTCTTGTTATCACCCCTCTCACAGATAAATGCTACATGACTCTTATGGGTGCTTTAAAGTTAAATCTTGGTGGTGCACCTGCAGGTATTTAACTCTTTTTTCAATCCAATTTTTCAATAAATATTAACATTTACAACATTAGGCCCTGCTGGTACTGGTAAGACAGAAAGTACTAAGGATCTTGCAAAAGCTCTAGCTAAATAATGTGTGGTTTTCAATTGCTCTGATAGTATGGATTATATTATGATTGGAAAATTCTTTAAGGGATTAGCAAGTGCTGGTGCCTGGTGCTGTTTTGATGAGTTTAATCGTATTAACATTGAAGTACTTTCAGTTATTGCATAGTAGCTGTTAGTTTTGTTTGGTGAGAAGGCTAAGGGAACCCCAAGTATTGAATTTGAAGGTTCAATCATTCGTATTCTTCCAACTTTTTGCGTCTTTATTACAATGAATCCAGGTTATGCAGGTCGTACTGAATTGCCTGATAATTTAAAAGCTCTTTTCCGTTCTGTAGCGATGATGGTTCCTGATTATGCTATGATTGGTGAAATTATGCTTTATAGCTTCGGTTTTAGAAAAGGTAGAGAGCTAGCTAAAAAAATGGTTGCTACTTTTAAATTATCTTCTGAGTAATTGTCATCTCAAGATCACTATGATTATGGTATGAGAGCAGTTAGAAGTGTAATTAATGCTGCAGGTTTGCTTAAAGCTGCTGATCCTGATATGGATGAAGAATAACTTTTACTGAGAGCTTTGAGAGATGTCAATGTACCTAAATTTTTAAAAGACGATCTTCCCCTTTTTGAAAACATTATGATGGATCTTTTCCCAGGAATTTCTAAACCTCAAGTTAATTATGGATAGCTCATTCCTCAAATTTCTAAAGTATGCTAAGACCCTAAATTTAATTTGTAGCCAGCAGAACCTTTTGTAAATAAGATAATCCAGCTTTATGATACAACTTAAGTTAGACATGGTCTGATGATTGTTGGTCCCACAGGTGGTGGTAAAACTTCTAATTACAAAGTGTTATAAAAAGCTATGACAGACCTTGAAAACTAAGGTTTTTCAAAAGTCCATGTCCATATTTTAAATCCAAAGAGTATAACAATGGGTCAATTATATGGTCAATTTAATGAATAGACTCATGAATGGACAGATGGTATTTTAGCCTATAGGGTGCGTGAGTGTTGTAGAGATTAATCATCTGATAAGCATTGGTATTTAAATTATTCAACTGATTGAAATTATTTAAAAAATCATTCTATTCAGTTATTTTTTAATTGAAAAATATTCTTTAAAAATTGATAGGGTTATGTTTGATGGACCAGTTGATGCTATTTGGATTGAGTCAATGAACACAGTACTTGATGATAATAAAAAGTTATGCCTAAATTCAGGATAAATTCTTACCCTTACTCCTCATATGACTATGATGTTTGAAGTAAATTTTATTCAATTTACATAAATTTTGATTTTGGAAAAATTATAAATTTTAGGTAGAAGATTTATTAGTAGCAAGTCCTGCTACAGTCAGTAGATGTGGTATGATTTACATGGAACCAGAATCTCTAGGTGTATAGCCCTTGATAGATAGTTGGATTAATAGTATCCCAAATAACATTAGAAAACACAAGACTATTGTTCAATAACTCAATAATCTTTCTAATTTATATGTTGAACCATCACTTTAATATCTTAGAAAAAATCTTAAAGAACCTGTATAAACAATGAACAACAATCTTGTATAATCTCTCCATCGTATTCTAAATTGCTATTTTACAAATTATGCAGAAACTGAAATTAAAAAAGTACCTTCAGATGATTTAGATAACCTAGAGAAAATGATAGAACCACTTTTCATATTTGCTTTAACATGGTCTCTTGGCTGCACAACTGATAATAATGGGCGTGAAATGTTTAATGCCTTCATACTTTAATAATTACAGTAAAATAATAGTCTGATTCCTTTCCCAGAAGGTGGCAATATTTATGACTACGAATTTAATTTATAAGACTAATCTTATCATCATTGGGATGAAAGAAATGCAGAATTTAGAGTAGATGCAAAATTAGGCTATCACGAAGTTACTATACCGACAGCTGATTCTACTAGAAATATTTATCTCATGAAAATTCTGATGATGAATAATTATCATGTGCTATGTCCAGGTCCTACTGGAACGGGAAAAACATAAAACATATTTAATCTTCTCACAACGGAAATGGGTGAAAATTACTAATATATCTCTATAACATTCTCTGCATAAACCTCAGCAAATTAAACTTAAGTAAGCTTTTATTTATTTCTAGAATTTAATTTAAAAATATTTATTATCTTAATAGGACACTATTGATAATAAAATGGATAAAAGAAGAAAAGGTGTTTTTGGACCACCAATTGGAAAAAGGTGTATTATATTTGTGGATGATTTGAATATGCCTAAGAAGGAAGAATATGGTGCTCAGCCACCAATAGAGTTATTAAGATAATATTTAGATCATGATGGGTGGTATAATCGTAGAGATTTGTAGTTTATGAAAATGGAAGATTTAATCGTACTTAGTGCTATGGGTCCACCAGGAGGTGGTCGTACATTTATCACCAATCGTATGGTCAGACACTTTAATATAATAGGCTATACAGAACTAGAAAACAGTACTATTAAAAACATTTTCTAAACTTTAGTTGATTTCTTCTTACGTCGCCATCCTGAAGATATAAAGGCAATAACAAGCTCCTTAGTTGACTCAGTCTTATATGTCTATCAACGTGTAAAATCAGATCTTCTTCCAACCCCATCTAAATCTCATTATACTTTTAATATGAGAGAAATCTGGAAAGTTTGCCAAGGCCTATGCTCAGGACATCCTAATTATACAGGAGAAGTTGCTTAAATGGTTAGACTTTGGTATCATGAAAATATGCGTGTTTTCCATGACCGTCTAATTAATGAAAGCGACAGAGAATATTTAAAAAATATCTTAAACTCATAATTCTAACAATTTGGATTAAAGAAAGAAGATGTTTTAGATCAAGAAAGAATTATCTTTGCTGATTTCTTAAATGGAAAAGATGCAGAGCCTAAATATTATCAGCAAGTTACTGAGCTATTACCTTTACTAAATAAGTTAGATTCATTTTAAGAAGATTACAACTCAGATAATTCATTCGTATTTGGAGGTCAAAAGCCTTAAATGAAATTAGTCATGTTCTTAGATGCTTGTGAACACATAGCTCGTATAGCTAGAATAATCCGTTAACCTAATGGGCATGCTCTCCTTCTAGGTATCGGTGGTTCAGGACGTCAATCTTTGGCAAGAATGGCTACATTCTTGACAAATTATAAAATATTTTAGATCGAAGTCATCAAAAACTATACAATGCGTTCCTGGAGAGACGATATTAAAAAAGTTCTGATGTATGCTGGTATCGAAAATAAATCTATCTCTTTCCTCTTCTGTGATACTCAAATCATCAGAGAATAAATGATGGAAGATGTAAATAATATTTTAAATTCAGGTGATGTTGTTGGAATTTACTAAGAAAAAGTAAGATTTAATGTTTTAAATAAAAATGTTATTTGAATTAAAATTTTTATTAAAAGGATTATGAAGATATAATGAATGCTTGCAAGACTGATTGCATAAAGAAAAACATACAACCTACTAAAATGAATATTTTTACATAGTATCTCCTTAGAGTAAGAAAGAATATACATATGGTTATTGCAATGTCTCCTCTTGGAGCATTATTTACTACCAGACTTCGTATGTTCCCTGGATTGGTTAATAATTGTACAATAGATTGGTTTACAGAATGGCCAGAGGTAATATCCAATAGATATAAATTTTATATAATTTTATTTCAAATAATGTATAGGAAGCTCTTGTAGGTGTGGGTAAAGGTTAGTTAAGTGAATATGAAGAAGAACTATAAATTGAAGGAAAAACAGATATCTTAGTAGATATGTTTAAAACTATTCATAAAAGTGTTGAAAAAATTTCTGAAGATTTTCTTAGTTAGTTGAGAAGACATAACTATGTTACACCAACAAGTTATCTTGAACTTCTTTCAACTTTCCGTACTATTATGGCTTAAAAGAAGCAAGAAATTAAACTACAAATTAATAGATTAAAGAGTGGTTTAGACAAGTTGCAGGAAGCAAACAAATCAGTTGCAGAAATGAAAATTATTCTTAAAGGTAAAAATAAATTTTATAAAATCTAAGTGATAAAATATCTGTTTAATTTTAAAAAATAAATTAGAAATGTAGCCTAAATTAGAACAATCATCCATTGAAACAGAAAAAATGATGGAACATTTGAAAGTAGAAAAAGCTGAAGCTGATGCAACTCAAAAGATAGTAGCTGTAGAAGAGGCAGAAGCAACAAAGTAATAAAAAGAAGCAACAAAACTAGCTGAAGAAGCAGAAGCAGCTGTAGCAGATGCAAATCGTACATTAAACTAAACATTATTAGAAGTTCAAAAATTAAAACCTGAGCATTTAGTAGAAATTAGTAGATTTACTGTCCCTCCAAATGCAGTCAAAACAACATTAGCGGCCGTTGTCATTTTAAACATTGACAGAATCAGATAGAATGGTGGTGAAATTATAATGCAAAATAAAGAAGGATAAATAGGTAAGAAAGAAGAAAACTACTTCGATACAGCGAAGCGTTATCTGCTTAGTAACACTAGAGAATTGATGGATATGTTATAAAATTATGATAAAGATAATATTTAAGAGGCTACAGTTAAACGTCTAGAGTAAAAAGTTTTCAACCAACCTGACTATAATTTCTAGAAAGTTGCAAGTAGTAGTTTTGCTTGCAAGTATTTATATATGTGGGTAGATGCAATGGTTGGTTATTACAAAGTATTTACCGAAACAAAGCCTTTACGTGAAAAATTAATTGCTGTAAAAAAGCTTGTAGAAGAAAAGACAGCTGAACTGAAAATTAAAAAAGATGCTCTTGAAGAGGTAAATAAAAAAATTGCAGAATTATAAAGAGCATTTGATGAAAAAATGCAGCAGAAGGAAGCTCTTACCAAATAAATTAATGATTGTGAGCTTAAGTTAGAAAGAGCTTAAAAATTAACAGATGGACTTTCTGAAGAAAAAGAAAGATGGAGTAAAGATATAGAAAAATTTTAAGATAGATCTTAATTGATTCCTGCACATTCGATAATTGCAGCAGGCATGATTTCATATTCTGGCCCATTCACTAGCAAATTTAGGTAGGACTTAGAATAAATTTGGGTTAAATATCTTGCATAGACTGGTCTTCCTTATGAAAAAGATATTTCTATGCGTTCTTTCTTAGGAGTTCCAGTTAAAATTTAATAATGGAATATTGCAGGTCTTCCAAAGGATGAGACTTCAACTGAAAATGGTATTATTATTGACAAAACAAGAAGATGGCCTCTTATGATAGATCCATAAAATTAAGCAAATAAATTTATTAGAAACTTAGGAAGAGATCATGCTGAAGGTAGCAAATACAAATAAATTAAATATATTTTAGAAACATAAAAAATAAATATATATTATCCAACCCAATAAATCTAATTATTGAATTAACTGATTTTCAATTGATAAATATGAAAAACTTTAAACTTTTTTATTAAATTTATTTTTTCAAATTTTAAAGGTCTTGAAATTATGAAAGCAAACGATCCAAACTTAATGAAAATAATGGAATTAGCAGTGTAGTTTGGAAGATGGGTATTAATGGAGAATGTAGGCATAGAAATAGATCCTTCTTTAGAACCTATTTTACAACAACAGACAACAAAATCAGGTTCAACAATGATTATTACTATAGGAGATAAAAATTTATAATATTCAGAAAATTTCAAACTTTACTTAACTACTACTATTCCTAACCCACATTATCCTCCTGAAACTTTTGTTAAAGTCACTATGATTAACTTTGCTATTACTCCTAGTGGGTTAGAGGAGTAGATGTTAGCTCAGATTGTTGCTTTAGAAAACCCAAATCTTGAATAAAAGAAAATAGAAATTGTCAAGAAAAATGCTGCTGATTTAAGAGAACTGCTTAGAATTGAGGATTCGATCTTGAAAAGTTTGGCTGATACTTAAGATATAGCAGAGATATTGAAAGACGAAAGCTTGATTAATCAACTACAATCTTCGAAGAAATTCGCAGCAGAAATTAACCAAAGAGTTAAAGATTCTAAAATAACTGAAGCTCAAATTGACGAAGCTCGTGAAAGTTATAGATCAGTTGCTTTCAGAGCTTCTTTACTCTTTTTCTGCATTGTAGATCTTTCAACCATTGATCCAATGTATTAGTATTCTTTGTAGTGGTTTACAAATCTTTTTGTGATGGGTGTAGAGAATTCACCAGCATCAAATATCCTAGAGGAACGTCTTGTAAATCTTAACTCATACTTCACATATTCTCTTTATGAAAACGTTTGCAGATCTCTTTTTGAAAAGCACAAATTACTATTCTCATTAATGCTCACAGTAAAAATTTTGTTTGGTGACCACAAAATGGACGAGCATGAATGGCGTTATTTCTTAGCAGGTCCTTTAGGTAAAATAATTACAAAATAAATATTCTGATAAATTAATATTTTTGATTTATCAACTATTTTTAGGTGATATCGAAATTGCTATCAATCCAACTTCTTGGATTAACGAAAATACTTGGCCAGATATGTACAGGTAGTTCTATGGCATGGGACAGCTTGAACACTTCAAAGGAATTGAAAAGCATTTCTTAGAAAACACAGATTAATATAGACATATATTTGATTCTATATAACCTCAAGCAGAAAAGCTACCAGATCAATGGGAATCACACCTCAACTCATTTTAGAAGATGATTATACTCAAGGCCATCAGACCTGATAAGGTATTTATTTAATTATTAACACTCATATATGAATTTTTTATTTTATAAAATTAAGCTTATACCTGCCATACAAAACTATATCGAAGAAAAGCTTGGTAAAGAATTTATTATAGTACCCACATTTGATCTAGCCAAGTGCTATAAGGACTCATCTATAATTACTCCATTGATTTTCGTACTTTCAACTGGTTCTGATCCTATTGCAGATTTTATGAAATTTGCAGAAGAGATGACCATGTCGAAACGTATTGATTCTATCTCATTAGGTCAAGGATAAGGTCCAAAAGCAGAAAGAATGATTAGAGAAAGTGCTTAGAGAGGTGGCTGGGTATTACTGCAAAATTGTCACTTGGCTTAGTCTTGGATGCCAGATTTAGAAAGAATGTGCGAAGAATTAAATGAAAACATGCATAAAGATTTTAGGTAACATTGTTAATTGTTTTTTAATAATATTGTCTTACAATTTTAACTATAAATCTGTAGATTATGGCTTACAAGTATGCCTACAAACTATTTCCCCATTTCTGTATTGTAAAATGGTATTAAAATGACTATGGAACCTCCTCAAGGTCTAAGAGCAAATCTACTTAGAACATATAAAAACTTAAGTGATAATGAACTTGGTGACTGTGCAAAGCCTGATATCTTTAAAAAACTACTTTTTGGTTTCTGTTTATTCCATGCTATTATCTAAGATAGAAGAAAATTCGGCCCAATTGGTTGGAATATAGCATATGAATTCACAAATGAAGATTTAACGGTATGCAAAAAGTAATTAAAAATGCTTCTTGATGAGTATAAAGAAGTACCATACAAAGTAATTAATTTCTTAGGAGCTGAAATTAATTACGGTGGTCGTGTCACAGATGATAAAGATGTTAGATTGATTAAGACTATTCTGCAGACATACTTGAATAGAGAAGTAAATTTTTTTTGGTGATTAATTGTAGAATTTTATAAAATTTATTTACTAATTAATTTAAGTCATTAAGAGATGGCTACAAGTATTCTGAATCTGGTGTTTATTATTCACCTCCATCCGGATCTTTAGAAGATTATATAACATATATTGAGTCTTTACCTTTAAATCCTGCCCCTGAAGCTTTCGGTATGCATGATAATGCAGAAATAACTAATTCTCAAAACGAAACTCGTGTTTTACTTGAAACCATTTTATCTGTTTAACCACGTAGTTCTTCATCTGATGGAAAGTCTAGAGAATAATTAATTGAAGAAATTGCAATTAATATAGAAACACATACCCCAGAAGTGTTTGACGTAGATACTATCTCCAAATTATATCCCACAAGCTACAACGAATCAATGAATACCGTTCTCGTTTAAGAACTTATAAGATACAATAGAATGTTAATAGTAATGAAGGAGTCTCTCACAAATTTGAAAAAGGGCCTTAAGGGCTTAGTGGTCTTATCAGAAGAGTTGGAAAAATTGGCAAATTCTCTTTATGATAATTAAGTAACATATATTTTACACATTCATAAATACATTCTTATTTGCTTATTTAATTATTAATTTTGAGTGAATAATTAAATTTGTTACATTCTACAACTAATGATGTATTCCTAACAAAAAGGTACCTAATTTATGGGCAGAAAAAGGTTTCCTTTCTTTGAAACCACTTTCATCATGGATTATTGATTTAAATGACAGAATTCACTTTTTAAATAACTGGGTTAAAAAAGGAACTCCAAAGACGTTTTGGATATCAGGTATAACTTATTTAAAGATTAATTAATTAATTTGTTTGAACCATAAAAAACACGCTAATCTCAAAAATAAAATTACTAATTTTGACAGTTTTTAATTACCTTTCTATTATTAATTTTCTATATTAAAATGACGTTGATTGTTAAACATATATTTTTAATTCAATAGGATTTTTCTTCCCATAAGCTTTCTTAACTGGAACATTACAAAATTATGCAAGAAAACACAAGATTGCAATAGACAAATTATCTTTTGATTTTGTTGTTGTGGATAATTTAAAACACACTGATATACAAGAAAAACCTGAAGATGGGTGTTATATATATGGTTTATATTTAGAAGGAGCTAGATGGGATTACAGAAAGCATAACATTTAGCAACCTCTACCAAAGGAACTATATTCTGATCTACCAATGCTTCATCTGGTTCCTGTTTGTGACAGAATTCCACCAAAAGATGGAATTTATAATTGTCCAGTTTATAAGGTAGTTTCAAGAAGAGGTACCTTAAGTACAACAGGCCACTCAACAAATTTTGTATTATTCATGGAACTAGCTAGCAAAGAGCCTGAAAATACTTGGATAAAAGCAGGTGTGGCTGCATTTTTAAGTTTAAGATATTGAGAAAGGGAATATTTTAGATTAAAATTTAAATAAATTTTCGATCATGAAAAAAAATGTAAAATAAATTAAAAAATACTTATTTATTAAAGTAATGAGCAAAAAATATCATTAAATAAATTCATCATCTGTTTATATAAAATATGTTACTTAACTTTAAAAAGCTTTATCTTAAAGTAATTAAACCAAATTTTTCATCAATTTTTGTAAATATAAAAAGTTAGTTAATTATTTAATTAGTTAGTTAGTTAGTTAATTAGTCTTGATTTTTATAAAAAAAACTAAACACTTTAAAATTAACCAACTACTTCATTTGATTCATTTTTTTCTTAAAATAAATTGTCAAATATTTGTGAAAAATAAGCATAAAAATAAAATGAAATCAAATAAATACTTTAAATAATATTTTTAATTGTATTTTTTGAATAACTCAAATAAGTATTATTTTAATTTATTAATAATGTGTTATTTATTTTTTTATATTATATCTAAATAAAATTGTGAACAAAAAAATATTTAAATTTGCTCTATTTTTAACTAACTAAAATCAAACATGATTTGTGTATAATGGTTTAGAATACCATTAAAAAAAGCTTTTTATTCTTCTTGGTAATTTTGATCATTACTAATTAGTTAATAAATATTTGTTAGGCTTTTCCCTCATAAGCTATTATAAATAAAAATGTTAAACTTATTATAATAATTGTAAATTAATTTTTATGGATAATAACAGTGCTTCTTGATTGTAATATTTAACTTTTTTTATGAGAAAGCTGGAAAGAAGTTTTGATTTCAAGCTTTTGCAACATATTATGAGCGATTATTGTTGTGAGTCATTTATAGGATAATACTATTCAAAGCTGTATTTCATAATGCATAATATATGACTTAAAAAATATTTACACCTGATTTATACATAATTGATAATAAAAGAATAAATTAAAATAAAACACAAAAGAGCAATTAATTTTATTATACAAAGAATTATACAATACAAATTATAGGAATATTTGCTAATTAAATTAATGATGCCATTCTCAGATGATTCATTATTTGATAATAAATATAATTAATATGATGACTTAAGAGGCATCTTGAGATTAAATATTTACCCATAAAATAATCTCAAATTGTCTTTTTTCTTTTTTTGAATATAGAAGCATTTTAGCTGATTTATATTTAATTTCTAGTTTGAAATGTAATAAATAAATTAAAAAGAGTTCAACTTTTATGAATTGTTATTTTTTCTCTAATTATTCATGTTTTAAGCTAATTTAAAAATAAAATGAGAATTTAAATGATATATGTATTTAAATGATTGCATTTTAGCTATTTTAAAAATTACGTCATATATGTCATTTGAGATTTATAATTTAATGGGCTATTTAACTCGCATAACTACGAATTCTAATCTCATATGATTAGTTTGGTATGTAATTAGATTATCGCTGGAAATTACTAGGTGTATTTAAAGCATAAAGCTAAAAAGTGTTTATTTCATATGCAAGGTACAAATATATGGTTTTAAGAATTTCACAAATGCTTTTAAAATGGTTTTCATTAAGTTGAATAATTGTTAAAAAATAATAATAGTTTTATACGATTTATTAACAGAATTCAAAAAATTAATCCTTTTAAATTGAAAAAATTTTTTAAGAAAGTGATAATTTGATAAACAGATATTGTTAACTTAATTTTTATTTTTAAAGACTTGACTTTAAATATATTTTGTTAATAGCTAATATAAAATTTCTCAACCCACTAATTGATTTAGCAAATTTACTTTAACTGTATCAAAAGTATGCTTGACATGAATAATATTAGTTGATAAAAAAATCAAAATAAAATGATTTATTTTAATCAAAATTAAATGCTCTTTTAGACATCTTTTGTAAAATTTATTTTAAAATATGATTTAAATTCAATTAATTTTATTTTAATACCAATATTGAACTTTAAATTTTGAGTTCTTTTTTACAAGTTAATAACTCTTATTTTGAATATTTTTAGTTTTATATATTGTCTATTTATAATTAATTTATTTTCTATAATAAAACATACCTAATAAATTAATTGTGTTGCCATATTTATTTTTTAGTAAATATTAATTCTTTTTAAAATTATAAAAGTCTTTAAAGAATTAATATCAATTTATCTATTTATAAGTTCTTTATTTAAATTTAAATATCTCAATATATAATAATATGAATCTCTATTTATAAGTTAATTTATCTCATCAATTCCTTATTAACTTTACTTAAAAAGATTCTATTGTCACTAATTTTTCTATTATTTAACTTTAAAAAAAATCCTTTATATTTATATCAAAACTTGTGCTCTATATTTTATCCTAATAACTATTCTAACCTTTTATATATTCTTTGAATATTTAATCTTCAATTTATATATACTCTGATAAAAAATAAATTAAAATTACTCAAAATAATATAAAATATATAAAATATGTATTCAAATCAATATTTTTATAATAGTTTTAATATTTTTGTACATAGAAAATGAGTGTCGCCAATACTATGAGCAATAAAATATTGGAAATCTTATAATAAATATGAATATGTTTAAACTAACTAACTATATAATTGAATTACATTTCAAATTACTATTAAATATGTCAAAAATAAATTTAAGATCTAAATAAAAATGAAGATAAAAACACTAAACTCAAAATTTCAAATTTTCGAGCTATTATTTCAACATTCTTTAAAAAACAAAATGCCAAAAATATTGTGAGATAGTTTTAAATTTGCATTTTTGAAATAAATTTATATTTGGCTTTTAAGGAACATGTGTATGACATATTAATTTATGTCATAAGTTAGCAAAAAATAAAATTTTTTTGATAAAAATTATTCAATTTTTTTCTATAAGATCTCAGTACTTGGTTCTGATAAATTTATTTTCAAGATTAATTCATTACTCTATAGCAAATCAAAATGATTTTTATAATTGAGTAAATTTAAGGAATCTATTTTTTTTCTCTTATTTAAATGTAAGGGTGTAAGGAGGAAAACTCTATTAAAATTCTATATGTAGTAGCAAAATTTGAAAATGTTTCTTTTGTAGTACGATTAGAGCTATAATTACAATCGTAATTAAAATATTAACTTCCTTAACCTTAATAATTAGGTATTTTATCTATAGGTGAATTAATAACATTTAAAAAATTTGTGAAGGTGGAGTTGATGAAGCAGCTTAACTTAAGTTGAATTTTAACATTCGAAAGTTGTAAAAAATCATATAAAAAATAATATAACCCTGAGAGTTAAGACTTAAGGTGCTTTGTGAAATCTCTTTTTTTGTTTAAAGTATGTATGTCTCTTTCAATATTTGAATTTATTTTTCTATCTATATATCTTTATTACTTGAAAAAGAGGATTATTATATTAAAAACAATATCTTTAAATGAAAGATATACCTATTTTATAGCTTAAAAAATCAATAAAAAGGCAAACAATATATAATAAGTTATGGGAATTGCTTTTTTCATTAAAAATCTATTTCCATTTATAAAGATTAATTAAAAAAAACCCATCTTATAAAATCGAAATAATAAATTTAGGGTCTACATCTAAATAGTAGAGGATGTAAATTTTTTAAAATTAACTTAGAGGGTACTAAATTTATTTATAATTTTGTTAATTTAGCTCTAGGGCTGCAATTAATAATAGCACAAAATTATTAATATATTTGTCTCAAAAAAGAGTTAAGTGACGTTATTAAAATCAGAACAAAATATAAATAAATAACTTCTAGAAATCTAAAAGAAAAAGCTGCTAAATATTCTGCTGATTTGTATTTCGATTTCACAAAGGGCTACTTAAATTGTTAATTTTGAAAAGTGTTTGTAAATTTACTGTCTTTTAGTGAAGTTTTTTACATATGAATAAAGAGCAAGAAGATAGACTGATATTAAGAGTAAAGGGGTGAATTTGAATATAAAAGGAGAGCTTGATCGATAAATTTTAATGTGTCAACAGAAATGTCAATGAAGTAAATATTTGTGATCATAATTTATTACAAAAACTTTAATAAAAATTACGTAAGATATTGAAAAGAAAATGAAATAATACGAAATATTTGTATAATCTTTGGTGAATGTGTTCAAATAATTTTCTTTTCCCCACAAAAATTTACTTACTTACTAACTGACTAACTAACTAAATAAATAAATAGATTGCTTATTTTTTCACATTAATAAATTTTTTGAATATTACTTATCTTCTAAATTTGATATTTAAGAGGTTGCAGGTGCATAATTTTAAAATATTCTTTCATAACCTTTCTCTTTATTTGGTTTTATTGTTTATATTATTTACTCTTTTATTTTTAAATCTTTCAGAGATTAAAAATTTGCTTTCTTAATTTTTCTTAAATTTCTAAATATTCAATAATTTTGGAAATCGAATACACTACTATCTCTATTTTACTAAAAAGATTTATATCTATTTAGGGATTTGTTGCTTCTAATATGGAATTAGCGATGTACTATATGGACATTTTTCAATTAAATATTCAGTCAAATAATAAAATTAAATATAAATGAATTTTTTTTTTCTATGATGATTATTTTATTTTATATTCTAACTGTTTTTCTACTGCTTTCTGGTCAGAATTTCGACTTCTAAATTTATAATATTCTTAATAAGATATATTATTTAACTAAATTACTTATAAATAATAGCTCAGTTTAAGAACAGTTCTTTAAGAGAGCATTCTGTGGTAAAATGGCAGTTTAGATAGAAAACTTTGTTATATTTTTTAAATAAAAAGTGATTTTTAAACAATCTTTTTGTGCTTGAAGTGTGTATAAAAAAGCATCAATCAGCAAACCAAATATTTTTAAATCATTATTTTGAATGAGTCATATTTATATAATAAGATTTTGTTCTATAATAAATTTAAATAATTCAGCAATTATGAGAAGAGAAGTAATTGTTTATGATTTTCTTAATGAGATGCATTTGTTGAAAATATACTAATGTTTGATGTGGGAGAAGAAGAATTATTTAAAACTTTTTAGACATTTCAAATGTTCGATTGATAAATGTTGATATTTTTTTATTGAAGTTTTTTTCTAAATAAATTTTTGATGATAATAATTAAACTAAAGCGATTACGAATTAAAATTCATTCGTAAGCAAAATCAATATCGATGATTAAGTATCATTTGATATTTTGATACGCATTAATTTTGATAGCTAATCTTGCTTTCCTTATAAGATAAATATCAGTTATATCGTAATTAATTTTTTACATGAAATCTAAGTAAATTATTAATTACTTTCGCTCACTTGCTATTGCATTTCTATTTTATTTGATTAACAAAGGTCTCTACATCTTTTTAATATTCTTTTTTAGAAAACTCTATATTATTGTTTGATATGTTATTGACTATAGAATTAAAATAAAAGTCTATGCTAAAGCTAAAAAATTCTTTATCAACTTGTAGCAAAATATTAAAACAAATATTTTACTACATTTTTGATTCTTTAAATTCTTAAAATGCTATTTCTATCTCATAATTTTCATTATCATCTATTTTTGGAAAAACTTTGTAATTTAATTCGGTTTGTTAATTTAAATATTCTTCTCAGAATATTAAATCTATTTTGATGCTTTAAATAAACTATCCAAATTCAACTACCAAAAACATTACAAAAAATAATGAATTTTTATAACATTTCTTGATGATGATGATGCAAGGTGATTAATTTAAAAGTTAATGCAAAACGCTTAACTACAAGTACTTTGAGTCACTATTAATATTAATCTATTCATAATCATTCATAATTTGCAAAAAGTTTGAAAATAACTTGAATATGATTGCTTTGATTTTTGAGTAGATTGCTCAGATTGCATCATAATAAAAAATTAATATAAGCGAACCTTTTAAATCTATAATTATCAAATACTATTTTAAATTTTCAAAAGTCTTTTTGTTTATTTGGTGGGTTTACTAAAGAAAATTAGATGAACAAAAATAAAAGGAAAACAAAAATATTTGTCTCTTTTTATATATATTGATTGATTGGTTGATTGGAAGAAAAAAAATTTTAACTTCTTTACAGATTGATATTTTGGTTTTATGTTATCATATCTTTCTATTTTGAATGTTAAAATAAAATAAAAAGTAAATGTTTGTTTTTTTTTTTCTTCACTTAAATATAATTGGGAAAGAATGTGTAATTAAAATTTTTGATATTTTTATCATCAAATATTATTAAGAAAAAGCAAGAAGCTTTAAAAGTATCATAAATAATCAATGAACAAATGAATAAAGATAAGTGGTGTGCACTTTCTTACTGATGATCTAAAAATATTTAAGCAAAGACAAATTTCTGATTTTTGTTGATAATTTTGTAGTACTAATAAAATTACGCTATATGTAGGGGATAGAATACTTTAAAAACCCTCTGTTATAGCAAATTTAGAACTACTTACACAATTTCAAGTGTTAATTTTTTTATTGAAAAATTTGAATGAAATTTGTAAAATACTTACTGAATTTTAGCTTTTGCTGAAAATTAAGCTCTTTAATATCTATGTGTGACGATTTATTCTTTTGATACTCGATGACTTAATCAAAATGCATACTTTGTCCGATTATTTCTATTTTAAGCTTAATGTAACTTAGCTATTTATTTTTAATTGGTCAAAACATGATACTTTTAGTTAACTTAAGAAAAATGATTTAAATAGGTTATTTATAAACTTTTATTTATTAATTTATAATGAAAACAATGAAACAAAAATTCATGCAGATTATTAAGAATACTGGGAAATGGATACAATTAAACGAGATATTCTATATTAAATTTAATTTTAAATTTCAAAGTAGGATTAATGTGAAAATAAATAAACCAATGCGAATAAGTGATTGATTGCACAACTTAATTATTTTTGCTTAAGGAAAAGACGTTGGCTACATTCAGACGCAATCTTAATTAGAATAACTTGAATGTTAAAATTAATATTATAGCGTAATCAGTTTATAATGTGTACATGCAATATTAAATAAATTATAAGGCGTAATACTTTAATGAGTCATAGTAATAATCAAACCAGTTCTATCTATTACCTTCTAATAAATTTAACTCTTTCTTACAAATTTATCAAAGCATTAAAGGGAATAGTCACTTAATAAACTGTTACGTCTTTTATTTACTTGCGTAAATAGCAAGTAGAATTTTTAAAATCAATACTGATTAACTTAAATCTATTTTGGTATTTCAGCTTATTTAATTATTAAAGTTAAAGTAGCCTAATCTTTAAAGCAAAATACAGTTTTTGCTCTATGTTGATTTTTAATGAAGTAGAGTATTTATTATTTTTGATTTCTTTTTATTATAAATCAATTATTTATTGATTATATGGGAATGCCAATATAATATAAATATGTTTGATTACTCCCTATTTTTTTAATTTGTTGTGCAATTAGTTGATTAAGCATAAATAATTTCTAGATTGTATTCAAAAAGAAACTAAATTCCCTCTATGTTGACTTTATTTACATCACAGAATGTTTGCATACATGTATCTAGCAATATCAAAGTATTTTTTAGAACATTAAATAAACTTATAAAGCTCATTTATTTTCATATTAATTTATATGAATGCATTCCATGTAATCAGAAATTTTCAAAATAATTAATGGTCTTACTTACAAGGAATTTGTTTGAGCTAATTAGTTTGATAACTAAACTAGTCAGTAGAAAAATTAATTACAAGAAAGCAATTAAATCAAGCAAGAAAGCAAATTAATTAATTTTAAGATGTAGAAAAAGATATGAATTTAATTTAATTCATTTCAATTCTCTCTAATGAATTTTTCTTAATCAATTCTACAAGTCTTAAATCAAACATAGCAAAATCAAAAGGGCTTGAAATCAAAAACATGATTTAAAAAACCTTTTATTTCTCCAATTAAAAATTAATCTTCTCTCTCATCATTATGGGTTTTCGTAAAAACAAAAGCTGGAGTGTTTAAATAAATTATTTAGAAATAATACAAGCATTTTACACTACTTGATGGCACTAAAAATAAATATAATTGCTAGTTTATAATAGAGTGTGCCTTGTTAATTGAATGAAGTAATTACAAAAAAAAAAATATAAAATAGAATGAACAGATGCAAATTTACCTATTATTTTGATAGATATTCAAAAAACTAGAGTTTTATCGGTATAATGTGCTTGGCATTCTTGCGTAATTCAATTTGCGTATTATTATTGAAAAAAGATTTACGTCACTGGTTTGGGGTCCTTTTAGACTCTAATTAAAAACTGGAATAAAGAATACCTTTGAAATCAATATAATTAATTTAATAAAACAAATAATCTTAAATATAAAAAAAGCAGCCAAAAGCTATAACAACTTACATAACCCCCGCAAAGGAGAAATTAAAAGAAATTTAAAAAAACAAAAAAATTATCAAATATTAAGTAGAAATGTCATCTGTTGTTGTTGAAAATAGTGCCAACCTCCACTATGTCCAAGACATATTAGTTAAGTCTGTTGAACTCTCTAAGAAACTTTATGAAAAGACTGGAATCAAGAATGAATTTTTAGAATCCAACGCCTAAAAGATTAATGCCGCTTCTTCTTAATTCGCTTAGTTACTCGATGGTAGCATTGATGCTACTGTTGTTAAGGTCTAATCAATTGCCGAAAAGACCAACTAAACTAAACAAAAACTCTTAGAAAGAACCAACAAAACCAAAAAGGAACTTATTGAAAAGACCATGAACTTGACCGTCGTCAAGAAGACTGAAGATTTGGGTAACACCATCCTCACTGAACTTGAACAACAAGTTGCCCTTCTTACCAAATCTATTAACAATAAACTTGCTTTACCTGAATCTGAAGCTGAAAACTCTGCTGCCAACAAGGATGAAAAGCTTGCCCTTACTGAAAGATCTACCAGACTTCTTCTTACCTTAAACAACCTTGGTAAGCAAATTGCTGAACACTACTTGAACCAAGTTAAGTCTCTTACCGTTGTTAAGAGTGCCCAACAAAAGTATGCTTTGGTTGACCTTAAAGCCCAAGAAGCCAGAGCTAACTTAGAATCCTTCTTCGAAGTTCTCCTTACAACTGTCATCACCCAAAACATCATCAACCCCCTCTTCAACTCCCTCAATGTTAAGTACACCCAATCAAAGGAAACTGTTACTGTTGTTGTTGAAAATATCAAGAAGGTTGATGTCCAAAACCTCCTTACTCAAGCCAAGGATTCCTATGAATCCCTTAAGCAAGCTACCATCACCTTTGTTAAGGGTGACAAGCTTACCTTCACTTTTGCTCGTGAATTCTTCAAGACTTCTATTGAATCTATCCAAAAGGAAATCTCTTAACTCCTTACTGACGTCTCAGCTCTTAGAGCCAGATTCCAAGAATAAGTTATTAACCTCTACAAGCTTTCTCTTGAAGAATTCAAGCAAAGAAGATCTGCTAAGTTGGGTAAAAAGGCTATTGCCCCCCCTGCTGAAGAATAAGTTAACTCCAGCTCTACCGCTTCTCCCGTTGAATCTAAAAACGAAGAAGAAGAAGTTTAAAACTGAAAAGTGTTGATTGATTTTTGATTAAACTATCCTCAATATGGATTCAATTATAGGAAATAAATGATCATTTTAATGTTAATTAATCAAAACAGCTTTATCAAATAGTATTCATATACCAACACATACATACATACAAACAAACAAATAAATAAATAAATTTATATATAATAATAACCCCAAGAACATTAATTATTAATCTTTGAACCTCATCCTAATGTATAAACCTTATCAAATATATAAAAAAACTAAATTAAAATTTGATAGCAATTAGTTATCAACAGCAAACAACAAGCAACCAGTTCTTTTGATTATCTTATATTATTTTCAAATAAAAATATATGCGTTTCTTATATTGAATTGTAAATTTATATTGAACAAGCTTATTTTAAAAGCGACATTATTTATAAATGTATAAATCTCTAAATAATAATTTAATTTCTTCAAAAAAAATATTTCCTTGACACTCCATTTTAATTTTTATAAAATCAAGATTAAGATATAATATTCCATGTCTTGTTTTTTCTTAGAATTAAGCTCCAAATATCATTACGCTATTTTCAAAAAGGACATTTGATCATGATGAAGGAGTAAACAAAAAACTAAAACAAAGTATTTAAACCACACCACTTATCCATTTTATGAAATTTAAATCGATTAATTTCTTGATTTTCGATAACTTAACAAATTTTAGATGACTCTTCTTTGCAACCATTGTTAATTTTGTAAAAAAATGAAAATAAATTTAATTTTCTTGCTAAAAATGTAAACAAGACTTAAAAAATCTTGAGCTGGTTAATGAAATATAAAATACAATTATTAAAGGTATCCATATAGTCAGCATTATATTATTTGCATGAATTCATAAGTATTGTTTTTGAAAAATAAAAAAAAAGAATATTTGTAAATTTTTAAAAAAAGATATGATCTAGATACATTTTCTATATTTATCAAAAAATTTATTTCTTCTTTTGACCAATTTTTATTTTTTTCTTAGACAACAAAGGTAAGAAAATTACAAATAGAAGAAAAATTGAGATTTCCTCTTAAAATAAATCCCTAATTCTTTTAGAAAAGCAATTAATTTATTAAAAAATATCATGTTAAAAAAATTGATAAGTATATATTTGTTTAAAGGTGTAATTTTCTTGATGAAAATACTTGTAATTTATAAGATTTTTAACAACAAAAGTCTTTATAGAAGCAATCATTTTCCCTTCATAAAGAATTTACTTATCATCTTTGAGTAAAAACTTAAACCGTATTATTAAAGCCCAATTATTTTTAAATATTTATTTTTATTTTATTAAGTAGAATATCATCATTATCATCATCTCCACGACCACCACCTAATCTGTCATTATAAAAGAGACTGTCTATTTTACTTTTAACATATTTTCTATTAAAAAAACATATGTAAATTTAGAATATGTAGAATATAATAAATAGTTAAGAACCAAAATTTAAAAGAAAATAATAACAGCAAATAAATTTTAATTGAACATCAATTTTGCTTTTATATTGCTTTAAGTATAAATCAAAGCGAATTTCATTTATTCTTCATATTTATAATTAAATTATAATTAATTTCATTACGAAATTCTGCTGTTATTTGAATACATCAATAAAATATGTAAGTTTTACTAAGAAGGATTAAATAAGATAAATTGATGATTTTTTTTATTATGGAGAAAAATAAGATACTTTAATAAAGATAAAATATCTAAATTCATTCAAAAATTTACAAAATTAATTATATATTTTTAATAATTTTTTGTATTATTAATTAATTTCAAAAAAATATTTAAAAAGTAAAAAAGAAAACATTAAGAAGTAAATAAATTTAGAAAAGTTTTTAAATCATAAACAACTCTCGCTACTTAAAGCTCAATTCCACCAAGTTTTTAACATCCCTTAGCTCTAAATTATTTACTTTTTAAATCATTTTCTTATCCTTAACTGTATAAGGACTTCTGAATTACTAATTCAGGGTATTTTCAAAAAATAAATTAATAAATAAAAAACAATATTGATAGCCTTTGAGCATTTTTTATTAGTGATAAAATCATATATAATTAGTATTTTTTAAAAGCAATTAGGAAATAAATGAAAATATATGGAGATTTAGAGATTATATCTTGAGATTTTAGCATTTAAAATGTGATAAGGTGCTGAGATTAGAATTATAAGTAAATTACAATAAATAAATAAAAAAACAAATAAATAAATAATAAAATAAATGAATAAATAAATAATAAAATAAATGAATCAATAAATAATAAAATAAATGAATAAATTAAACAAAATAAATAAATTAAAAAAATTAAAAAATAAAAATAAAAATTAATAGAAATCAATAAATAATAAATGAATAAAAAATAAATAAAAATAATAAATAATATAAAAGAATAAAACAATCGCTTCAGAAAAGTCAAATTAATATGAATTTTCATTTTATATAAAATTTAAAGCTTGCTCTAAATTTTTTTTAATGTTTTATTTTGTGTTAGTTTATTGTTTATTTTGGTTTTTAGTTTTTATAAAAATTGGAAAATATATTTTATTTTTAAATAAAACAAATTTTATAAAAAAATTCAAATTTTTAAAAGCTGAAATTAGAAAAAATTTATTTAGAAAATTTAAAAGAAAAAAATATCATACAAAAGACAAATAAATTTTAAAGAAAATTTAATTTATGGTAGTATTATTGATATATTTATAACTAGTAAATAATTTAAGAATATATATTGCTGGAATCAAAATGGGAGATAAGATACTATTTATTCCAATATATAAAATAGGGATTATAATAAATTGAATATCATATTTTGAGCATGTTAATAGCAATCGAGGGATGATGCAATTAAATTTACTTATTTCTTTAAGTATATAAGAATTATAAGATAATAATAATTTATAAATAAAAGTAAAGAAAAATAAAATAAAAATTCATCATTATCATCAAATATTTATAATGTTTATGATCAAAGAAATTAATTAACTAATTAATTAATTAATATTGAAAGCCATAAACCAAAAAAATTAGTGATTTTATTATCAAATAAATCAATCAATCAAGAAACAAGCAAGCAAGCAAGTAAGAGAGAGAGAGATAAATCAATTATTTCCAGAAATTAATAAGCTAGTCAAGTAATAAGAGAAGTGGCAAGAGATGGACAATTTAAATTTAGTCTCTTCTCCTTCACTTTCTTCGTCTCCAAGCACCAAGGAATAATCAACAGAGTAACCAAAGTCTAGTGAGCGAAAGAGTTTGAAGGAATAAGACAGAGTAAATCAAACTCCTTCTAACATTTAGTCAACAACAAAGGTAAAAAAGTAGAAATAAAATAATGAAGAATCGGAAAATAATTCTGACATAAAAAATTTCAGCATTCACGGAGAAGAGCAAGAAGAAATAGAAGGAGCAGAGGACTTAAGAACCCCAGACGCAAATGTTGCTAAAAATTAATTACCTCCTCCTCAAGCTGGTTCTGGATAACATTGCTAGGCAGAAATATTAGCTAAATAAAATGATAAAGAGGAAGACTAGAACGAAGATTACGATTTCTACGAAGAAGAAGAATATGAGGAGGAAGATGATTTAGATGAAGATTTTTTAGACAGAGATGGCGATAATGGTTTTTATTCAACTGAAGATGGTAATAAGAGTGTTAAATAAAAAAAAAATAAGTTTACAAAGGAGTTTATTAGTGTGATTAAATCTAATTCGGAGGAATTACGCAATGAAAAGAGTGATGATCCTCTTGACTACTTATTTGTCATTGATTTTGAATGCAATCAACCAGGCAGCGAAATTATTGAGTTTCCTATTACTGTTGTCGATTTAAAGTAGAGAAAGGTTGTAGACACCTTCCATTCCTATGTTAGACCTACAAAGATAAAAAAGCTTAGCAATTTCATTAAAAAGCTTACTGGGATTAAGTAAGAAGATGTTGATGCATCAGAGAGTATTGAAACTATTATAACTCGAGTTGAAGCATTTTTGAGTAAATACCAACAATCTAAAGCAGCAATACTCTACGACTGCGCAAATGATGCTAAATTTTTAAGCAATGAAATTAAGAACAAATAATTGAATATAACAAATAAATTCCTTCTTAGTTATATTAATTTGCGTAATGTTTTTCCTATTAATCTCACTGGCGGAATCAAAAATATTAGTCTCAGCCATGCTTTAGAAGTGCTGGATATGAGTTTTGAGGGATAAAAACATACAGGTAGGGACGATTCAATTAACATAGCAAGAGTATGCATGGAAATGATAAATCATTAGTTTACTTTCACTTAATTTATGAGATAGTCTTAGTTTTGCTTAGACAATCCAAAGAGGCTAGTTGAATCAACAATTAATGATCTTTTTAAAATGAATAAATACTTAATAGCAATAGACATCAAATTTTATGGAGATAAAAAGGATTTAAACACTAAAAACAACATTATTCTATGCAAATCATTCAAATTTCATCTATTTTAAATCAAGCAAACAGATTAAGACTCAGTATCTTCAACTTAAATCAATCAGAACATCCAAACTACTCCATAAAAATCTAGTTTTAAATTAAAGACATCTGCAGAGAAGTAGGCTGAATAGCAATTACTATTACAATAAAAAACATTACAATAATAGCAAAAACAATAACAATAACAACAACAATAGCAATAATAAGAGGAGTCTGTGAAAAAGAATTTAGAAAATTTATAGATTGATACCTAAACAGCTTAAAATCAATAGGTGCAGCAAAATTTGTAAAACTCATAGGCTTAACCTAATTCTAATGTGAACTAATAACAATAATAAAAAGAAGATACTCCTTAGTAAATACATTAGAAATAGACTACTGCTAAATAAAATTTGATAGATGAAATAGATTGTTATTCATAAGAATTTAATAATTTACAATATTAACTTTAAGATTACTTTGAGTTACTGTAGAATTTAATTGATTTGTATCATAAATATGGCATTAAATGTTAAAATTCTATGATAATTCTTAATAGTAGTACAAAGCAAAAGTACTTTTCTAAATTCTTTAAGTTCATTACAACTATGTTCAAAACAAACAAAACAGCATTTATTTTCAAAAAAAAAATACTCAATTTGCAAGAAGTACTCGAGAAATAAATTATTATTGATTAAAAGTCATCTGATGCGATAATGGCTGAAGAATTTCCTTAAAATATAATTAAGCTAGTTGATTTCTTTTAATCTTAAAGTTTCGCTGTAAAAGAACTACCTTAATGCTTTCAAAAGAAAACTATGCCCAATATTTCTGAAGGATAGTAAAATTAGTACAGAGAAACATCTTAATATCCTTATTCATTTTATGATTCTCCCTAGTACGGATAATACATAAATGGTTTTTATTCTTAAAAACAACAATCTCCTTAAAAAGTTCTTTAATAGCAGCCATTTGGTCTATACTAACAATAAAACTAATAAAATATTGATTACTTTAATCCAAACACAGCTAATTCAAATCTAAATTAACTGTAGATGATGTATTAATTATAACAGTAAGCTCAGCATGTATATAATTAGTAAAATTAAGCCCTAGCAAATTAGTAGAACTCACCATTTTATTTCTAGCAAGCAATCAATTAAATGAACAATAACTACATGTATTAATTGTAATTCTTTAATCCTGCAATTTTTTCTCTTCCACCAAATTGCATGGATAGCTAGCTCTAGTAATAAATAATGTTTCATTCGTAATAGTTTTTATAATAATTAGAGTAGAATTAGAGTTAGTAATTTACCTTTCCTCCTTAAAGCCATCAACAAACATAATAGCAACATTAGTAATCTTTAAATTAATCTTAGTAGCAGTAGTATCCATACAATTATAAATAACCTCCATACTCCTCACAATAATCATCTTCCACTACCTAGCACAACAAATCTAATTCTTCTTTCTTTGGAAGTTATCCTTCTTAAAGCTTGAAAAATAATAATAATGCCTAATAGAATGAAGGATAAAATATTTCTAGAAAGAAGAATTTCAGAAATAATAGCTAAATATATAATGGATTTTAGAATAATGCCTTTTACTAAGATTCATATAATAATAGCAATATAAACAGTGGAAATCAAAACTTTTAAAAAAATTCTTAAAGTAGCTCTAGCAATATCTCAGTTAATTCTAGTCCATTAATAAGTTTTCCTGCAGAGAATAAGCGTGGATAAAATTCTTAAATCAGCCAACCAACACTTTATAGTAGTTATATACAAAATAGTGGTATAAACAAGCCTAATGCTTTCAACAATCAAAATAAAAACAAATTTTATAAAAAATGATGTACCTCAATCTACATAAATAACTTTAGACTAGAGACCCATTTTTATTTCTAACAAAGAGGTATCTTTTTATAATTAATGATAAGTACTAATAATCATTTCATTCTATCAACAAACCAACCCACCATCAATTAACCAATCAATCAATCAATCAATTAATAAATCAACCAAACTTAATACAACTTTTTTCTTCTAATAATAGGAAGTTTTTAATTTATTAATAGATAAATTAATTATTGGTCTCTTTTTAACATATTTTTGTAAAATAAAGTAACACACTAAATTTTAAATATTTTCTGATCTTAAACATTATTTTTATGAAATTTTCTATTAATTATTTCAATCCCTAATTTATTACTTATTTTTCAATTTATCAATATTTTTATTAGTTTTATGTTTTTTTGTTTTTAAATATTAATTCTTTTTGAAAAATTTATAAGTAAATAATAGATAGATACAAATTTTTTTTATCAATTGTATTTAAGCTTAGTGAATATTTTATCTATAATAATTAGATATAAGTAAATAAGTTATTTATCATCAAATTATTGGTAAAAAAATATAATTTGAAAAAATTATCAATAAAACAATTTTTAATATAATTGATAAGAAAATATAATTTTTTGGTGTTTTTGATATTGGTGATTTGCGTTTGCATATTGCTCGCATGTTCACTGCATTAGATATGCAAAAAATTGTAATGTATTTTTGTACGCAGTTGTATATTATAAATTTTTTTTATTTATATTCTCAATATATTGCAATTTCTCGATGCATCATTCCTTGGATTATACAAATTCCGAATTCTGAATAGTTGTAAAAAAAAAAATTTAAGAAAAAAATGCCTTAATTAAAATATGCCTTAATTAACGAGCATTTACAGTATAAAAAATAGAAATTGTTCATATTTTATTTATTTTATGTAAATATTTTTTATAGATGAATAAATAAATCTAAATTAATTAATTATTAAATACTCAAAAAATTAATTAAATCAAATAAATTTACATTGTAGAATTTTAAAATATATGATTTCAATATTTAGTTTATAACAAAGAATTAAACATCAAAAAAAATTCTTAAAACTTTAATTTATATTTAAAGTTATTATATTTTTCATACTTTGTTTGTATGAATGACTTTGTATTCTTCAAGGAGTTTTTCGATGAGGTTTATGTAGTGATCTTTCTTCTTATGTAATAAAAAGTATTAGACTCTTTCACTTTGTAATCTATGAGCTAGCTTAATTAGTTCTAATTAGTTATGGTGTTCAAGGTGAGTTCCCTTGCATATTGCATTAAAAATTGATTCTGCATCTCTTCCCTTCATTATTTTAACAGTTTTGTGGAAAGCAGGGATAACACAGTCAATATCTTTTATATGTTCAGCAACATTTGGCATTTTCTTTAAATAGAATGGGCATTTAGGTGATAAACAGCAATTTCTGGCTAAATTAGATGCATTATTGAAAGAAATGTTAAATTTATTTTCTTCATTTAAGAGGTAATCTATCTATTTTTGGATAAGTGGAGTTGCTTCTTGATGTAAGCTAAACATTTCTTCTTAGTATTTTTATTTTAGAATTTTGTAGCAATTGTTATAAATTTTCAAAGATTCTTCTTTAATAAAATAAATGCTCTTTTACTTTTTAATATTGCTGTACACTTTATAAATATTTTCTTCGACTTCAGAGGTATTTCTATCATAGTTGTTTGGATACTTCTATGCATGAAGAAGCCAAATCCATAGCAATCCTCCACTAAATTTTTCAGAAGGAAGAAAATAGTTACAGATAGCTTTCATGCTTGTGAAAAAATTTAATTTTCCGTAATTCATAAAATTGAAACTATCTTTGTGGATATAAATCTTGCATTTTTTTGTAAATTCAAAGTAATTTTTTTCTTTAAGAGCAGTTTCAACCACACTCATAACTGTGCGGACGGATGGATATTATTTAACATCTCCTACTACTTATTCAATAACATTTGACTCAATTTTTTACAATTCAGACATATCATAATTAACAATTCCAAAATATGTATGAAGTTTTTCTAGATTTTTGATATTCCTTTAAATATAAATATTATTTAATTTTTTCACATTTTTCATTTAATTAAAATTACCTAGAAACTATTTCTTATAAAATTGCTTCTAAAATCTATTTTATTTTATTTTTATCTTTAATTTAGTCTTTTTTGTAGAGATAGAATAAGGCTGCAAGTGCCTTAGAGGGATCTTAACATTAAGTTGGATGTCCCTCATGATAGGTTATCATTGCTTATCTAGGTTAGTTTAAGAGCATCTCACAGTAGGTTTTGAAAAATGGCCTATCTCCATATACAATTTCTATAGAGTGGTAAATTTTGTCTAGTAGCTCATTAATATAAGTGGATTATTCTTAGTTTAGTAAAAAAATTAAAAGATTAGACAACAAAGCTAAATATGCCTCTGAATAGCAAGTGTCTACATTATGCATGACATTAAAATTCATCAAAACATGAAAGAAAGAAGTAGCCAAAAGAGGCTTAAGATCATAGTCTTTAGGACCAAATAAGGGAACAACTGCATCTATTTTTTCTTTAAGCTATTCAGACCTAATAATTTTATTAAATTATTCAAAATTATCACAATTAATTGTTAAAAATTCTTGGTTTGATTTAGTATAATTAGGGAACATATTTTAAATTAAGGTATTGATAGATAGAAAGTTCACAAAACTATTGCAAAAATACTTTTCTGAAATTACAAAAATTAAAAATTAAGAAATTATTAAAATGATAGTTAAAAATATTTATTTGATGTTATGGACTCATATGACACTACCAATTATTTAAATGTTATTTAAATTTTATATTAAATTAAAATCTTTTTTGAAACCAAAAAAATAATTAATAAAATTTTTTGTAAAATAAATTTTTGTAAATCAAATAAAAATTTTGAAAAAATTTAAATATTTTAGTTTTACTTGTAATAAAAGAGCTAATATTAATTTAACTCTTGGACTAGTTGTTTTTTAGGTTAATATTCTGTCCATTTTAGAGGTTTATAACCATGCTTCTGCTCAAAATAGCTTCTAGTACCACCTTCAGCTCCAAGATAAAAACCTGCATTTAAGTTTAGTTCTTTGTCTGGAGTATTTTAAATAGAAATTGTATCTACGTTGGCATTTATACGAGCTATGTCTACAATTTGAACAAGATAAGGGTTAATCATAGAACCATCTGATCTTTAAAGCCTTTTAATTGAATATTTTTTTCAGCTTAAAAATAAAATTCAAAAATTTTTTACTTGACTCCTAAGCCTATTAAAGGGAAAGCTGATATTAAATGGTATTAACTTTTAACTTCCTTTAGACCATCTACCATATCTTCTTATAGAAATACATCTTTCATGTTTTCAAGAGAAAAAATAGATCTTTCTTGGTCACTTTCTTAGTGAATGGAAGATTTAACCATTAATAACTCATCAATAAAGAAATTCTTCATTTTGATGAATGTTTCTACATCTAAACCTCTCATAACAAGAGCTCTTTAATGGAACTTACCAATTTCAGTTCCAATTTTTATTCTTTCTGATTCTTCTTCACCATTCAAATTGCCTTTAATTAAAAAATATTGTTAAATATACATTTGTAGTAAATTACTAATTTAGTTGCTTACCTACTGTGTCCTTTGTTAATAAGTTAGATAGAGATTTAATGAGGACTATTAGATTATAACGAACACGATTTGATTATTAAGCAATAAGACGCTATCTAACAGTCATATTCTGTATAGGCTTGTCAATAGGGATATTAGTGATATTTATTTGATTTACAATTTTATCCATGTAGTTTGTTAAAAATTCAATAGCCTTTTCAATTGTGTTCTTTTCAATCTAATCTTGGCCATATCTAACTAGAAGATCATTGATCCAAGTAGAAAATATATCAATCATATCATCAACATCTAAATTTCTCTCTTTGAAAATAAATTCATTAGGATTATCTTATAATTAGATCTAATCACCATAATTTTCTTTTGAAACAACATAAGTTCCTCTAATTACCTGAATATATTTATTTATTTATATTTTAATTGTGTTTTCTAAATTTATAATATTTTACCTTTTTGGAAGGCTATGACCAAGGATATTGCTATACTTCAGCTTAGACATTTACAACTTCTTGAATATTTAATTAAGGAATAATTTCTGAGACAACTTATTAGATGTAATAATACTAATTATCCTAATATTATTCTAAATCTTTACCACTGTAATATTATTCAAATGCGTAGCAGATTTTATGATTCAATTATTCTGTTGAGTAGTTTTTTTAAAGTGCTGATGCAAAGGATAAATGCTTTTTCAAGTTATAATTTCCAATATTTACAAAGAAAATATCACATCTTGCATTTAAATTAGCAAAATTATTTTTTAACTCTGTAAAAATGGCTACTTCCTAAGCACGCATGAATAATATTATGAAAATATCTTTGTTTCTTGATTATTAAATAATTTAACTTAAAATCTTTTCAAGGATAGTCATTCTAACAAACGAGGACCAGTACTACTTCATCTCTCCTGAAGTAACATCTACTCTTACATTAGTTCCAAATCTCTCCTGACAAACAGGAACAAACCTCTTAACATACTCTTCATAAGTCCTTTAAGATGACCATATTTCTTAATCAAGCTGGACTTAATTTTAATAATTCATTTTATACTCATTATTACTTAACTACTCCTAAAAATCATAAGAAGTGACTTACCAATTCAATTTATTTTTATCAGAATGCTATTAAATGATTCTCTAAGAGTGAATGAAATTGTGTTTGCTATCTTCGCTTATAGCTAAATAAAAAAATAATTATATAATAATAAACTTAAAAGTATAGTTAATTCTACTGAAAATGTGTTTCTCTCTTTCACTTTACTTTTATGGTACTTTATAGTAATAGTATTACTAATCTCCTTAAGGGATATTATCCATATGTTTGTTATTATTTATTTTTATTATCAGATTGTTAATAAGATTTATTTTTGTTAATTTATTTTTATAATTTGAAAAACTTTGTCTTGTTAAAATATAATTCGGATTATCAAAATAAAAAGTGTCTTTATAAATATTATCCACATATAAGATTCATATATTTGATTATTTTTAATAATAGCTGATCAAAAATAATTTAATAGATAAAATAAAATTTCTGATTTTGATCAAATACTAATGTCTACATCAAAAATAAAAACAAAATTGAAAATGACTAAAAGCTTATCAATGAATTAAATATGGAGGGTTACATCTATTTCAAAAATTTTATCAAAATTTCCTAATTATTTTTACTTAAACTGATCAGTTAAGCCAAAAAAAAGATTTTTTTGTTTTAAACCCTGTTTCGGTAAAACATATTTATCAATAATTTATTAGATGTATTCATTAATATATAAATCTATTCTAAATAACAAAAAAAATTACATAATATTAATTTTTAGCATATTTAGTAATACATTTAAAGCTTTCTAATTAAAACAATAAATAAACAAATTGTTTTAAATATATTTCTAAAGGTTTGTTTTTAAAAACTTTATTAATTTTAAAAAATATTGAATTAAAAATTATAAATTCTATTTTCATTTTTTTGTTAAATAGAGCAAAATTTATTATCACATGTAGTACCTAGGATCAAAAAGTGGAATTTTAAAGACAACTAGTCACATTAAAGGCTATAGAAATAGATAAAAAAGTTGTAATTTTACTAATCAGTCACTATAAAGATCATATAAAACACAATTGATGTTAAAAAACAAAGATCTATCATAAAGCTTGCAAAATATTGCAATAGTCAAAACTCCATTTAAATTCATTTCTTAAATTTTTTGTATCTTACTGAATATAAGATGATAGTATCCACTCCTTTTATTGCTATAAAATTTCATTTAATATTATTCAATGTATGCATAATATTTACTCAAAATAAAGAAAACTTGAAGTTAGATATTAGAAGTTAGTAACTTCTCCAAAATATGCCATTTTCCCTTGCATCGAGCAGTTATTACCACTTTTTATTTTCATTTTTAAGTAAAAATAAGATGAAATTCTTTTAAAAAATAAATAAACTTAATACCATAAATTTGTTTCAAAATCAATCATTGTTGTTCTATACTTTTTTATAGACTCCATAAGAATATAGCATCCTTTATTTCTAATGAAATTCGATCTAATATTTATTTTCTCACTTTAATATTGCCATGTTAATTTATCATTATTTATTTTACGCTATACAAAGGCTTAAGGTAATAATATTAGGTTTTTGAGACAAAAATTAACTTATTGTCTCAGCTGAATTGCAAGTAAGTAAATTCTTTGAAGATAAAAGGTGAAACTTTTAAAGGTCTTTTTAAGTATGAGTAAATTAATCAAAAATCATTTTAAATTTCTAATCACCCAAACCTATTTAACTATATATAATTTCTATTTAAATTTATTTATAAATGAATTTAGTGTTTAAATACCTAAATCTTAAGCTTAAATATCTTAGATTTGGATAGTTATTACATATTAATCCAAGTTTTTTGCACCCTTCTTCAGTTAGAAAATTTTACCTTTTAATAAATAAATAAAATAAATAGAATATTAAGGTAGTACTAACTTTACATTATATTAATTAGTAATCTTTTCATAGAAGGACATTGCATTTACTAAATTTCACCAAATGATTCAATTTCATTATACCCAAGAAGCAATTCAAGAGTTTCCAAATTTGAAAGATTTAATAGTTTTTTGATATTTTTCATCCCTTTTGCTGATATTTAGTTGCATCTTTTAAATAATACAATAAGATAACTAATTGCTTATTTTAAGAATAATTAAATACGATAATCCTAAATGAAGATTTTTCAAATTTACTAAGCAGCTAACACTCTCAAACATTAAGTTTGACAACTTATTTTTTAACTAGTTTAAACTATTTTTTTTTCATTCAAGTAAATTTTTAATAAATTTTAAAATACATACCTAAAACTTAGCATTAAATCTTCTACCTAATAAAGGTATCTTAAATTTTAGAAAAATGATTCAGCTTTTTAAAGCTCATTATATATTTTAGCCTATTAAAAGGATAAATAAACCTATTTTAAATGCCCAAGCCTGAGTAAAAATTTAGCAAAAGTCTAAAGTCCTTAACTTTAAATTGGATTATCAGATAAATTTAGCTGTAGATATTTTAATTATTTAATTTGGCAAATTGAATCCATTAAAATATTTATTTTCTCTTCTTGCAAAAAAGTTAATTATAATCTAATATTTATCTGCTAAATGTTTTAGTGTAGTTATAAAGTTCTACTAAATTTTTGAAATGTCATATCGCTAAAGCTATATCCCCTTATTATTAATTTTATAATTTTTTATATTTAAAATTTTAAAAATTAGCTAAAATAAAATTTACATAAGATTTATTTTAAGTTTTTATATAGTTTAAGATAATTCTATCAAATTACTTATTTTATCAACTACAGAATCTATTTCAGTAATGCTTATATGTTATGTTTTTATTTAGTTATTTTCTTTCTTTAAATAATTCTACACTTTTTAGCTAACAGTGATTGTCAATTCATTAAGGTCTTTTAAATTAGATGGAAAAGAAATGATCTTATTTAGTTTTTAAAGGTCAAAGTCTTTATTCAGCCTATCAAATTAAAATTAAATAATTCTTTAGTAAATAATGCAAATCTAATAAATATGATGTTTTTAAATATAAGTAAGTAAGATATACAAAAATATCATCTAAACTATTTTAAACTTATTAAAGCATGTTCTTAAAATCTAAAAATTTTCTACTAGCTGCTCAAATTCAAGTGCTTCACTTTCATCTTCTCTATAAATTGAATTAATTATTCATAAAAATAAATTATTTTGATTAAGTAAATAGTAATTTTATTTTTAATTGTTACATTTTCATTTTAACGTTGTCAACTCCAGCTAAGTTTACATTATTTTCATCAAATAGTTTAAATATTTCTTCGAACGAGCCTTCTATTTTACTTGTTGTAGAATTACTTGATAGAAAATAGTTTTGATTGCTTATTACTATCATTTTAAAACGAACTAAAAAGCAAAATTTGATAAAAATTTCAGTTTTTATCAAAATTTTTTATCAGAAGTAATTAATCGAATGATTCAATCAATAATATACAAAGATTCATAAACTCTAAATGAAATATTAAGATAAAAAATAAATATTTATATAGATTTTGGCAAAATATATAAATAATGAATTTAAATTTAAATTTAATCTATTTTTTTTTAAAACAAAAACAAAATTTCAATTTGAATAAAATTTTTAAAAGTTTCAAACTACCATTTCTCTATTTTCTATATTAAGGTTTTTTTATACTAAGGTGATAAATTTTAAATAATTTTTTAATTATATAACATACAGAAAACTTAAAACCATCAAAAAATTTAAATTAAAATAAATACTTTTTAAATAATTTATTTAGAAAATTAAATAAATATGCTTAATTTTAAAAATTATCAGAAAATAAAGTATTTATGTATCAATCAAATAATTTTTAACAAATAAGTCGTAATTGTAAACCAATAATGATTTATTGTTAATATCTATTAACAAATCATTATTTTATAAAATATAAAACAATTAATTCTGAAAAAACCACTTTAAAATCTGTTTGAAGATTGATAACAACAAAAAATTTTTTGGGATTAACTTTTCAATCATCCCCCATTATTTTCTTGAGTAAAATATAATTTTTAATTTAGAATTCAAATAAAATTAATTGAGAATATGAATGAACGAATCAATATAATTATATACATTTTTATTTAAATTATAGATTATTTTTAAATATATTTTTTTCACCTTTTTATTTAATTTATTTTATAAAACAAATTTTCAACTTATTTGGAAATATTTATTTTAATAATTTTGATAAGATGAGCAGCATTACTATTTTAATATCATTCATTAGCTTTAGTATTGTTTTTACTATTTATAATTTCTTGAACATATTTATCTATTTAGTTTTATCTTGTTCTCTCTGTTTAATATAATTACTTTTATTTTACCTCTATTTTTATTGTGTCTGATATGTTTATTCCAAGCTAAAGTTCTTATTTTATCCAAGCAGGTAGAGGGTCATATACTTTAACTAAACAAGAAGGTTAATTACTTAATAAAGTTGTGTTTGAAGAGTAGGTTCTGTCTGGGCGATGAATTATATCCAATTTCGCTTGAAAGTTTTTTTAGTTGCTTAACTTATTTTTTATAGTATCTTCAACTTTATCAGATGCCCCTGAGCAAACAGAAATTGAAGATTCTACTTTTTTTGTAATACTTTTGCAAACATCATGAACTGTTATAGAAGGTACTGGGAGACAACAGCAGCAACAACTAATTAATTTTAATGGTAAAGTAAGACTTTCAGTTATTACTTAAAATACAGATTTAATCATCACTAAGAATTTTTAAAGGATAAATTTGTTTTTATCTTTGACAAGATGTTAAAAGTTAAAATCATTAATTGCTTTCCATCCTTTCATTTCATTCAAATATTTCACAAAATTCCATCCTGTTCTTAAGTTAACTTCGGTGTAAGTTAAAAACTCAGCAATTAAATCTGATCCAATAGCTGCAAACAATATATCTGCTAGATTACTATCACTTCCATTAAACTTATTGATGTATGAAACCTTTTTGGCTACAGGGATTACCTTTAAAATATTATAGATATCTCCATCATCTATGTTATTTATTTCTTCTTCTTTCTTTTCTCTAAAGACAATTTATGAGCAATCTTTTCTTAGTCCTCTAGCTATATATTAGAATCCACTGGATTTTATGCTTTTTCCTATAAACCCTTCAAGGAAATTGAAAATGTCTTCTTTACTTTGATCCTCATACTAAAAATAATGACGTGAAGAATAATTGTAGCATGGATCTAGCTTTGATAAAGTTTATTAAACTTCTTAAATTTACTTTAATATGATATTTTTTGTGTCATATTAATAGTTAATTATATCAAATTCATTTTAGCGAACTCTATACCCTGTATTTAAATTTCTAAAGCCCTCCACCTACTCAGGATTTTGTTGATAAAATTTAACAATCTCCTCTAAGTTTTTCATTTGCTTTTTTTGGTTATTTGCAGAGGATTCTAATTAATCGCAATTCTCTTCAACACCTTAAAATTCATCAAAAATATTTAATTACCTAGCTTAAGTTTTTTTTTAATCAGGAATTTCACTTTCTTGCATATTTAGAGGCCTCTACGACTCATTTAAGACAAAACCATCTAAATTATTTTCTTATCTACCATTAATTACCTTCATATATTACCAAAGTGTTAGTTCTATGTCAGGAATACTAATTTTGAAATTTTCTTTGTAAGGAAAAGTTTATTATAAATCATGTTGTGCAGCATTTCTAAATAACTCTAAAGCATGGTAATTAAAAATACGCCCAATTTTTATGTCTTTTTATTAACCAATTATGTATGAACGAGAGTCATCCTAATAAGCAGCCAAAAATATCTCTTGATATCCGATGGTCTTAGGTGCATTCGTTTATATATTTTAAAAATTTTAGTAGTTATTTCCAAATATAACAATTGCTTTTTTCTGTAATGGTTTCTAACAAGTTTTATAAGGATCAAATCTATATCTGAAAGTTTTGTATTAAGAAATGTTATAAATATCACATTCAACCCCAAAAATCTTTAACTTTTCAGTAATTTTCACTATAGTTTCTCTTTGAATTTCTTAATTGATCACTAAAACAACATCGGAAATTTCTTTATATTGCAGAGTTTCACCTTTTTATAGCTTATAATTCATCTCTTGAATTGTTTAATATTTATTCATAGGATCATTTAAATAGCCAAGGTCCAAACTAAATCTTAGATTTACTGCTTCATATGCTTAAATAGATGGATCAGTAATTTTTACAGTACATTTAAAGAATATTTCTTGGTTTGGTTGCAAAGATGGAATGAACATTTATTTTAGTAATTCGCCCTCCTATAAATTTTCATTTTTAACTATAAAATTATTCTTGTCTAGGGCCATCTGAGATTAAGGATATTAATTATTTTTTTCTATTAACTAGTTCTCTTCAGGAGTAAAAGGTATTAGTTGAACTGATCCTTTCTTTGAATCGTTATAAAATCGAAGATTCAGTAATCTTCCATGATTGATTCCTAAAGGCTTTGTAGATTTATTTTTAATTCCTATAACAACAGGAGCCTCTTCGCCATCAAGTACAGATCTAGGACCAGCGATATAGCTCAATTCTACTGGATATTCTACTTTAATGTTTTGTTCATAATTAGAAACTCCTTTAAATTCACCGTTCACTCTAGTTAAAACAGCACTAAATCTAAGATTTAAATTTTCGTTTAAGGCCTTATTTATTGATGGTTGAAGATTTTGTTTTATTTCAAATTCAAATAATTTTGGAACATTAAACGTTTATCCTGGGAGGATTGCTTGTGTAAATGTTCCAATATTATCAGAAGATTGAATAATAAGTGGGTCATTTATAAGAGAAACCTTCACTTAGCATCCTTAAGGAGTACTCATTTTAGAATTATTTAGAAGTTATATATTTATAGAAAATTTTTCCCCTGGCTCAACAATAGCATCATCGGATTTTATTTATTTGATTTCCCCCATAACTAAATTGAACAAACTATCATAAACAGCACCAGTTTCTGCAACACGATAGTATAAATGTCCACATTATCCATGTTTACCATCTTATCCTGCTTTTCCATCTTATCCATATTTTCCGTCTCTTCCCAATTTACCTGAAGGCTAACCTAATTTTATAAATATTTATATTAATTTAAATGGATATTTTGTAATGCCTATTGTGCATTTTTATATAATTTTCTAATATTGATAGAATTAAGATTTAATTAAAATTAATGGAAAACTATTAAAAATGTTAAATGCTAATAAACTTTATTTTTCATTAATTTATAAATATAAATTTGAATAATTTAATATTTAACAAGCTTTACCCTTTTATCCATTGACTCCTTAAAATTAGTATCCTCCTTATCCTCCTTTTCCGTACCATCCTTTTTCTCCTTTCCTGCCACCAACTCCTTTAGAGCCTCCAGAAACATTTGCTTCTGTGACCAAATAAAATAGATCTGTTTAAGTTTGGCTGCAAGTAATAAAAACATTTCCTCCATTTCCTCCATCTCCGCCTCTTCCCCCATTGCCTCCATTTCCTCCATTACCGCCTTCACCTCCGTCACCACCTCTAGTTAAAGCAGTAGCTTTTTATCCTTAAACACCTTCACCCCCTTTATTTAAAAGATAGAAAGTTAACTTTAAAATTAAAAAGGCAAATCACACTTTCTTAAAACATAAAATCTTATTTAAAAAATGTATAAATTATGTATTCATTAATTCTTTTTACCGTGACCTCCGTTTCCTCCATCACCGCCATTACCACCTCTTCCACCAAAAGCCATGATTTGTATTTGGGATTCAGAAGAACCTAGTAATAATTTCATATTTTCTCCGTTGATTATTAGTTAATTTTATTCATTGCATTGCAAACTAATTTCCTTGTTTGTAGCATTAGATCCATTAGTTCCATCTCCTCCGTCACTTCCATTCTGTCCATTTTATCCATTTCTACCTGATGTTCCATTTTAACCTTTACTTCCATCTTTGCCATCAGCTCCTTTGCAGCAAATTAAAACCATATTTAATAATAATTTTGTAAATTTAAAATAAATAAGCAAATTTCATTATAACTTCTTAATTAGTAAATTTCTCATTCTTATCAAAATCGATGAGATCAAATAAGTAGAACAAATAATCGCTTAAAGTATGGATTTTACAGATAATGGATAAATAAATATTCAAAAATAACTCTTTTAAATAATAAGCTTTTATCATAATTTATATTTTAGAGCTTCGTTGATAATTTTGGGAAAATATTTATATTTTCCATATCAAAAGTAAAATATAATTTTATTGTAAAAAATATTTAAAAATAAGTAGAATCATCAATAGGTTACTTAAAATTTATTATTATTGGGAGCAAAATAGTAAATAAAAATAACAATAAAGAATTCAGATTAAAATTATTAGTTCATACTCATCAGGGTTAATTAGAATAATTGTGTGGAAAGTAATTAATTATGAGATCAATTAAAAACGGATGTATATAATAAATAAATGTGTCTATTTTTGAATATCTGTGTAATCTATAATTTAAATCAATCATTAATTAACTATGAATGAAAATATTCATATATATATGTATTTATGAGTGCATATCTTGTAAACAATTAAGGAAAATTATAAATAAAATACAAGTGTAATTAAACATGATTTTTTATTTAATAATTCAAACAAAAATGAGATATAATATATCGTTTTTTATTTATTTATGTTATATAATATATATTTAGTTTAGTGTAGATTAGGTGTGATTTTGATATTTATTTATTCATTCATTCAAATCAATTTTATTTTTTGTTAATTTCTTGGGCGTATTTATCGATATCACTTTTTCTTTCTTAATCATTCTTATAAACTTTTTTCTCGTTTGTTATAGTTATCTTCAAGTCTTTAGGTTTTTTATGCTCCATGGCTTGCAATTCTTGTCTGATCCAAGCTGGTAAAGTATCAAAAGCATGCACAATGCAAGTGCTTTGATTGTTATAGAAAGTTGTTCCTTTAGTAAGAAGTATATCTGGTCTTTAGATTGCATCTAATCTCAATTAAGAGTTATTTGCTTTCTCGAATTTCTTACTAACTAAATCAGATACTTTATCTGAAGCTCCAGGACATTCATTAATTTTTTTAGTTAGTTGCTTTTAGACATTTTTACATGCAGAGAGGACTATTGAAGATGGGTTAGGAATACAAGAGCAGAAACATAATTTTACAAAGAAATTAACTTGATCTGAAACTGCTTCAAGAACACTATTAATCATAACTAATACTTTCTTCAATACATAAACATTTTTATTTGCAACTAAATCATCTAATTTTAATTTGTTCAATGCATCCCATCCTTTCATATGCTCTAAATATTAAGGAATTTTCCAGCCACTACGAGAACCTATGCTAGTGAATGCCTTAAATTCATCACATAAATCTGAACCAATTGAAGCAAACAATAGATCTACAATTTTGTCATCTTAGCTCTTGATTTTATTGATATAGCCTACCTTTTTATCAGCAGGGATTAACTTAAATATATTATAGATATCTCCATCATCTATAGATACAGTTTCACCTTTTTCACGGAAAGCAATTTGAACACTGTCTTTTTTAAGACCACGAATAACATGCTAGAATCCACTTGATTTATAAGCTTTACCAATAAACGTTTCGAGCAAATCAGGTTCATCATTTTCATCATTAAAGTAAAAGTGACGACTGTGATATTGATAAGCTGGGTCAAGTTTGGATAAAGTTTCATGCAAGGTGGTAATTTAATTAAATATAATATCATGGTTATCATATCCGTCATCTATAGAATCTCCTTCTTTAAGTTTTAGTCTATATCCAGTCTCTAAATTCTAAACAGCTTCTATTACTTTAGGATTTTTTTAATAGAATTCGAATATCTCTTGAATGTTTTTCATCTGCTTTTGAGAATCGCCTTTAAACAAAAGATCGCACTCTTATTAAATACCCTAAAAACCTTATAATTCTTCTGGTAATTTCTTTTAATTTGCTGCAACGGCTTCGCCATTCAACTTTGAGGTTGCAAGAATTTTCTTTTATGTTTCATCCATTAGAGAAACTCCTTGATTATCTTCATCTTCATCCCCATTTATTTATCTGTACTTTTCCAAATACTATCCATAAGTAATAGCAAGGTCAGGGATCCTTATAGTGAATTTTTTGTCATATGGGAAAGATGATCTTAATTCGTCACCTGTTGAATTGCGGAATAATGAAATTGCTGAATAGTTGAAGATACGTCCATATTTAATATTTTTAGATGATCCCATAATATAATTTCTTGTATCATCTGCGTAGCTAGATTTGTAAATGTTCTCAACACTTATTTGCTAAACTGCATTAGTCAATTTGTTTTAATGATCGTGATATTCATTTCCAAATATCACAACAGCTTTCTTTTCATGAGGGGATTTTTTCTTATTTAATGGGTCAAAATTATAATTGAACGATTTGTATTAAGTGATGCTATATATATCGCAATCTGCACCCACTGCTTGTAAAGATTGACGTACCTTAAAAATGCTATCGCGATCAACTTCGCTGTTTATAACGAGTAGCACATCTGAAGAATCTTTAAATTCTAACTTATCTGACTTTTAAGCTTTAAATATGTTTTCTTGAATTGTTTAGTATTTATTTAATGGATCATCAATATGACCAATATCAAGACAGAATCTAATATTGACAGTATCATAGGCTTAAATAGATTTGTCAACTACCTTAATAGTACCTTTGAAGAAAATTGTTTCTCCTGCATTAATACTTGGAATAAAAACTTATCTAATAAGTTCGTAGTTTTTAACTTTATCATCAGCTTTGATGAAGTTAGATTAATCCAGAGCTTTCTTAGCAGCTGGATCGCTGTTGTTTTCTTATAAAGTTTTGTCTGCATCTGGACTATAGGGAGTGAATTAAATAGCTCCTTGCTTACTCTCGTTGTAAACTCTCATATTTAAAAGACGACCATTTTTAATACCTAAAGGTTTAGAAGATTTATTTTTGATTCCAATTACTATTGGTATTTCTTCATCATCTAAAAAGGAACGAGGTCCTGATACATAAGTTAATTCTACAGGATACTCTACTTTAATAGGGAAATCAAATGAAGTGATTCCTTTAAATTCAGCTTTTACTCTATTTAAAATAGAATTAAATTTCAAATTGAAAGTGTCATTTAAAGGGGCATTTATCTTAGGTTCCAACTAAGGAGCTATTTTAAATTAAAATTGTTTGGGTATAGTAACTTTTTATAAACCACCAATAGCTTAGTTATATTCAAACATATTCTATTTTGCGTCTTACTCAATGTAAGGATTCTAAAAAAGACTAAAAGTTATAGGACTTGCAGATGGAGTACTCATTTCAGAATCATTCATTACAGTTATTTCGGTTGAAAGAGTTTCACCAGGCTCTATAATCTAATCAGGAGAAACTACTGGTTTAACCGAGCTCATAACTAAGTTAAATAGCTATTTAAATGATCTTTATTATTCCATAACGACGAAGTAGTAAAATCCAAAGTTTCCATCTTTACCACTCTTTCCTTCAGGACCTCTATTACCTTCTTTACCAAGATTTCCTCTTTAACCACCTTGTTAATCTTTAAAAAATTGATTTAGTTTAATTTTAAAGTATTTACTTTCAAAATCCAAAGATTGTTTAGTTGTTATAAAAATTTTTTAATCTAAAAATTTATTTTTTGTTTCAAGTTTATCTGAAAAAGATATCAAAAAAATTAATTTTTTCTCTTTCATCTTTATTAAACTTAATCAAATATATTGATTTATTTGATATCTTTCAGAATTTATATTTTTAACCTTACAAATCAAATCAAGTAAGTAAGTAAATTGTAATTGTATTAATTTATTTAAAAATTACTTTTAACTCCATCAAAACCTGTGAAACTTTTTCCACCTTCTCCAGCAAAACCATAAGCACCAGGTGCACCTCCTCTTCCAGCTTTTCCTCCCATTCCTTTAGCAACACTGATTTAAGTGATTAGGAAAAGTAAATCAGTTTCCTTCTCACTGACTTTAAAGCAGACTTCTCCTCCTTTTCCGCCATCTCCTCCATTTCCACCTTTTCCGCCATTGCCTCCGTTACCACCGTTTCCTCCGTTGGTACCGTTAGCACCTTATCTAGCATCTATACCTTTGCCACCTTTACCACCTTTAAATAATAAATATAAATAAGTATCATAAATCATCGTATTTAATAGAAAAGTTACCTGCTCCTCCTGGTCCTCCAGTGCCACCGTTTCCACCTTTTCCTCCTTCTGCAAATACTATAAGAGAGCATTTATCTGAACCTACAATTTCACCAGTTTTCTTTCCATTAACAACTAACTCATTACCACTACAAGTGATATCAACTTATACAAATCCAGCATCTGATCCATTAGTTCCATCAGTTCCTGATGTGCCATCTGTACCATTTTGACCATGGCCACCATTTGGATTGCCATCAGCACCTCTTAAACCTGTTTTACCATCAGTTCCTTCCTTACCGTCTTAACCGCTATACCTTAGGATATAAACCATTTTTGTTAAGAAAATTTTTTTTTTTAAAATTTGAGATATGTAATTTTTTTAGTTTATATTTTATGATGAGCTAAACGATAATTCCTAATTAATTTAAGTAGTGGATGGAGGGAGATCAAATAATTAGTAAAAAACGATTGAGATCAAATAATCATCTGAAAAATAAATTATAATTGTAAGATTAATTCCAAGTAGCAGCTCTAAGCAAAATAAATAATCATAAATTATCATAATTTATCAGATTAAATAATTTTTATTTTTGCATCCCAAAGTAAAAAAAATGTGGTTTACAAAACAAAAAATCTTAACTCAAAATTCAATTTTAACAAAAATCTATTCAATTCAAAATATAAAAGTTTATTTAGACATATTAGAAATGATTTAAAATAATATATTCTGCTATAAATTTAAAAGTCTAAATAAATTTTATTTAGACTTTTTATATGTTCTCACTAATCATTTATTAATAAGTTTATTTGTATCTTTCATAAAAGGAACTATCAATGATTTCTTTAATTTATTTCCAAAATTATAGATAATTAATAATAAGCAAGTAGGAAGTATTTGATATCATTTAAAAATATAGAATTCTCTAGAAAGACATTTCTTTAAAATTCAGCTTATTTTTAAGTGCAAATTATAATAATTTTTATGAAGTTTTCAATTCATATAGAATAGACCCACTGAGTGTATTTTCACTTAAAAAATGAAATAGAGAAAATAAATAATAATTTAATCTTTAACTGATGATTATCTACTTTTACTATTTTTTTGAAGAAATCAATCTAACTTTTTTTTAATGAAAAAGATACTTTTAAAAGGAAAAAATGTGTGGATAGGAAGCTCATAAAAATTTTTATTTAAGCATTGCGCAAATATAATTAAAATAATGAATATTTTCTTTAAATTTTATATTTATTACAATAATTTTACTTAAAATTAGAATAAATTGAATATTTTTGGTTTTTATAATTTTTAATTTACAGCTATTTAGAAGAATTAGTTTTTTTGTCATTTAAAAATAGACAAAATAATTTATTTTCACTCTTTGGTAAAATAAATTCTCATAAGATAGCAAATTGAAAATATAATCTTGAAAAAAATATTTTAACTTCAGCTTTTATTATTTTTGTAAAAATATGAAGCCATTATATTTATAAATGAATATATATTTATATATGCTTTTGAAATAATACTCATCGCAACCAATCAATTATTATGGCTAGATTTCGAACTAAAAAAAATTTTCTGCTCATTATAAGAAATCATCAAAAATTGTAATCATCTCGATGTAGATATCTCTATACAATTTTTGAATGAAAATCAATAATATTAAATAATAACTGTAATTAGATATGTTTAACTTCTGATTCGTTCTATTAATCAACCTCATAAAAAATTATTAATTTTGGTATATTTTTTAAAAATAATAAAAATCCCACTTCTTTGATTACAAATATAAGATATATTAATTTATTTGCTAATTAGTAGACAAAATTGGTTAGCTTTTAGGTTTTTTTGAAAAGATAATAGCATTAGTAATTGAATAATTAAAAAATAAATCTTATAAATAAAGAATCAATGTTTTTCAAATTGCTAACAATAACTAATCAGCTATGGGTTTTATGCTAAATATGCAAATTTTATTGAAAGACAAACATTTTAAGCAAAATTAAATAATTTTATATCATAAATTAACATATCAATAAATATTTTTATTCGTATTTAATAAGTAAAAAGTATTTTGAAATAAATATAGAAAAAGAATTTAAATTATTGAATTTAATTTAAACAAATAAATCCTAATTATTTTCATGGATATTTAGATATTGCTAGTTTTTGAGAATTAATAATTTTTTAAACTAAATACGAATGGCTGTATGTGTATTAAATGTTATTAATATAAATCCTTTTCATTCTAATAAACAAAAATAGTAAAGGAAATATAAAATAAAAAAGTTTTTATATATTTTATATATTTGATTAAAACAAGATACAAACAACTGAATTCAATTATTTTACATTAAGAAATATACAATGTTTTTAAACAAGCACTATGAAATGATATATTTATAAGGATTATAAATATATATTTATTTGATAAATGAATCTAGTATTTGAATTATGAATTGGTATTATATATTTTTCAAAATATTTAATCATTAATTAATCTATGTAATTTTAAAATTTATATAATTTATTTAAAAAAATATCTAGCTTTGAATTTATATTAATTATTTTAAGTAATAATGATTTAATTAAAACTTAATATTACCTAAAAAGAATTTTTATAATATGTTTGACTTTAATTACTGATTATCAATACTAATTTCATAAATTATGTTTTTGAAGATAATATTTATGAAAATAAATTGTAAAGATTTAGTAAAATTTATATTACTAACACTGACTTTAAACAAAATCCAAATTTTGATATCTTTTAAAAAATTAAGATAGAAAAATACTGTTATGTTTGACTTATAGTAATAGTTATTTACTTTTAAAATATTAATACTAACTAATTGAAAAAAAATTTTTATAGTTTTTTAAATTAAAGAAAATAGAAAATAATTTATGGAATTTTAAATCTTATTTATTGTATTTTTGTAAAAAAATATTTTTTTCTAGTGCAACTGCTCAGTTTATTCTTTAATTTACTCTTTAGAATTGCTAAAGCAATTCAATAATTTGATTTCAAATAAATAGGAATTTTAATTGCATTTATTTACTTTTATTGATATTAATTTCAAGTATTTGGATAAATGATTAAATTGTATAAAAATAGCATTACCACCTACCAAAATTTGTTAAAGAAAAAGCTGAAATTGATTTGAGTAAGTCTTATATTTAATTAAGAAAGTTTTAACAAACAAACAAATAATTATAATAAATAATAAGTGCAATCATACTAATATACATAACCTAATATATTTCAATGAGCCTCATAATAAAGCTAATTCTCTCAATATCAATTCCAATCGTTATAGGAGTCTTGTTTAATCTTTCAGTTTTTTACTTCGTGCTTTATTAAAATGTTTATTAATGGTAAATTTTATTAATTTAATCATATATAATAGCGTATAAAATGTATTTAAGAACTATCTTTAAATATTTATCTAAAATATAAAAGGGAGGAGTAGTAAACAAAGTAGCTAATCACTAACGAAAACTAAAAACTGCATAATTTAGTATATGGAATAAAAACAACAATGGAAATTAGCTTTAATACAGTAAAATATAATGATTTTTGTAAAAAAAAGAAAAACTAATTTTCAATGCAATAAATATAAATAGGTAGAATAAGACCTCATAAGTTTTCATAACTTTTATTTAAAGATGATAAACAACGATGTTTTAGGTAATAAATAATTATTTACTTGCTAGCAATTACCATAAAAATCTACTTTTGTGTATTTAAAATTACTTTAAAAATATTTAGTTAGAAAGTAATTCTCTTATATCCCATGTTCTTATAGATACTTTGCTTTTAATAACTGCACATAAAACATGTATAAAGAATTTAGTAAGAACAGTAATTATGTAGAAGGATTTTTTCACAGAACAACTTTCGATTTCGAAGAGTTTTCAGATGAAAAAAAATAAAGATTTAAAAAAGTAATAAGATATAAATGATATTCAATTTAATTTAATTTTTTTTTTTGCATATTGAAGGTTTGGGACTCATACATTATAGCTAAATCAGCTATTATTGCTCGTAGGAATAGTTTAATTGCTATAAATGATGTGTTTTAAGGATTTGATGATTCTCTACTCACTACTGTACCGATGCTGTATTGAAAATTTATTGTTTAAAAATATAAGAAAATTTACTATTATTGTAAAAAGCAATATAAATTTAACAGCTTTTTAGCCTTATTAGACATGCATTACTAATTAGACATTTGTAGAAAATTTTGATCCTAGATGTAGAGGATGGTATAGAAGCACTATAAAATAGGCTGGAAAATGTATATTTAAAATTTTAATTTAAAATTATCAATCAAATAAAACCTAAAAGATTAAGTTTATCAGTATAAGCCATATAAAGATGCCTTCACTAATTCAATTACAATGTCGCCAAGTGCTTTGATTTTAGATGAAAAAACAAATGCTTTTTTATCTATTATTGCAATGGATTTTAATATTACAAAACTAACTTAAAATGTGATTGCAATTTCTGATGAATTGGACGAATCTTAAATCACATCAGGATACTCTTTGCTTTTTCATGAAGATAATAATACAGTAAGCATACTTAATTATTAAATGCGCGAAATCAAAAGATTTAATTTAATTAATGACATTTATTTTTACATTATAAACAAATCTAATTAATTTTTTTATCATTAAAATCCACACAACAATTTTTGAACAATAAGGCCGAAATTAATAAAATTAATTATATATTTAAAGCAAAAATATATCATTTACTTGATAAAATACATTTGAAAATTTATTAGTGTGGCTCTTAAAAATTTTATAAATATCTTAATAAAATAAAGATATTTCATCATAAATATTGGAAGAGTACTGATGATATTGAGTATAGCTGGCAAGATATAGAATACAATTCCACAACAATATACTCTACTTAAGAGAAAAACTCTTTTGTTTAATAAGTATCAGATGCTAAGATTCATGCTCTGTCATTCCAATATGACATTGAAAAACAAATTAATACAGATTAATTTTACATTTCTTTCTCAAAAAACAATCTAAGATAGTAAATAAATTATCATTAATATTTTATGGACTTAATTTTAAAAAAATATTAGCTACAGTTTGATATACCCTGTAAACTCTTTACAATAATGGTAGGTATTTCCTAATTCTACTTAAAACTAAATAATTATGTATGTAGGAAGAGTTCAGAGAGATTTAAGATTCATCTTACAATCTTATAATATATTTAAAGATAAAATATTTTTATTAGTAGTCATATCATAAGTGGCTTTTATTTTATTATTAATCATCATATTTAATTTGCATTTAGCTGCAGTGCTTTACTATCAACTTGAAATACCCATAGAAAATCTAACACGATTTCTCAAAAGCAGGATATAATAAAGCAAAAAAAAGATAATTACAAAAACTTAATAAAGGAATTCTGTTTTTAATAAGATTCAAACAAATATCTCTTTCACATAAAAATATCAGAATGCACAATCTAGAGTATAGTAGAGTTCTTTTATCGCTGAAAAACACTCCCCTCCATACTTAGAAAATATAAATAGTTATAAACAATCGCCTCACAGTAAATGTTAATCACAAGAATTTTTGCTAAGTACTTTTTTTCTTAATTTCAAATATTTCTTTTATAAATAAAATAAATTTAATTAAAAAAATATCTTCAAATAAAAGCAAAAAAATCATTTTTTTAAATTCCAACCAAACTCACAAAAATACAAAATTGAATAATCGTTTGAGCCTTGCTACTTTAAAATATTAATTAATGTTTTGATAAATATTTTACTTTAAAAAATTTATAAAATAATTTAAAAATTAATAAAATGATAGGGTGTTCTGATTCGTTTTAAAAGACTAGTAAATTGATTCAATAAGAGATACATTAAAATGATGGCTAACTTTATAAATATTTTTCATTAAATGAGAACAAAAATCAACTTAACAATGAGCATCTCAAAAATTTAATATAAACTTAAATTAATAGCTCACCAAGCTAAATATTAGAATATTAATCTATTTTTGAAGAAATATAGATCATTTCTTAAACATTCTATCACTTATAAGCTGTTATAAATTATAAAAGCACCTTAATAGATCAAAATGCCAATTTTATTCACTCTTTATTACATTTTGCTAAAGCAAGAAAAACTTTTTAAATGATTAATAATATTTATGGCTAGATAATCAGCCTAGCTAACATAGGTTATTTTCAGCTCTAATAGGATTTCAATGAATTAAAAACCTTAAAAGAGGAGAAGTATAGCTGTGTTATAGAATCCTTTGATTTTGCTTTACAGCTTTCTTTATATGAAATAGGTCTATGTAATTTCGATGAGTTCAAGACTAAATTTTAATAAGGTTAGATAAAAATTAATGATTATCAGGACTATTTGCTTTTAAACAGCATAAATTTAATTACAATTCTAAAATGCAAGTTAATGAAAGCAACTGCATTTAAAATGATAGATAATTGCATTTTTAATAGGTGTAAAAAAGATAAATAAAACATCAAAATTGCTTTAGACCAATAAAAATATATTCAACTTTTATAGTAAGCAATATAATTGCTTTAATTTACAGAAATAGTTATCGTAAAATTAAGAAAATACACAAAAATTGACTCATAAAGCTCGGAATAGGATTAGATCATACTAAAATTGGATATTTTAGAAATGTAGATAATGTTAAGCAGCCAATCTAGTATAAGTCAAAGTTTCTAATTTATTTTTAGTGATTAGCACTCTTAAGTTTTAGAAAATATACTTTAAAAAACTGATTTCAAGAATAAACTATTTGAAAATGAATAAAAATATGAATTACAATTTCTCTTAGAACCTTAAAATAAGGTCTTAAAGTCTAATGCTATCAAAGATAGCAATTATTATACTCAAACTACAAATTATTATGTCAGCAGAGTGGAATATTTAAAAGCATTGATTTTATTTAAATAAAATAAATTTTCTTTATCTGGCTAATTGCTCACAAGTATCATAGAAGATAACTATTTTTTAGACTAATAAGTAAAATATAATTCATTTAAAATATTGAACCAAATATTCCTTATAAATAATCTGCCTAATAAATATTTTGAAAAATAACTAAATAAATTCTATCATTCATAAAGTTATGATTTGATATTTTTTATAGAAGCTAGCGAATTTGAAATACTTCCGAACTGTTAGCTCATATAATTTTTATACGAATTAAAGTATAAATTTATGGCCAAAAACGATAGAGTTTCATTAAATATTTTTAATGATGAAGAATAAATAAATATATTCCCACTTATAAAAATCAATGAATAAAAGTAATGGGATATATCAGTTTATACTTTATATACATATTTAAATAATTTATATTTTAGCTACTATGATTAATCATAAAATATTTAAGAAGAATAACATGCTTAATTAGCAAATCAAGTGGTTTCTGAAGCATTAAAGTAAATTATTTAAGCTAATCTAATTAACATCGTTCCAGATAGAATAAAAAATAGAAGTTTAAATAGATATTATTTAAAGCCAAAAGTTCAATAAGATATTAAAAGACAAGCTTATATTTTTATTTTTTCATCTAGCTAGAATAGTTTGGCCAGTTAATTGCTAAATTAATAAAAAATTACTAATAGTATCATCTAAAAGTTATCAAAATTTCCTTAAAAAATTCAACTGCTAATAATTACAAGTTAATATAATTTAAGCAGAGTAAATGTAGAATTACCTTCCTAACCATCTTAGCCAATTAAAATAGTTAATAAATATATAAAATAATTTACAAGTTTCAATTAACTTAAATCTTACTTATTTATGAAAAGATTTTCAAAGTGATTTATTTTTTATTTATTCAAATTAAATTAATATTGTTTGTTTTTAAATTAGTAATAATCATGTTATTTTATAAGTAATAAATATTGAATTATTTGTATCAAAAATTTTTAGTTTTATAATTAATAAAATATAAAAGCAATATAAAGTACATGGGTTTTGTAGATAGATGATACAAATTTTTATTCATTAATAACTTTTTTCCGCAATATGGCTGAAAAAAATTCTGAATCAGCTAATAACATTTCAGTATTTTTTTTATTTTTTTTAATTTTTTCATTTTTTTAATTAAGAATAAATGATAAAATACCATAAATCCTCATTAATTAACTTCAAAATAAGTGAATTCTTTGCTTTTTTGATAATGGCTTTTTATAAAACTTTTGCAAAAATAGGACTTAATTTAGGGTGGCATTTATTAATGAGTATCAAATTATATAATATTAACTTTAAGATTAGATAATTATTATGAGAAAAAATCATTTAATTTAAAACAAAGGAAAAGGACATTTACTAGGTGTTGTTAAGTTATACTGACTTAATAATAATACTAATTTTAGCAAAAATTTTTTGTAGTATTAAATATATTTTTTTATGATAAATAAAATAAATTATAATGAAATTATATAATAATTAGGAAGAAAATATTATTAGGTTTAAACACCAAACAGATTTGATGAAAATAAAAATCAGTTTTAAATTTAAGTCAGTCATTAATTACTTTAAAAAATGTTTAGATGTTGATAAAAAACTAAAAATGTTAAGAATATTTTTTTAAATAAAACAAAATTTTAAAAATTATTAATTCTGTAATGTATTTCTTTACATTTTAAAAATATAAATAATTGTATTAAGTAATAAGCGTATTTTATAAGTCTGTTTTTTAATTAACTCTATCAGCTTATCAAAAGAGTTATAATTTTTTAGAAAACTAACCTATGATTATTAACATAATTTTTTTATTTACTTTAAGAATTTAAATAGATTATTAATTGCATAAATTAGGACTAATTAACAAACAAAATTTTTAAGCGTAAATAGAAATTGATTTAAAATAGCATCATATTTAATAAAGAAATTAAACAGTTAATAAGAAAAGTGTACCATTTTTAGTAGATATAAACTAATATATTTGAATGAATCTGATAACGAAGCTTATTCTCTCAATATCAATTCCTATCATCATAGGAGTATCATTTAACCTTTCAATTTTTTACATAGTGCTTTTTTAAAATGTAAATTAATGGTAAAATTTAATATATTTAAAGCATCTCTATTTGCGAAAAAAATGTATTTGCATCAAATTTATTGATATAATTATATTTAAAATATGAAAGGGAATAACAGCAGACACAGTAAGTAATAGCAAATGAAAACTAAAAGCTCCATAATTTAGTATTCGGATTCAAAACAACAATAGAAATTAGCTTTAACACTGTAAAAATTAATAATTCTACTTTTATTAGGAAATAAAAAGCCTAAATACAATAAATAATTATAGATAGAATAAGACTTGATAAAATTTCATAACTTTTATACAAAGATGATAAAAAACAAAGTCTTAGGTAATAAATACAAACAAGCTTTTATTTACAAAATCAATTTTTATGTAATTTTAATTAGTAAGAAAATAATTCTCTTATATACCATGTTCTTACAGATACTTTGCATTCAATAACTGTACAGAATTGATGTATAAATAGTTTAACAAGAGCAATACTTATGTAGAAGGCTTTTTCCATAGAACAACTTTTGAATTTGATGAGTTTTCTGATGAAAAAAAATAAAGATTTAAAAATGTAAAAAATAATTATAATATTTTAATTAACAATAGAAATAAAAAGTTGAATATTTTACTTGAAAATAAATTCATTTATTCATTCATTTATTTATTTATTTATTAAAAAATAGTTAATAATTAACTACTTTTATTTTTATTTATTATTTTTTGGCTTTTTTAGATTTGGGATTCTCATATTTTAGCAAAATCAACTTATATTGCTCGCTTGAAAAGCTTAATTGCAATTAGCGATGTATTTTAGGCCTATGATGATTCGTTGCTCACTACTACTCCAATGCTGTATAAAAAAATCTTTATTTTTAATATTAGAAAATTCCTTAACTATTTATTTTATTTTTATATAAAAAGGAATATGAACTTAACAGCTTTTTAACCTTATTAGACATGTATTACGAATTAGACTTTTTTAGAAAATTATGATCCGAGATGTAGAGGTTGGTATTAAAACACAGTTTCTTAAGCTGGAAAATGTAAATTTTTAAATATTATTCTAAAAGTAATAATCAAATAAAATCTAAAAGATGAAGTTTACCAGTATAAGCCATATAAAGATGCTTTCACTAATACAATAACAATGTCAGGAACTACTTTACTTTTAGATGAAAAGACTGATGCTTTTTTAGCAATAATTGGGATGGATTTTTAAATTGCAAATCTTATTTAAAATATCCTTGCAAAGTTAGATGAATTAGACGAGTCTGTAATCTTATCAGGATACTCTTTAATTTTTCACGAGAATAATAATACAGTAATCAAATAAATTAATTAAAAATGCTAGATCATAAAATTTTATTCAATTTTTCAAAAAATGATATAATTATTTATTATTTTAGATAAATTTAACTAATTCAAAATCTAAATAATTAATTTATGAATACTAAAAGCTGAGACAATAAAGCAAAAATAAACTTAAAGCATATAATTTTGTGTATAAAATAAAAAATTCGCTAAATTTAATTTTCCAAATTATTAAAAAATATATATAAAAATAATAGTAGTATTTTCCTTTTAGGATGTTAAATTTAATCTTTGAATTGTTTATTTCTTTTTTTACAAATCAATTGAACTATTTTGATTTTAAAGAATATTTTATGATGAAAAATAATAGATATTTCATCATAAATATTGGAAAAATACTGATGATGTTGAATATAGTTGGTAAGATTTAGAATATAATTCTACAACTATTTATTCTATAGAAGAGAAAAATTCATTTATTCAATAAGTATCAAATGCAAAGGCTCATGCCGAATCATTTAATTATAACATAGAAAAATAAATAAATACAGAATAATTTTACATTTCTTTCTCTAAAAATAATCTAAGCTAGTAAGTATTTGATTTATCCAATTTTATATAGACTTATTTTTTATTAAATTAATTAGCTATAGTTTAGTGTATCCAATAAATTCTTTACAATAATGGTAGGTTTTTCCTAATTCTACTTAAAATAGAATAATTATGTATGTCGGAAGAGTTTAGAGAGATTTAAGATATATCTTGTAATCTTATAACTTATTTGAAGATACAATATTTTAATTGGTAATCATAACAGAACTGATTTTTATCTTCTTGTTTATCGTTGGATTTAATTTACATCTAGCTGCAGTGCTTTACTATCAACTTCAGATACCCATAGAAAGTTTAACATAATTTCTTAATACAAGGATATAATAAAGAAAACAAAAGATTATTACAAGAACTAAATAAAAAAGCTATCCTTAAGCTAAGAGCCCTTCAAACATATCTTTAACCTAAAAATAATCTTAATAATTCAAATTTTAGTAAAACTCATATACTGTTGATAAAACCACTCTAGCAGTTCAAGACTAAATAAATAGTTATAAACTTTCACCTCTAAATAAAAATGTATCATAAGAATTTTTACTAAGTAATTTTTTCTTTATTAAACATATTTTTTTCCCTAATTGAATTAGTTTTTCTATTTAATACTTAAAAAAATGAACAGTAAGTTTTGTTTTATTTAAATTAAATGATAATCACTTTTTTATGAAATTTTTTTCCACTTTTTAAAAAAAATTTTGAATTAATTTGGAGTAAATAAATAAATATTTGAAAATTTACAGTATAATAAATTTATTTTAATAATTTAACTAATATGTATGTAAGTAAGTAAGTAAGTAAGTAAGTAAGTGCGAATTATTTCTCCAAATAAATTTTTTTTTCCAAAATAGATAAAATAAATAGAAAAATAATTGATGTCAATTTTAAAAATTAGTTGATTGATTTCTTTAATTTTTAATTTGCTATTTAAGTTTAAAATTATGTTAGAATTAATAACTTTTTATTTAAAAAATAATGTAGGGTAATCTGATTCAATATAAAAAAGTAGTAAAATGAATCCATAAGAAATCAGTTAAAATGAAACCTTGTTCAATAAATATTTTTCAATCAGTGAGAATAAATAGCAATCTTCTAATGAAAATCTGACTGAAACATAAATTAGTAACAGCTCTTTTGGTTAAATCTTAGATTATGAACCCATTTTTTAAGAAATACAGATTATTTCCTAAACTTTTTACCATTTACAGGCCGTTATAAATTATAAAAGTACTTTAATAGACCCTCATGCCAATTTTATTAACTCTATATTACACTTTGCCAAAGCAAGAAAAACGTTTTAAATGATAAACAATACTTATGGCTAGATAATAAGTTTAGCTAACATAGGTTATTTTTAGCTCTAGTAGGATTTCAATGTATATAAGATCATAAAATAGGAGAAGTATAACCATGTTATAGAATCGTTTGATTTTGCTTTGCAATTCTCTTTATGTGAAATAGGTCTAAGTAATTTCAATGAGTTCAAGACTAAATTTTACGAAGGTTAGATCAAAATTAATGACTATCAAGATTATCTTATCTTAAATAGCATCAACTTAATTACAATTCTAAAATGTAGGATAATGAAAATGACAGCATTCAACATGGCAGATAATTTTCCTTTTTAAAATGTTAATAAAGAGTATGAAAACAGCCAAACTGCATTAAGTTAACAAAGTTATATTTAGCTTTTATAGCAAGCAGTTTAATAGCTCTAATTTATAGAAACAGTAATTATAAAATTAAGAAAATACTCTGAAATAGATTCATAAAGTACAGAATAGGATTTGATTATACTGAAGTTCGATATTTTAGAAATGTAAATAATGCTAAGCAATCAATCAAGTGTAATTCAAAATATATTTGCTGCCTTTGATAATAAGCATTCTGAGATTTTAGAAAATATGCTCTAAATAAATGAAATGGTTAATTTCAAGAATATATTCTTACTAAATGAATCAAAATATGAAGATTCAGTCCCCTTAGAAACATATAATAGGGTTTTAAAGTCTAGTTAGTTTAAAGAAAGTAATCATAGACTTAATTATTATTCTTAGACTACAAATTACTATATTAGCAGGGTGACATATCTGAAAGCATTAATTTTATTTAAATAAAATTAATATTTTTCATCAAGCTAATTACTCACAAGTATATTAGAAGATAATTATTTCTTAGATTAATAAATAAAATATAATTCATTTAAAATTTTAAACAAAATATTCCTTATAAATAATCTACCAAATTAATATTTAGAAAAATAAATAAATAGATTTTATTATTCATAAAATTATGATCTGATATTGTTTATAGAAGCTAGTGAATTTGAAATTCTTCCTAACTCTTAACTAATATAATTTTTAAACGAATTAAAAAAAAAATTTATGAACAAAAATGATAGAGTTTCATTTAACATTTTTAATGATGAAGAATAAATAAATGTATTCCCGCTTATTCAAATCAATGAGTAAAAGTAATGGGATATATCTACCCATACCTTAATTACATAATTAAATGAATTATGTTTTAGGTACTATGATTAATTATCCTAAAGTATTAAAGAAGAATAAAATGATTAGTTAGTAAACTAAATTATTTCTGAAGCATTAAATTAAATAGTTTAATCTAATTTAATTAACATATCTCTAGATAGAATAAAAAATAAAAATGTAATTGAGAATTCTAAAAAGGCAAAAAAGATTCAATAAGAAATTAAAAGACAAGCTTACATATTAATTTTTTCAGCTAATTAGAATAGCTAGGTCAATAAATTCCTCAACAAATAAGAAATTTTAAATGATATTACCTAAAAATTATTAAAATTTGCATAAAAAATTAAACTGCTAAACATAACAAGTTAGTATAATTTAAATAGAGCAAACGTAGATTTACCTTACTAATCATCTTAGCCAATAAATACTCTCAATAAAAATTTTAAATAATTTTCATGTTTAAGCTAACTTAAATCTTATTTATTTATGAAAAGGTTTTCAAAGTGAATCATCATAGTTTTTTTAATTCTATTTTAGCAAAAATTATTTATCAATTATTTACCCATATATTAAGTATTTACATATTATCTTTAGTATAATATTATATATTTTATTTATTATGCTATCTTGATTCAAAAACTACTATTTTAAATTTAATGATTTATTATTTTATTTATTATGATTTTGTTATTGTTAATATGAATTTAATAGATTATTAGTTTAAAGGTAGAATTAATTAAAAAAAAAAATTAATGTGTATTTAAACTTTCTTTAAATAAGTAAAGAAAACAAAAAAGATAAATAGAAAAAGTAAATCTATCATTAATAAATTATAACTTTTGGCTTATAAATAGAGATGAATATAGTGTTAAAACTAATTCTCTCACTATCAGTTCCTATAATAATAGGAGTATCATTTAATCTTTCAGTTTTTTATTACGTGCTATACCAAAACGTAAGCTAGTGGTAATATTTATAAATGATAATCATTTTTGATTACTATTAAATTACATTAATAGAAAAATTTATTGATGTATTAATATTAAATGAACAGGGAGAAACAGTAAACATAATAAGTAATCATAAATGAAAATTAAAAGCTTCATAATTTACTATACGCTCTCAAAACTACAATAGAAATAAGCTTTAATACTGTAAAAATAAAATTTCTACTTTTCGTTTAAGGTAGAAACAAATTTAAAATGTCATTAAATAATATAGATAGAACAAGACTTGATTAAATTTCACAACTTCTATTATAAGAGAATGAAGAACAAAGTAATAGGTAATGATTGCTAATGTTTCTTATGAATCAATTCTATTTGTTTAAAATTTTATAATTTCTTAAAATTAATTTAGCAAGGAAATAATTCTAATATATACCATGCTCTTATAGGTACTATGCTTTTAATAACTGCACTTAACTTATGTATTAAGAATTTAAGAAGAGCAACACTTATGTTTAAGGATATTTTCATAGAACTACTTTTGAATTTGATGAATTTTCAGATGATGCTAAACAAAGATTAAAAAATGTAAACATTTTATTTTATTTTGAGATAAGATTGTAATTTTGAGTATTAAATTAAAAACAACGTACATTCAAATTAATTAAACTTTTTTACTAAATTATTATTTATATTTAATTACTTTAATTTATTTCAGATTTGGGACTCTTACTTTTTAGCTACATCAAGTTATATAGCTCGTAAGAAGAGTTTAATTGCTATAAGTTAATCTTTTTAGGCCTATAATGATTCTCTATTTACTACTACTCCGATGCTGTATGAAGCGATATACACATATACTAAATTATAAAAATAAATACTTTTTATTAAAAAGGGACATGAATTTAACAGCTTTTTAACCTTATTAGACATGCATTAAGAATTAAACGTTTTTAGAAAATTATGATCCTAGATGTAGAGGATGGTATTAAAGCACAGTATAATAAGCAGGAAAATGTAAATTTCTAAATATACTTTACTAGCAATAATCAATTAAAATCTAAAAGATGAAGTTTACCAGTATAAGCCATATAAAGATGCTTTCACTAATACAATAACAATGTCTGGTACTGCTTTGCTATTAGATGAGAAAACAAACGATTTTATATCAATTATAGGAATGGATTTCACTATTACAAACTTAATTTAAAGCATACTTGCAAGTTCTGACGAATTGGATGAATCTTAAATCTCATCAGGATACTCTTTGATTTTTCACGATAATAATAATACAGTAAGCCCTTAAAATAAATATTTAATACATAATTTTTTTTATTCCTCAAATATATTTTAAAAACAAACTTTAAAAAAATTATAAATTTTAAATTTATAAAATGCTTAAAGTTGTGATTAATAAAGGTGATAAATATAAAATAAGCCATTTACTATTCTAAATTTTATATTTAAAAAACAAGAAAAATATTTTTTAATATTTACTAAATAAATAAATTTAATTTTTCAACATAAATTGCAAAAATAGAAAAATACTTTTACAAAAAAAATCTATTGATAGCTCATTTTGATTTAAAATATTTTTTTTTCAATTTCTTATTTTTTTTAACAATAAGAATGTATTAATTAATATACGATCGGTAATTTTACCTTTTAAATTTTACTTTTCTTTTCTTTAATATTATTTAGATATAAAAAATATTTTAAGATATTTAAATATAAATTTATTTATTTGTTTATTTGTAAAATTGTAGATTTTTCATCATAAATATTGGAAAAATACTGATGATGTTGAATATAGTTGGTAAGATTTAGAATATAACTCTACAACTATTTATTCTATAGAAGAGAAAAATTCATTTATTCAATAAGTATCAAATGCAAAGGCTCATGCTGAATAATTTAATTATAACATAGAAAAATAAATAAATATTGATTAATTTTACATTCCTTTCTCGAAAAATAATCTAAGCTAGTAAGTAAATATTTTTATATCATATTTTATATAGATTTATTTTTTATTAAATAAATTAGCTATAGTTTAGTGTATCCAATAAAATCTTTATAGTAGTGGTAGATTTTTCCTAACACTACTTAAAATAGAATAATTATGTATGTGGGGAGAGTTCAGAGAGATTTAAGATATATCCTACAGTCTTACAAAATATTTGAAGACTAAATATTTTAATTGGTTATGATATCAGAGGTTGTTTTTATTTTCTTATTAATTGTTGTATATAATTTACATCTAGCTGCAGTGCTTATCTACCAACTTCAAATACCCATAGAAAGTTTAACAGTATTTCTCAATAGCAGGATATAATAAAGTAAACAAAAAATAATAACATCATAGCAAAAAAAAGGATTTATGCTTTAGTAAAAAAATCTATTAAATGTTTCTCAGACACAAAAATAATCACCATTTTTCAAAGCATAACAAAGTTCTTTTACATCGACAAATGTAAATAAATTATCTTTTGATAATAAATAAATATCATAAGAAGTTTTGTTAAGTAATTTTTATTCTTTAATTTAATATTTTTTATGGCTTAATATTTAAATTAGTTTTGTTTAAAACTGCACAATAAACATTATTAAACTAATTGAGATCAAAAATAAAAAAATGATTATCTTTAAAAAAATAAAAATTTTTAATGAAATAAATTAGTTTAAAATATTTTAATAAAATTGATAAAAAAATTATTTAATTATTTTAATTAATTTTTTTTAACATTAAAATTTAAATTATTAATAGAGAAGTAAGATTCGTATTTAAAAGTAAATAAAATAAACACTCCAGATTTAAGTTATAGTGAAACTTAATTTAATAAAATTTTATCAAGTAGCAATAAAAATTAATTTAATAGTGAAAACTTGAATAGTAGCACAGAGATTAAATTAAATAGCTCATTTTATTAAATTTTAGACTACGAACCTATGTTTTAAGAAATTTAGATTATTTCCTAAACTTTTTATCATTTATAAGCTGTTATAAATTATAAAAGTACATTAATTGATGAAAATGCTAACTTTATCAATTCAATATTACACTTTGCCAAAGCGAGGAAAATGTTTTAAATGATAAACAATACTTATGGCTAGATAATAAGTCTAGCCAACATTGGCTATTTTTAACTCTAATAGGATTTTAACGAATAACAGATTATAAAAGATGATAAATATGAGTGTATCATAGAGTCATTTGATTTTGCTCTGCAATTTGCATTATATGAAATAGGTCTAAATAATTTTGATGAGTTCAAGATTAAATTCTAGGAGGGTTTGATAAAAATTAATGACTACCAAGACTATCTACTTTTAAACAGCATAAACTTAATTACAATCCTTAAATGTAGATTATTTAAAACTACTGCTTTCAACATGTTAGAGAGTTATATCCTTAAAAATTTTAAGATAGAAATTGAAAATAACAAATTTATTCTTCATAAATAAAAATATATTTCGCTTTTAGAATAAGCGTTATAATTACTCTAATTTATAGAAAATGTAATAACAAAATTAAAAAAATACTCTCATTTAGATTAACAAAACACAGAATATGATTTAATCGTACTAAAGTTGGATATAGCAGAAATTTAAATAATGTTAAGCAACTAATTTAATATAGTGTAAATTTCAAGTGATATTTTTAATGATACAACACCTTATATTTTATAAGATATGCTCTAAATAAATGAAGCCAATAATTTTAAGGACAAAATTTTACTAAATGAATCAAAATATTAAGAGTCAGTCTTTTTAGAACCCTAAACTAAGTTCTTAAAATAAAGTAGTTTCAAAGAAAGTAATATGAAAATGAATTATTATTCTCAAACTACAAATTATTATTTCTGTAGAATAACGTATTTAAAGTCTTTGATATTATTTAAAAATAATTACTAAAGTTAATCTGCCTTATTGTTAACAAATCTCTTGGAAGATAGCTAATACTTAGACACATAAATTAAGTAAAGCTCACTTAAAATTTTAAATTAAATATTCGTTATTAATAATCTCCCAAACTTATTTTTAGAAAAACAAATTAATAAGTTATATCAATCATAAAGTTATGATCTGATATTTTTCATAGAAGCTAGCAAATTTTAAATTATGCCTAACTGTTATCTATTATAATTTTTTAAAGAATTAAAAAATACATTTATCAAAAAAAACGATAGAGTTTCATTTTATGTCTATTATGATTAGGATTTAATAAATATATTTCCATTAATTTAAATAATCGATGAAAAACTATGGGAAATGTCAATGAACATCTTATAAACATAACTTAACAGAATATGTTATAGTTATTATGACTAATCTTAGGCTATTTAAACACCACAATAAAATGATGATTTAGCTAGTTAAATAGTTGTAGAAGCAATAAAATAAATAATTTAAGCTAATTTAATAAATAAAGTTCCAAATTTATTAAAAAACTAATAAAGAAACAAAGATTTATAAATAATTAAAACTTATTAATAAAATAGTAATAGAAAAGCTTATATTTTAATTTTTTCAGTCAGCTAGAATAGTTCTATCAATAAACTCCTAAACAAATATGAAATTTAGAATGATATTATCTAAAAATTATAAAAATTTCCATAAAAAATTAAACTGCTGAATGTGGTAAATTAATTTAATTTAAATAAATTTAACTTAGACACACCAACATTTTAATAATAATAATCTATTGATACTTATTAAAAAAGTTTAATATATTTTAGTAATTTAAACTAACTAAAGTCCTACTTATTTATGAAAAAATTTTAAAAGTGAATAAATCTATTATTTAGTAATCAATAATCTATAATGTAAAACTATTATGGTTTTAAAGAAATTTTATTAAATTATTTAAAACAGTGTTTTTTTTTAAGATTTAATTTATTTCACTAAACGTAAAAATTCTAAAAATATTTAAAAAATATATTTATTTATTTATAAAATTGTATGTTTATAATTATACCACTTATATAATTTTGAATTGTGAATTTTTTAAACAAAAATAGGATATATGGAAATATGCACAGTAATTCTTTTACTTAGAAGAAATAAAATTTTTTATATTCATTATATATAGTAAATATAAAGAAAAGGTTGAAGAATTGCTAAAATAATAATGAAAATAAACTTGTTATTGATTTTAAAAGCAAATTTTAATTTTAAAAACACAGTATTTTCTAATTATGATTATGTCTTATCTAATATTTATTTAACTATTTGAGAGTTCATAAACTTTCTTGTATACTTTTATTTAAAAAATAAATTGTTACATACCTGCCCTTAAAATTAATTTTTTATAAAGAAATAAGGACCTTATTTATTTCATATTTTGTATATAGAATTTATTCCCAAATTAATATTTATATGGGTGATATATCAAATTTATATTATTATTTTTATATTTAATTGATTAACAAAATTTAATTTTAAAAGAATAAACATTTTAATTCAGTAAATAAAATTCTACAACAAAACCTTATAATTTCCAAAATAATTTTTAGTAAATATTTGCATTAACTATAATATTATGAAAATTCAATTACTAAACATAATCAAAATTGTAATTCAACAGAATTTAATATGTTTTATAAATAATTTTACACATAAAATCGAAATTTTTTAATCTTAATAAAATAATATTTTAAAATTTTGTAAAAAAATAAAATTTAATTAATATTAAATTTTCTGAGTAAATATCTTTAACAAAAAAATTATAATTTTGAAAAGGTGTGGATTTTAGTAAAGGAGATTTTAATTAAAGATATTTATTTTTTATCTTAGTTGTTTAGAATGGCAGTCTTTTTGGTTAAAAATATTGATATAAATAGATTTTAAATTTATTTTAAATTAATTATCATAAAATATTTTTTTTCATTTGAGTAAATTTGAAGTTTATTAATAAATTTATTAATTTAGTGAATAAGTTTATAATTTTTATCAGTAATAATTGCGAATCTAAAATATAAAAATAGCTTTAGTTAATCATTAAAGAAAATTAGATACATTGAAAATACTAACATAATAAATTTATGGCTAGTAACAAGCTTAAAAATTTATTAAAAATAAAGATAATTAATAAATCGTTTTGATAATAAATTGTTATGAAAAAATTATTTAATTAAAAACCTAAAAAGAAAGAGAAATTAAAAATAAGTAAATCCAGTTATCATATTTGACAAAATATAAGGCGAATCTTGTATAATACAATGAGTTTTGTAATAAAGATAGTTTTATCTTTTACACTGCCTATATTTATTGGTGCTTTGATAGTGCTATTTACTTTTTATCAGTAGCTCATTTAAAATGTCAACGAATGGTAATATTTATTTTTAGGTAGAAAAATGAAAAGAAAATTAATTATCTTTTTAATATAAGGGAAAAACGCTCATCAGATTAGTAACTTGAATCATTTAAATAAAATTTACATAATGGATTAATAGCAAGTAAAATGATCGTTGACTTAGGCTTTAGTCGTGTATATTTTTTGAAAAGTATTTGTTCATTGATACTTACTTAACTTTTATTTTTATTTAATTAGGTATAATAAGATTTAATATTTACTAGGAACTTTTACAAGAAATTTAGAGACAATAAAATACAGAGTAACAACTTTAATTTTTAAAACTTAAGCAATAAATTTTTATTTTTACAGTCAATAAATCATTTTAGTTTCTGAATTGCTCAACACCTTACTAGCCTCAAAAGAAATGTTCAAATCTATTTTACTAAGAACTCTAATAAAATGCTTTGTATGTTTATAATTTCTTCCACAGAAATATTTTTGAATTTAGTCAACTTCCTATTTTAAGGCAATAATAATTGCAGAATGTATATTAAAAATTTTTGGTTTCAAGAAAGTAACATTTTTTTTATCATTTAGTAATGGTACTCATACATCATCGCAAGAATGATTTATTCGATCAGAAAAAAGGATCTATTCTCCATATAATCTATGTATTATGCTTTTGATGACAGCCTTCAATCTGGCTTCCCTACAAGGTATTATTTACATTTTACATTATGTTACAAATACGTAAAAGAATTAGTTCTATTATCAGAATTTAGTTAGCAAAGAGTAAATAAAGCAACTAATTTAAAGATCTATTTCAATTAATGATTTAGCTCATAAAATATTCTAAATATAGATGAGCTTATTTATATTATTAACATTAATTACACAATTTACCTCTAGAACATTGAATTAAAAATTTTGTATTAAAAAACATATCAACCGATGCTAAACCATCCATTTATCAGTCGTATTTTTTATTAAATTTTAGTAATAAAAAAAAAAGTATTCATTTTTAGAAATCCATTTATTTTAAAAAATAAATACTATTATTTTTAAACAGATAGAAAGTAATAATAGATGTACTCTGAAAAATTTTTTTAGGATAAGTATATTTAGCCAGTAGCATTTAAAAATAAATTTTAATTTTTCAGCGCTTTATTAATTACATTATTTAATTTAGAATTTGCAAAATTTATATTTTTAATTAAAAGCATGAATTCTAATGTTACCGCGTTTTAGCCTTATTAAAATTGTGTACCTGGGAATTATAAAGAAAACTATGATCCAAGATGCAGAGATTGGTATATTCTTGCAGACAAAATTCAAGAAGATAGTAAGAAAAATTATAATTTAATAAACCTATTTATAAGTTTTGTAATTATATTAAATAGATACAATCACTTAAATAAAACCTTATAAAGATGCTTTTACTGGTGATATTATAATAACACAATCCACAAAAATATTTGATTAAGACGGTAATAGTGAAGTAATTCTATCTGCAGATTATAAAATTTCCCCTCAAATGTTTTAATTATACTCTTCGCTGGTTAATTTTGATGAATCATCAATTAACTAAAATTACTTTACCTTATTTAGCACTGAAAATAATACAGTAAATTTTTATATTTCTCAAATTTTATCTTAAAATAATTACGCTAATAAATAAAAATAGGTTTTTTATCACAAATATTTTAGATTTCCTGAAAATAAAACAGAAATAACCTTAGAAGATATAGAATTTAATTCTACTACTTATTACAAAGAATTTGAGAAGCAAGATTTTAAAGCTAATTTGGAGAACTTAAAGGAATATATCAACACAGGAAACTATAGTATTTCTCTATAAGATAATATTTAAAATTTCTACATTAAGTGGTCTAAAGACAACCTTTCATAGTAAAATTTTTTTGAAAAATATTTTAAATTAAATTTTTATATTAGAGATTTTAACACAAATCATTCATTTAAATAAATCTTATTTTATTAAAAACAGTATAGGACTATTCTATCCTATTTAGACATTTGAAAGATGGTCATTTAATTAAAGTAATAAAAAATTGAAAACAAATTCTCTTATTTTGTCTTACACTTAAAGATATGATTCTTCATTATTTTAGTATGAAATGACTACAGATCCTCTTTTTTTAATAGCATTGTCAATTTCTATCATACTTGAGGTTATAGTACTCGTCTTTTTTGCACTAAATTATTATATAGCTCTAATTTACTAAATAGAAATCCCAATTGTAAAACTTACTATGTTTTTAAATTAAAATTCAATGTATTAATAACAAAATTCTTAGCATAAAAATGACTAAAATAAATATTTCGAATCAACGAGAAATAAATAATATTCTTGTTAATCTTAGGCTTAATCTAAAAAAAGAGCATCTATTATATCTTAAAGCAATATCTCATTTAATGAAATCAATAACACTACTAAGAATCAATTTGTAAATAGTTGTAATAACATACCAATAAAAACACTAAATGATAAACAAATAGATTTGGAAATAGTTTTAGAGTAGCACAATAATTTAATTAGCAAATAAATAATATAACTAAATTCTAATCGAAATATTAACATATCAACTAAAAAAAGTTTATTTTCAATTTAAGAAAATAAATTAAATAGCTCAAATTAGTAGCAAAATAATAACTCTTTGGATAAATTTGATAAAAAGTAATATATAACTTCAACTTAGCTTTTATGTTCATATGATAACTTGATCATAGAAATGAAAACTCTTTATGACACATTTTTTTTGCTAAACAAATTAATAAATTACAAAAGTTAATCAATAGACAATATAACAGGAACTACAGATTGTGTCATTCATTTTGCATATTCTATGAGTACCTTCAAACAATTAAATAGTTCAAATGGAAAGATTATAAGCTTGCTTAATTTAGGGTACTATTAGATGCAACATGAGCTATATAATAATAAACTCAAAAGAAAATAAAAAGCCTAAGATATTCAAATGACATTAGAACATGCTTAGCAATTAATTTTAAATGAGCTGGATTATCAAAGCATATAAGAATTCGTCATTACTTTTGATACTGGTAATGTATCATAATCAAAACTGTGTAATCTTTAGTATCTGCAAATGATTCATAGAGTTTAGATGCTCAAAGTTTAACTCATAAAATAGAATTTCGTTTAAGACTACAGCTTACTTGCTCAAAAAATAAGCCATTCGATTGAAAATAACTTAAGCTATACATAAAAATATTTAAACTTACTTTAAAAATCTTTGCAATATTTAAAAATTAGCCACATGGTAGTGGAAAAAATAAAACACTCTTTCACTGGAAATGATTATTTCTATGAATTATTTTTAATCGAGTATAATATTATGTGGATTGAAATATTATAAGGACATATTGATCAAGCAGAAAATTTATATTAGCAACAAGAAAAAAATAATTTAATACATATTACATTAATTAATCTTGATCATTTCAGAAACATAACTATTGTTGAGAGATATCTCAATAATTTTAAACAAGACTAAGAGTAGTGTTTGATAATTTCTAATCTAATTTTCATCAAAAGTCTTATCCTTTATGCCAAACGCTAGTATTCTGATGTAGCCTAGTTACTAACTTTGTTGATTGAAAAAATTTATTACATTAATCCCTAAATTAAAATAATATCTTTAAATATTTTAAATGATATTTTCCTTAAATAAAATATCAACTTTTACTGCATAAAAAATTAAATAAAAAAACTAAGAAAACCTTAAAAATATGATATACACTTTTTTGTTGAATCCGAAATATGGAAATAATTTCACTTCAACTTATTCAGCTAAGAATTGCATGAACTAAGAAGTAAATTATTTACTAAGGATGATAGAGTTGCTTTTTATGGATATAATCAAAATAATATAGTCAAAATTAACCCTTTAATGGCCAATTTTACATCATAAAAATTGTGGGAAATATAAATCATGAATCTTTAGTAGACTTTAAATAATTTAAGTTTTGAAAATTTTATGAATTTAGATCATGAGGATCTTATATTTGGTGAATAAGAACCCAACTAATAAAATTTTTTACTAAATTTAGTAAAAAAAGGAATAATAAAAGCAACAAGAGATATTTAAACAAGCCAGCTCAGCTATAATGTTAAAAATATGTATGTAAAAGATAAAAAGCACAGCAGGAAATAATTATTAATTTTTATACAAAGCTAATAAGCATAAATTAATAATTAACAATATTTTTTTGAGGCTATTTCTTCACTAATTAAACAAACTCCTTACAAATTAAAAGTACTTCATTCCTATCTTAAAGATGAAAACGAAAATTGCTAAATTAATCAAATAAAAACTCCTAAAATTTCATTTAATACACATTAAACAACCTAAGTTGCTAAAAATGTGCATTAATTTTCATAATTAAAACAATTAACATAATTTCTTATTCAAAAAAAATTTTAGAGTTGACTAAATAAAACAAAAAAAATAAATACTCAATTAGCCTTTAAACATATAATTAATTTCTTTTTAAAAATTTAATTTGTTCGCTTAATAATTTAATAAAAATTCTTAAATTTATAATAAAAACTAACAATATAAATAAAACATAATTTGGTATTTATTTACATTATTTATTTATTTTTATTGCTTCAAATTTATTATAACTATTACTTAAAATATAAAAATGTTTCTAATTTCAAATTATTTATTAATTGATGAGCAGATTTTTTTCTTGTTTAATAATTTTGTTAACACATTTTTAACTCAATTAATATTATATATTTAAAAATAATTAACTAAAGGTTGATTAAATAAGATAGAATTAGTTTTGTCTTTGTAATTTAATTTAAATTTACTATATTTTTTAACTTACATTTTATTGTTTATGGATTTAAATAAATACATACAAATTTAGTTTCTATCAAAAATAATAAATATTATTAAAGAAAATCTGAATTACTTATAAATATCTGTTGCCTTATCAAGCAATTTAATTACTTACTTCCTTTAATTTACTATTTGAAAAAATTATTCATATTAAATTAATCAGAACACAAGCACAAACTGTAATTTATTTTTCTCTAAAGTTCTATTATACAAAAAATTTTATTTTTAAAACACTAATTACAAAAAATATATTTTCTATTCAAAAACTACAATTAATTGGATTAGAAATTTTTAAAATTATGGTAAATAAAACATAGTAAAAGACATTCACTCAGTAAATAGTTGATCTATATAATTATGATTTATTATGATCAATATTTAATTTTTAAATTTACTAATAATAGTTGACTTTATTATTCTATTCGAAGGTTTACTTTTAAGCAGTTTATTAATTAATCTGTGCTTGTTTACTATTTATTAAATTTGTAATAAATTTCAAAGTAAACTTTGCATATAGCCAAATGACAGATGATTTATTTTTTTATTAGTATTTGGTAGATATTTAAATTTTAAAATAGATTTTTACTATTTTAATAAGCTTTATTTTGTGAAATGTTAAATTGTCTTGATATATTCTCAAATAATATAGTCTTATTTTTATAATAAAATTATAAAAAATTTAAATTTAACATCAATAAAAAGTATTATTTTATGAAATAGTATTTAATATATTGATTCAATTTTAATTAATCTTAAAATTTATTTTAAAATCATAGATCTATATTATGGAAATTTCATTTAAGTTTCTTGCTAAGCATTAGTAAGATTAAGCTATATTTAGGGAAGGCAAAATAGCATTAGTAGTGTAAAATTATTTATAAGCTTCATAAATAGTATAGATATTTTATTGCATAATTTATAGTTACTTACTTAGGCATGCAAGATTTTATTTGATTAAAAGATTTTTGATGTAAAAAAGAAAACAAAAAAGTTAAGTAGGAATATTCTTTTTTACAATTAATAGAATAATGTATTTTATATTTGTTTATGTGTGATTGATTTAATTACGTTCCAGATTTATTCTTTTATCAGTGTTGAATTTAATTGGATTATAAAAATAACTCTTTAAATTTTTGATTTGATTGATTTTTTTTTAAAAAGTTAACAATTTAATAAAATTATTAAACAAGAGTTAAAAAAAGTAAATACCTCAAATAGAAATGTCTGAATAAATACTAAACTAATATCTTTTCAACAACTTAAACAAGTATGATCTTAGGAGCAATCTGCAAGACCAATTGACAGTATTCGGCTATTCCTTTATCTTTTGGGTTGCATACTTTTTCGTTGTTAATAAGGTAGTAGAAGTTAAAGGAGTCAGCTTAAAAAGCCTAAATGACATAAAAAATAGAATAGTCTCTGCAACACATGGGCTCTCTATCGTATTTTTGACTAGCTACCACATTACATTTCATAATCCATAGCTAGATAGCTCAAATACAGATTTCCAATAATTTATATTCATATTTTCTATAGCCTATTTTTTGTATGATTCTATAGCCTGTCTCTATTATGGCATAGATGGATTAGGTATTGCTATTCATCACGTAATGGTAGTCGTCGCTTATTTATCTTCTATGACCGCCTTATACGGAGGAGTCGAATGCATGTGTAAATAAATTCAAATTTATTCAAATACTTTTGATACTTTAAATTTTTTCCGTCATATTTTTCTGCTAATTATCATAACAAAGAAAATATATAGAGTAAGATTGTCTTTAAGAACTTAAAACTTTTGAAAGAAGTCTAAGAAAAAAAGCATTATATATTATAATTTATAGCAGAATTTTACGTATTTTTTAATGTTTTCAATTCTAATATGACGTATTAAAAAAGATAGGAAAAGCAGTTAAAAATAGTTAATTATAAGCATATAAAATATTAATAATAGACAGTTATTTGATTGAAATTTAAAAATTATTATTTTAATAACTATATAGATGCGTTATTTTTTGCAGAGTTAAGTAACTTCCCTATGAATGCCAGACAATGCGTGAGATCTATGAATTTAAGATACACAAACCTCCATGAATTTTTCGAATACACCTTCATTAGTAATTATATAATTATTTTAGTTTTTTATTTTAAAAATATATTTATAAAAAATATATAGTTCTCTACATAATTGCAAGAGGTGTTTTTGTTCCATTTGCAGTTGCTCACTGCGTTAGATCTGCAGTATGTCCTACCTTATTAAAAATAATATGTCTTGGTTTATTCGCTTAATCTATCTACTATATTTTTGAGTAAAAAAATTAATTTTGATTGCAAATTTTCTAATTTTTTTAATTAAGAATGCTAAAGGGAATTAAGAGAAGAGGAAAGTAACAAAAGGAAAGAAAGTAAAAAAATATTCAATATTTCTGGTTCTAAGAAAACCCTGAAGTTTAATAGCTCACATACTACAGAAAAATAGAATGAAAAAATATTAACAAATAAATAAATAAATAAATTCTTTTTAAAAATTTAACCTATAATAATGAAGCGTTTATGCAAAAAGTGATTGAATATCACATAAAATAATCAATCTATACTAAAATAAAATAATTTATACTAAATTGAAGCTATAAATATAGATAGATAAATAAGCAATGGTTGTAATTTATTAATTTTTTTTAATTTTAACCATTTATATTTATTTACATATAATATAACTTTAACAATTTTCATAGTCATCTTTAAGCAAATTAGAGTATTTATAAGAAATAATTATCTATTTTTTATGTATCATTACCTTTTCTAACTCCTTTAGAAATTATAGCCATTTCTTTTAAACATTATTGATTGTTATTAAATATTTTTATAAATTATAGCAACTTTCTGTTCATAAATAGTTAATTTGTTTTTTTATTAATTAAGTAATAAATTAATCAAGTAAATTACTAATGTGAACAACTTAATTAATTCCATACAATTTATAATTCATTTTGTATTTTTTAAAAATAGATCAATCAGATTATAGATTAAACAGTTTTTCTCCTAATTTTTGATTGCTAATTGTTAATCTAATTTTAAATTACTTAATTTTCAAAATTATTGGCTTCCAAACTAATTTCTTCTTTGATGCTATCATTTACTGTTTAGTATGCGAATTCGCTGTGAAGATACGAAAATTAAGAACCATTAGACAAATTTTTTGTTCTAAAAGTAGCAGCAGTGTCTAGAGACTAAGGCGTATCGCTCTAAAATGAATTTCTTTACAAGGTCTACTTTACAGGTTAAATCAAAGGAATTTAGATTAAATTCATTTTTAAATTTTGGTTTTGTTCAAATTAACTTGATTGATGTTATTATTTAAATTTTTGTTTTCTATTTAGAGATAATGAGCTGATTGTCAAAGGAGCAGGAATAGCAGATAAAACTCTTTTTTTATTTTGATTGTTTGCTTATAAGTTTGCATATTCGAATTCTATTTTAGTAGAAAAAAATCTATCCTTAGATGGTTTTTTTTAGATAAAATAACTTTATTCAGTGGATATTTTATTTTAGGATGATTTAATAACTTGATTGTCATTCATATTCTAATTGGTAGTTAATTAAAAGGAATTTTGTTTATTCATAAAAGTATGAGGACTCTATAAATTTTTGCTTGAGCAAAATTTAAGCATATTTTGAATTTTGATATCCAGATTTTACTTTAAAGGTTAATTTTATTTAAATTTAATATCTGCATATTCTACATATTCTTAAATCTAATCATAAAATGGTAAGTTTTAAGCTGGAGTTTTTAATTTGGATTTTTATTCAACAAATTTTTTAAGAAATTTAATCTTAGATTATCTATCTTCTTTCATTTATTTTTTTGAATTCGCTAATTAATCTTATTAGATTAACTCATTAAACTTTTTCATATCTAAGTATGTTTCTTTATAGTTAGCCACCTCGGTTACTTTTTTGCTATTAAAATAAATATTGTTTGCTGAAATATTTATTTAAATTAAAGTTAATTTATTTCAATATAAATTTATAATTTTATTAATTTCAAACATATAAACTCAAAAATATTTTTAATTTGATCACTTAAAATTTTCGTTTTTATTTAATAATTAATTTATGTAAATTATGTGTAGGGGTTTTTTTTAAATTGAAGGAAAATTCTACACAATTTTAGCATACTGTAACCCTTTATTTTAATTTTCAAAATTTATGAATTAATGTTATTTATATCCCTCTATAATTATATCATATTATATTAAATAATTTGATATGATATCTTAAAAAAAGAAAAATATTATTAATTATTTTACTTCTTTAACAATTCTATGGGCAACTAAGGAGGTAGATTAGACATTAATAAATCTATTTTTTTAGTAACATCTTTTTAGTTATTTTTAACAAAATCTTTCAAATAATCGTTTTCAAGCTTTTCTACTATATTTTAATAAGGCTGTCTTGATTATACTTAATTATAAATATTTATTTCTTCTATTTCTTTTAAATGTGATTCTTGTAAACAGGCTTCATGAATATCTTGGTCATAAAATTATTCATAGTAAATCTTTTTAAAAAAGTTAAATAAAGTTAATAAAATAAAATATAACAAATACATAAGACGGTAATTGTATCACTTCAAGCTTTACTGAAAGTACCTTTGCTTAAGATATTCTAAAACTATTTGTTAGCACTTCTTTTTCTCCGAAATACTGATTTGGACCTAAAATAAAGGAATTAATTCTTTTTATTAATTAGCTTCTCTCTTTGTTTTGTTTTCCTTAATTTAACTTATAAATTTCTCTTTCCTGCTTTTCAAACGGATTAAAAGTGAGATCAAAATCTTAGGCATTTAACTTGTTTAAGGGGATCATTTTTTCATTATTATTGTTTTGATTTTACTTTTAAGATAAGTTAATTAAAAAATAATTTGCAATTTTAAAGTGAATGACTTTGGTGAACAAAATTTACATTTTCTAACTTGAAAAGACGAGAAAACTCAATTTCACCAGAAATAATAAAATAAATGAAGCTGGATGGGTCTAACTCTGAATATAAAATGTTGTTTCTGTAATAAGTAGCACTTTAAAAATATTTTAGATAGTTTTTCATTTTCTATTTAGAGTAACTTTTAAAAAAGATAAACTGTTAGAGAAATTTTATTTTATTTTCAACAGACTGTATTTGATGCTTTTGAATAATTTCATTATACACTGAATAGCTTAGATAGACTAGGCAAGTTTTCTTTTTTGACATGTAACCTTATTCCAAAAGATTTAAGTTACCATCATCAAACTCTCCAAATATCTCTCCTTATTTTAATAATTTTCTTAATTTCATATCCTTAAAGTGTGAAGCGATTTGTAATATCATTTAAAATTCTCTATCTTGATTAAAATTCCTTTAATTAGTAGTTTATGGAGAGTAAGGGCTTGCATCATCTAAAACATCATCTTTTTATTAAAAAAAATGAAGAAAAATTCAGATTTTACTCATTAGTAATTAATTACATTTAGATTCTTATTAGCTTGCCATCTTAGAAATAATCTAGGGAGTGTTTCTTGAGTCCTGCCTAGAAACTGAAAAGCTAGATAATTAAGAGGGTCTGAGAAGTAAGCTATTTTTTACCTTCAATAGACTAATAGCTTTTTCAACAACCTTTAGAAATTTTTTAGAATTTTGATTAATTTTTCCAATTGATTTAAAGTTTTCTAAGCACAAATTTATATTTCTAATAAACGCCATTTCTTCTTCTATCAGATTTTAATCTAAAAATGCTATACTGTCTTTTTTTTTGTGTGCTTTTGGAGAAAATTATGAGAAGGCTTATTTGATAGATTGATCTAATTAGCTTAATCTATTTACTGAATTTTAAACAACTATATTTGATGGGCTATTCATTCTACTACTTTTTCTTGATGATTTATTAGATTTTTAGTCATAAAGAGATTCTTAAGATGTATTTAAAGCATTATAAGAGTTATTTTTTTCTAATAGGAGTTAACTTTCTGAGCTATTTTAAAAATCTTATTTTAATTAAACATTGTTTTGCATTTCTTAACATTTATTTGATGCGTTACTTGAATCCTATTCAAAATTTAACTATTAGAATTCCATTACTTCTCCTTCTATAACTATGTAGAAGTTATTTTATTGTTTGTTTTTTTTCTTTAACTTGGCTAGTTTATATATTCATTAACAAAATAAATTCAAAATATGATATATATTTTAACTCTATTATAGACTAAAATAAATTTAAAGAATGAATAAACTAACTATTTATTACATTTACTGCAAATAAACTAATTTTGTTCTACTATTTCGAATTACATTTTTTTCAGTGTGTCTACATACAAATCTAGCGATATATTCATTCTTAGTTCTTTGAAAAACTTGAAGTAGTCCAGAAATTTAATCATAAATTTAATATCCTTCTCTAATTTAACTTTCTTTCTAACTATGTACCCAAATAACTTTCCATGAATAAATAAATATATCAATACATATTAAAGTGTTAAGTACATTAAAATTTACTTCTATGATTTCTTAATCTTTAATATTTAGCTCATCATTTTTCAACAGTACCTCTAACTTTGGTTCAAATAATTGTCTTGTTTGCAGTTAATTCAAAGCTTCTATTTGTGGCCTATAAAGTTAATTCCTTAATTTATCTACTACATCAGAAAAAGCCTCCATTTAAAATTTATTTATTTTAATTAATTTGTTTATTTTCAATATTTATAGTTTATTTAATATGAGAAAAAGAAAATAAAATATATATTTGATTAATGTCAAAGTTAAGTTAAAGTTTTTAGAATTAACTTATAAATATTAATTTTTTTTTAATTTATAAATTATCTCAACACGCTATTAAATCTCAACAAATCACAAAAAAACTTTTAAAAAATATTTCTAATTTATTTTAAATAGCAAAATAGCAACTTTCAAGATGATTCCAGGAGTAATTACTTTTTTTATGTCATTTAAATTTGAAATAAATTACACGGGGTTGGGGGGGGTTGGGGTTGGGGTTGGGGTTGGGGTTGGGGTTGGGGTTGGGGTTGGGGTTGGGGTTGGGGTTGGGGTTGGGGTTGGGGTTGGGGTTGGGGTTGGGGTTGGGGTTGGGGTTGGGGTTGGGGTTGGGGTTGGGGTTGGGGTTGGGGTTGGGGTTGGGGTTGGGGTTGGGGTTGGGGTTGGGGTTGGGGTTGGGGTTGGGGTTGGGGTTGGGGTTGGGGTTGGGGTTGGGGTTGGGGTTGGGGTTGGGGTTGGGGTTGGGGTTGGGGTTGGGGTTGGGGTTGGGGTTGGGGTTGGGGTTGGGGTTGGGGTTGGGGTTGGGGTTGGGGTTGGGGTTGGGGTTGGGGTTGGGGTTGGGGTTGGGGTTGGGGTTGGGGTTGGGGTTGGGGTTGGGGTTGGGGTTGGGGTTGGGGTTGGGGTTGGGGTTGGGGTTGGGGTTGGGGTTGGGGTTGGGGTTGGGGTTGGGGTTGGGGTTGGGGTTGGGGTTGGGGTTGGGGTTGGGGTTGGGGTTGGGGTTGGGGTTGGGGTTG